ACTGGATGGAATATTTTAAAAAGTGTCTCCACACGTCTCCAACACTCTGGCTCACTAGGAAATGAGGTCCTATGTCCAAAATTCCAGGCTGTCCCTTTAAAGGTGCCGGTGGTGGACCCTCTATCAGACCTGCTTGTCTCCGAAGAGATGTTATTGTGTTGTCTTGAATGTTTATGGCATTAAACTTATCTATCCATTGAGACAAGCAGGTGAAACCACTGGGCCCCATTACAGGTCAGATCTGTGGAGAGGCAAGCCATATCAGAATTACGCATGTTTTCAGGTTATTTTCTAGCTATAAAACAACTGTAATCGAAGACCTAAATTCTATACTATACTATAAATTCTATACATTCCAGGCAAATCAATAAGCAGCTGGCATACCCTCCACCAAAAAAGTTACATAGTGTACCTTTAATGACGAGTCCAGCTCCAGATAACACATTACGAAATAATACGCAATAATTTACGCTTGCCCGTCCATTAGTTCTCCTCTGTCCTAACAACTCTTCTCAGTTTATTTGTGTTTGCCAAAATCAGACAGCGAAATTAAACATTGATGGGGGCGGCAATTACAATGATATACGCCGTTTACATTACATTTATCAGGTTTTCTCTTGCTCGGGCTAAAAGCTACATTAAATTTCCCCAGTACAGGTTTACACAGTCCTGACAGTGCAAATTGATATCCATAGTAAAATGTTTCACGAAGCATCAATAAAAAGTAGTGCCGTTGTAAAAGCACAGATGAAGAATGCTCGTCTCGTACTCGTCCAAACTAATTAAAGGGCAGTACTAGAAATAGCCTCCATAACTTTCTCGAGATTTCACACAGTAACAATATTGTAAACCAGTGTCATAACTCAAAATTCATGTAGGCATTTCTAATTTAGGCATCTCTAATTTAATGTCGCTCTCCCTTTTTAATTTTATGATGATTATTTATGTTTTGATTTGTTTTTATTGTAATTTTAATGTATTTATTATTCTGTAAAACACTCTGAATTACTTTGTGTACAAATTGTGCTATACAAATAAATTTGCCCTGCCTTGCCTTGCATTATAAGTGAAATAAGGGTCACCTCTCCACAGATATGACCAGTAATTTGGCCTGGTGCAGTCATCTGTTTGTTTCCATGGAGATATATATTGTAAGTGTAATACACAAACTGTATAAATGGATATAACTAACCAGATAGCCTGCTATAGCCGCCACGTTCCAAAAAGGAAGCGAGCATGGTTGTGCTTCCGGCTCCATCAATTCTGATTCCAATTCACTTTGTATTGAAAAAATGTCACCGTCCTCTCTGTGTAACTGCTGCCATCAGTCTCCTCATTTTGGACTTAAAATGTTTGTATTAAGCCACTCTACGTGATCCTGGTGCTTTTATTTTATTATTTTGTTCATAAATTTATTTATATTCCAATATGGAACTTGGCTCCAAATTCGCCCATATAACTGCTGGGCCCATGAGCTTCATTTGACTGGAGCTGAACACTACAGGTGAGGCCACACTCCCTTAGTTCACGTCTTTATATAGTCTATAGTGTAAGGTCATACCATGGAACATTCCAGGCAACACAATAATGTCTCTGTGTCTCTCAAAATTAACTGCAATAAGTTTGTCCTTTGGAATGCATCATTTATTGTAATTTCCTTCTCGTTCTTTATCAAATACAAGCCATGTATGCTGCAATTTCTGTTCTTTTATAATGGCACACTTGCAAAATTCCTACGCTTTTCAGTTTTAATCAGTATTGAGATTCAGTCATTTTTAATCACCAATGATCAGGGTCTTGGGCCTTTTCAATGGACAGGACCACAGCCAATGGTCTGTCAGTAAGAGCATGTGGTTTAGAGCAGAGTTTGGAGCAGAGCAGAGACAGGGGAACTGGACTATTTTATGTTTTAAATAGGAATGATTAAAAGCCTGTATTGTTTATGTGCAGGATTGATTGATGTGATTGTGATTGATCAATATGACATTATAATGTTTATTTTTTCCTCATATCAACCAAGCATAATTATTATTATAATGTATTCATTTTATATAGCACGCTCAGATTTTACAATAACTTTACATGTTTGTGCATTAACTCATTCGCTCCACACTCGGTCATGGTAAGTAACTATTGTTTGTAGACTCACAAAACTGAGGCTGCCAATCTGCACCATCGCACACTGACCATTATCAACACTCACTCACACACCACATTCATAACTGATCATGTTGGGGGTGTTCTACATGTATCTCTATGGTGGAATATTCCGGAGTTACCATGAAGGCATAATTCATTAACAAACACTGCAAAAATGTTTTAAGATAATCTGAAACCTCAAGAAAAAGCACAAAATGGATTTAAACAACATATTTATCTGTGATCAATATGAGCATTCATGACCCTGTTAAGGAGATTTATTTTTAACAAAAATGGTGAGTGTGAGTAAAAACAGTTGGCCAAAGTTTGTGACTGTACTTTTATGTGTGAGACTAAAATCAGCTTGCCTCCTGTGGTTTCAGCTACATCAGTTTTTATGGTCAGATTAAAGTCTTATGTGAGTAACAGCTTCAGACAGAACAGAGCCTACAGTTAGCTTCACACGCCTTGGGAATGTTGATGACATCGGCTGCAAAGTATCAATAGGCAACATGACGCCCCGCTGTGCCATCTATCATTCTGAGAGGTCTCCCATCCGAGCACTAACCAGGCCCGGCCCTGCTTAGCTTCTGAGATCTGATGACATCAAACTTGGTGGGAGGTTTGGCCACACTATAATACTTTTACTCTGCAAGCCTGTCCCCTGGTGGATTGCACAAACAACTATGCATAAAATATGTCTTGGTTCTAAAGTGGCCTGTCCTGAAACATAAAACTGTCTATAAGTCATTATTATTCCCCGTCATTCATCTATCGCCTACACTGTGCGCTGGCAGCCTTTTTAGATAAATATAACGTCACTTCATTCTCAAATATTACTCAATCAAATCTATGACAACTTTATTTGACACACCCCAAAACTCTTTGTGTCAGAATAATCAGATCAGATGTCCTGGATGTTTCCTCAGGTCTAACTCTCCCCTCTCCACTTCGCCTCATCTTTGGTGCAAAAATATGAAAAGAAACAGATCAGTGAACGCACACAGAGCCAAGACAGTGAGTGCAGGCCGCCTAAGTGCTGTGCTGGCGTTGGAAAGTGTGGTCAGGAGCTTATTTGGACAGAAAGACAAGGGGAGAGAGAAAGAAAAGAGAGACAGAGACAGAGAGAGAGAGAGACAGAGAGAGACAGAGAGAGAGAGAGAGAGAGAGATGACAGAGAAAGGGCTTACACTGGAGTGGTCTGGACCCCGCTGATGTGGGCCAAAGATTCCATACTCTCTCATTTCAAATCAAACTGAAATGTTGACCTAAATAAATATATTTTTTCTTCATCAAAATAGATTTAGTTAAACATGCAGTATGTTCTGTGGAGGGTCCGCCACCTGCAGATTGCTTGGAAAGTTACACATATAACATTGATTTATCTTCATGAGAAGGCCAAGTTACAAGTAAGATCTGTGGATAGGCAATCCCCCTCACAGTTTGAAATGCATGTTATTCGAGGTATATTTTGAGCAATAAAACATTTACAGGTACACATATGAGTTTAAAGCAATACTCCAGAACATTACAGGTAAAGTGAAAACATCTCCATAGAGAAAAGCAGGTGGTGAACCCTCCAGCAGAAAAATCACATGTACATCCACAACCTGCCTGTCTACATGGAAATGTTTCTGCTTTGGCTGGAGGGTTCCATAGTATGCCATTAAACTGATCTCGTTTGCATTTCAATTTGCATATGATTTTATTGAAAAACATGTTAAAATGTTAAGAACCTCTGGAGCAGTCAGATTTATCCAAATGCAGATTTATTCAGTTGCATTGTTTATTTATTTTTTTCTCAATAACAGACTGTGCAGTACAGCACACTTTTTACACTTGAATTCATTTCTATTTCCCAGAATGCTTTACTGGCAGCTCTGAGGATCCCAAATAAAATGTTGCCGCCCATCTCCAGCTCCCTCTTTGTTCTAGTGATTGATATTTCACTTTGGGACAAATTTATTGGGTTTATCTCTGTGTGTTGGTATGTGTCCCACAAAAGTCTCACTCTGACTTCAGGCTCCAAAATGTCACCGTCAAGAGGAGGAAATATTTCACCTGGTCCTTTGTAAAAAATAAAAACAAAAAACAAAACAAAATAAAACAAAAACACACACACACACATACACAAAATTGTGGTTTTGAGATGGGTAGCCAACCGAATAACATTTAGAATTATTTTAATGTTGACAGGTTTCAGACAAAGTAGTTCCTTTTTTGTTCCAGCCAAACTTACATCATTAACTTGTTAACAACAACAAAATCTGCGATATTCTCAACACAGAAAATAGAGGATAAGGCACGATTACAAGCATAGTACTGTGGTAAAAATCCACGTGCCAGATGTTCCTTTACGCACCACTAGGGGACGCGCTGTCGCACAAGCGAGCTCAGTCCGTTGGATGAATGAAAGATATGTGCGAGCAATCACAAATAGTGTTGAAATTACGTTTGAGTTCAATAAAATCCGCATCACTTATGGGGAAGTATTTGTCTAATTCTAACAACAAACATGCCAAATGGGAGTTACCATATCACGGAGAAACAAAAGAAGAGAAGAGATCTCTGAATGTTGTGTGAAGGAAGTGGGAATACTCAGATGCGTACTCAACGCGCCGCTGTCTGTTTTGGGGATGTGAACGGGACGCCTCTGTCTCTGACCACCAGACCAGCACCCCCCTCCCCTCCACGCACCCACCTCCCCTCCACGCGCCCACCCCTCTGTCTGGTCCAGCCCTGGTCTGTGCATCCAGGTGACAGACGCGCTTCGGCCTGAGGGATGCAGCAGCCTCTGGTGTCCGGCACATGGACAGCGCAGACAGGAGCAGCCGCAGCGCTCCTTTAGCTCATCTCAACATCTCCGAGTGGAAACCCTCATCTCCGTATAAGGATCTAACATTTTTGAGATTTTTCCTTTTGTCGCATTTGTAAACAGCGAGAGAGAAATCCAACTTATTCAATGCGCAACCATGCTCATCATCTCGTCTCGCAGTGCGCTGCTGTCCGTCTACTACCCACAGATCTTCCTCATCCTCACCAGCGGTAGCTACCTGTACGTCTCACTTTATGCAATGTATCTCTGTGAATTCTGTGTCAGATTTTGTCACTTAGACTTGTGGCACAAGAAGAGTTTTACGCGCAATAGTCTAATTACGGTTGGTTCAGCAGTTGCAGGTGCGTAAAGTGTGCGTAAAAGTAAAGCTATCTCCATAAATGAGTAATTAATATTAAGTTAGATAAATTTTGACAACCTTTAGAAAAAGTAAACACATTTTGCACTATATCTCATCAATGTAACAGAAGTAGTAACCTAATCCAAAATGTAATGCGTAATTGACATCTCCACTAATTGATTAATGTGTCTATTGTCGAAAGTCCGAGCTCCCACGTTTTACAATAGCGTGACTCTGGACATATTTTATTAGCTGTGCACTTCACAATGGAATAAGGCTCCAACACGTGCTACGGATTTCCCCACATTTCACTATTGTATTACTGTATGTCTTTACTCATAAGCGGACTATTAGGCCTATAAAAAGTGATCGGAGAGAGTGACCGAATCCGATATTAAATCGTCAAAATGATTTCACTTGTTGTAAAGCTGATGAGATAACCTGCTCTGATGGATTTACACGTTACGCTACAGCACTTTGTCGAAGGCGCACCTCGTTATACAATAATAGCTATAGTAATGTAATGGGCCATATGGAAAAAGGGTGAATTTGGGCTATTTCATGCTCACAGGCCTATGTAATAAGCGCCTATGGTATTACAATAGCCTGGTTGATTGCTACACCACTCCTAAGAAAGCCATATCCTCAATGTGAAATAACTGCTTTGCTTCACGCTCATTCTAAAAGTGGAAAGCTGACAGTAATGTATTGACTTAAATCTTAATAAAAGACCTTTGTTTTGTTTCTTGAAGTCTTACACATAACTCATTTTGATGTCAGTTTAAATGTTGCCACGGTTACTTCACTCATTAGGTCAGTTATGTTCATTTGGTTTCTAGTATTTGTATCATGGCAGGGATTTTCAAATTGTGGGCAGCAATGTGGGTAAACAGAAGATTGGTGTTAGAGGTTTTAGAATAAATGTGCCATGGTTTTGAAATTGGGCACGTAATTAGGCATTTCAAACAACTTGAGTTATGTTAAGCAAAATGCACCGAAGACCTACAAATCATAGAAATCCTGAACCTGTCTACTGTAAACAACTAAATAATAAAACTGTGGAATATATTTTGTATTTAATAAAGTGTATACATTTGCCATATAGTGAAAAAAGCAAAGGGAATCCAAATTTTCTTTATAAAACTGCTTGTTGTTAATGTGAGAGAACATTTAGTCACCAGAAATAACCTAAAACATGGAATAATTTAAGATAAACATTTGAGCAAGGAAAAACGCAATGCTTTTCTCTGAACTTAATATAACTAAAGTTTGAATTCTCGGATTGTTCTGCTTCAATGTTTTGCTTATTTAGAACTTATCCTATTGTTGTGCAAATCTTGGTACCACTTCATGATAACTACACCTTAATTAGCCTTAATAAAGCATGAACAAAGATTTAAATCATGATTAACAAATAGCGTATAAGGATGATTCACTTAAATTGTTAAGAGTTGGGGTTTTAAAAAGTAGTCACTTAGCCTCAATAATTCGCAATAAACTATTGTATATAGCTGAGATGTATTTTTATTACTTTGATTTACTTGTATACATTTATATAATTATGCCTTATTTGACACCAGTCTCTTGCTATTTTTGCTACTTATTTAGAATTTATTATTACCATGTACATTTTTTCTCTTATTATATTATATTGTGATGTGTGAGCTACTGCATCCAAGTAATTTCCCTTGTGGATCAATAAGGTTTGTCTAAGTTTAGTATGATTTAAGTCTTAGTTTATGCTTTATTAAGGATAATTAAAGTGTTTTAGTTTTTGTTACTCAGTTTGTAGCAGTGACTCACAAATGTTTGGCCTCGTCTTCAAAGTGGGATGTGGTTTGATAACTCTACATTTTTTATATCTGCAGGGCGCTGTCCTCTGTGGTAGCTTTGGGGGCAAACATTATCTGCAATAAGATCCCTGGACTGGCCCCACGACAGAGAGCCCTGTGCCAGAGCCGCCCGGACGCCATCATCGTGATCGGTGAGGGGGCACAGCTGGGCATCGACGAGTGCCAGTACCAGTTCAGATACGGGCGCTGGAACTGCTCCGCTCTGGGCGAGAGGACGGTGTTCGGACAAGAGCTCAGAGTAGGTCAGTCTGTCTGCAACAAGCTGCTTCATGACAAGGTTTTAATCACTGTTCATGCACGGTAAACCACTGTGTGAACTGACGAGGCTGTATGGTGGAAAGAGCACTGAAAAGTACAAGAACAATTACATGGCTAAACGCAGGGGTGGAAGTGGTGTTACGTAAGTAAGAGTACAGATATCGGCGCAAACAACAAAACAACAAACAAACTAAATTCTCAAGTGAACGTAAAAGTATTACATGAAAAAATCTGCTTAAGTAAATAAGTAAGTAAGTATTAAAGTACCTGTTTAAAAAATGTAAAGAGCAAAAAAGGATTTCACGCAGATTTTGAGATCTAAAACTAAAAATTTTGTGATTTTGATAAAGATTTGTGCTGAAATTTGTTCAACAGAAATGAGTGAATCAGTGTTCTATTTTATATCTTAAAATGTAGTGGAGTAAAAGTACAGATACACGGTCTCAAATGTAGTGAAGTAAAAGTAAAAAGTATTCACTCAAGTAAAGTACAGATACCTGAAATTGTTACTTAGAGTTTACTACTTTTTCTGTGTTACATTCCTAATGGTCTAGTTCTTGTTTTGTTTCTAGTTTAGTCCCAGTTTTCATGTGTTCCATGTGCAAGTACAAACACCATTAGGAGCATTTAAAACAGCAACAGTTAAAAGCTGAAATAAGTAGGCTAGTTTGAAACTGCAATAAGCAAATTCTTCGTTGTTTGGACAATTACAGCAGGTGATGTGGTGCTGTTACGTGTGTTTGTAGGTAGGCTATATAAAAGTGAGACAACCATACATTAAGGCTGTACTCAGTAACTTCTATGATTTTACATGTAGCTAAATATAATTGCATGTGTAAGATATACTCAATCACAAGTACAATGTTTAAAAATCCACTCAAACAAGTTCAATTACTCAAAAAATCTAGTCAGTTACAGTAATGTGAGTATTTGTAATGAGTTGGTTGTATGTAAAAGCATACTAGAAAATATGGAATTTATGAGGATAGTGAAAGTGACAAAATTCAACAAAAAGAACACAATTCATCAAGTGGTGAGAGAACTGGGTATGAATGATGATACAGAATTATTATGATGGTTTGGTCATTGTAAAGACATTCTCTTTGTATGTTTGATTTTATGAACTATAACATCATCCTGCCCAGGGGCTACAGGTAAAAATTAACACTAGAGCTACAACCTGGTAAAAAGCATCTCTCCTGTTAAGGTTAATCTATATTGTGCACTGTCTCATTAGACTAAACAAAACTAAACTAATTTGTAATTCAGGTGTAAACACACAATAGCCTACTGCGATTGTACTGTTGTATTGTACTTTATGTACAATGGACTAGAGGCTAAGTTCTATGTTAAATCAGAGCATTACATGTTATGGACACACCGATCCGATACTGGAATTGGATATTAGTGTCAATACTGAAAAACTTGCTGGATTAGATAAAATCAGTTCAGCCAATATCTTAGCTGGACATATAAACTGATGTATTAAGAGTATTTACTGGTAGTAGGTGGTTCAGAAAATTTTGTAATGTTTGAGTTATTATCTATACAGCAGTTACTTGCATAGAAAGTTTATATAAATGAACATAGCTAATGTGTCCAAATATAAAGTAACCATGGGGGGGGGGCTTCCGGCTCCACTGACTCTGTGAAAAAATGCCCCCTCTCTCTATCTAACTGCTGCAGTGAGCCTCGCCATTTTGGTCTTAAAATGTTCACATTAACCCGCTCTATATGGTTTTACTTTTTAGCTGTTTTATTTGTAAATAGATTCTTATTCCTAATATGGAACTCAGGTTTAAACTCACTTCAATAACTGCTAGCCTCATGATCTTCATTTGACTGGAGCCAAATGCTATGGGAGACGTCACACTCCTTTAGTCCACTCTGTCTACGGTTACTTGAGGCATAAATAACAGCTACATAACACAATGGATCAGTTTTGCCTTACATTAACCTTGTTTTAAGAAAATAAATGCTGTATTCAATCTCTGCACTGGTATTGGTTAATATCAGGTTTGGGCAGATACTTGTACATCCATAATATTGAAATCGGTATTGAAACTGAAAAACTAGTCTATACAAATAAAGTCATTAGCGCTGTGTGCAGACAGTTCCTTTTGTTGTCATAACATTGCACTAAGGATTATGAGGAAAGCCTGGGGAATATGTAGCTTCAAGTCTTGAACAAAGTCAAATTCATAGCGCTTGCCCGCCTAGACTTTCTCAGAAGCTCATTGAGGAACCACTTACATAAATTACATTTGAGTTGAAAATGTTTTGTTATGGTTTTTGTTATGGTTTTTCTATGGCGTTGGATTCATCTTTAATCTCACAGCTCTGGAACCAATCACGGTCTTCCACAGAGGAGACAAGCAGAGAGTCTGGTTCCTTTTATTTCTATTGTCAAAGGGAAATATCTCTATTCTCCAGTGACATGTAAATGAACTCAAAGAAACCACTGGAATAAGTGTGTTGGCCATTTGCTAACACAATTAAAATGTGGAGTAAACAGAATGTGGTATATTATGCTTTAACGGGCCCATATTAGGCTATTTTCTGATCTATGTTATAAAGTTGTTTCCTCATCAAAAACATACCCGGAGTTGAGTTTTGTTTCATTCACACAAGTTTAACACAGAAATCCTGCATATTTAGGCTAGAGTTCATCTCTGAAACTGAAAAACACTTTGTTACACAGTGTGATGTCAAGTGATAATACAAGAAGTGCTCCACTGTGTTTATAAACTCCAAACACTTAATAATTTCAGCCCCGGAATTACCAATCTCTACTGAACTAAAGGTAAAAGATAGATGTGATCTTGTAAACAACCACTTCATGACATCACAAGGTGGAACAGAGCATTTTGACCTTTGTAGATGCAGACAAACTAATAATTTAAAAAAAAAAGCGTTTCTCAAACATGTGCAAATGAAATGAAACACAACTCCAGGTCCATGTTTTGGAGGAATTAACATTTTAACATGGTTTAAACCTCATAAGAGTTAATTTTGTGTAATATAAGACTTTTAAAACTAAAACATACAGAGCTCATACTTTGCATTTTGTTGTCATGATCGAAAATGGCTTAAAAATATGGTCTTTGAGCTGCTCAAAACTGCAGATTTCACCATAGTAAGCAGCAGCGTTTCATTGATGTGCTTTTAATGTTGTAATATGATTATGTGGAATTTTTGAACATTACAAGTATGATCTTGAGTCTGAATTGTCTGAATAATTGCAGGACGTACAAAGATGTGGGTGGAGATAGGGGGTAGGTGAAAACAGACATTTTCTGAGCACTTAAGCTATGAATTCAGGACAATACAAGGTTACTCCAACATGCTTGAATCAATCAAAACATAACTTTAAATACGTTTATGATGAGCTAAGACATCTACAAAATCTCATTAACTCAATTTAGCATAATGTGTCTCTTTAAAAGTGAGGCAAAAATAGTTTCACATTTAATGACACATGGGATGCATCACAGTTGTCAGTACAGTGTCTAATTTTACTCTCCTAAATTGGGTTTGTAGAGTGTGGGCAGCTTAAGTATTTCAAAATTTCAGAATAACTTGAGAAAAATAACTTGGAGTCACAAATTGTTTAGCTTTTGAATACTCAATATGGCAGTCGGGGCCTTTGTGGTTTAACATACTTCTGTCTTGCTTTAACAATAACCAACCTCTGTGTGGCAAACGCTCTCATTCTGATTGACCTGCTAGCCCCGTGAAGTTATTAGGAAGAGAGAAAGGCCAGAGATCCTCATGTTAACCACTAATTGAAGTCAGCTACAGCAGCTGGATGGCAACAATGAAGCTCTGCGTGCACAGACCCAACAATCAAAACAAATCACAGTGTCAGGAGATGGCTGCTTGGCTGTAGTAAAGGCCCACTAGCCCGAAATGCAGCCTGTACAACATAATGGAAAGGGTCACGGATTGCGTCTGATGAGAGAAGAGTGGAGAGTTTGTTATGAATTATGGACCAAGAGAACCACAAACCCAATAGGTTTTCCATGTCAGTTTGTCAGACTGGACAAGAGCCAGTGCAACAGAATAGAGACCGTGCAGTAATAGAGAAAAGAATGGCATTGTCCAAGCAGGGGAGGAGGTGCAGTCTGTTTTAAGATACACCCTATACACTGCATATTTAACCTTTTAGGCTTTCTACATGACAGAGTAGGAAACCAAGAAGGGAGGAGGAGAGACTTATAAAAACACTTCAGTCACACAGGCTCGGGTCCAGACCAGACTCACTGATGGTGCATCCTTCAAATGAGATGCAAACACTTTTAAATGAGGGTGTAATGCACACTTTGCACCCCTGTAGACTTGGACCTGCAACTACTCTAAAACAGGCTACAGTGAGCACATTTTTAAAGCATACTCAATTTTGTGAAAAAGTGAATTGGCAACACTACATCTAAAAGTGACAAAAAATATTATGTTAAGGGGGACGTGATTGATTTTGAGTGATTCTATTAAGATGTTTTAGATCAATATTTCTGTTTACAATGGAAAAACTGTCCTATGTACATATGTTATAGTTTAATACTAGTGTTCTTTAAAGCAGTATGCATACATTCTGTGAGTGGATTACAGGGAACACATATAAAAGCTTGTATTTGTGTTTCTGTCTTGGCTCCGTATCAGGCCAAACAGTGAAGAAAGTCAGTGGGTGCATTGCCTCAGACACTGTTCGTTGGACCAGCTTTGTAAATGTTTTGTTATATTTCCTCTAGTTTCACTAATGATAAATAATGTGCCGTTGTTGTGTCCAGGCAGTCGGGAGGCAGCGTTCACTTACGCCATCACCGCGGCCGGAGTGGCCCATGCGGTGACCGCCGCCTGTAGCCATGGCAACCTGAGCCAGTGCGGCTGTGACCGGGACAAACAGGGCTACCACGACCAGGAGGAGGGCTGGAAGTGGGGAGGCTGCTCCGCAGATGTGAAGTACGGAGTGGAGTTCTCCAGGAGGTTTGTGGATGCACGAGAAATCAAGAAGAATGCACGAAGACTCATGAACCTGCACAACAACGAGGCCGGAAGAAAGGTACACAAAAATAAAGAAATTAATTTTACATATAATAGAGGAAAGGAAGGAACAGTGCAACTAATGCACAACACTGGGCCCAGCAGAAAGCCTTGCTCACTGCTGAGTCTTTTTAATCAGTGGTGCAGAATAGGATGGGAAAATACTGTACTGTCCTGTCAGCATTTCTGGGTTTGCAGCTATTCTCTGACAAAGTCAGACTTCACTCCAACAAAGTGTTGTTTCCATTCTGGCTACAATACATTTGTGGATATAACTAATGTGCGAAATAAACAAATCACAACATTCCCCACATATGAAGAATCACATGTTTGACAAGAGACCAATTTAAGAGACTGCAGTAAAAGAGTGAGGGGCGAACTTAAAGGGAAACTCATATTTTATGTTAAATATGAATGAGGTCGAGACCACAGAGTAACATTATACATAAACAGAAGAAGAAAAGCACAGGTCAGTTTTAGTGTGAGGTTTAGTCTAAGGCTGGATTGAGTTATTTTCACCAGGTTCGAGTTCATATGACTGCTAAATCATATTGTTTCAGTGTTGTATTATCCAACATTATCAAATGATTCCCACACTACTGTTTACTCTATTTTAGTTATTTCCATGGGAGTGGAATCTATATTGCCAGTTAATCTGTATTGCCAATTTAATTATGTTGTTAATACGTATTTTTTATATATTGAATTGTTAAAACACAGTACATTGCCTTTTTACCAATATGCAATAATTTGAAGTTTTTTTTGTGAAATGGTGAAATGCCTCCTTTATAGGGTCAATGTAATACTTATGTGCTAGTATCAGCCCTGTATCTGACCCTTCTCTCCGTCCTCTGCAGATCCTAGAGGAGCGTATGAAGCTGGAGTGTAAGTGTCATGGCGTGTCTGGCTCTTGTACCACCAAGACGTGCTGGATCACTCTGCCCAAGTTCAGGGAGATCGGGTACCTGCTGAAGGAGCGCTACAGCGAGGCAGTGCAGGTGGAGGCCGTGCGCGCCTCCCGCCTCAGACAGCCCTCTTTCCTGCGTCTCAAAATGGCACGTGGATACCAGAAGCCCACAGACACAGACCTGGTGTATCTGGAGCGCTCCCCAAACTACTGCGAGGAGGATAAGGTCACAGGGAGTACGGGCACAAGAGGCAGGCTCTGTAACGGGACGTCCACCGGGGCAGACGGGTGCAACGCCATGTGCTGTGGGCGAGGGTTTAACTCCCACCAATACACCCGCGTGTGGCAATGCAACTGCAAGTTTCACTGGTGCTGTTTTGTCAAGTGCAACACCTGCAGCGAAAGGTCAGAGGTCTTCACATGCAAATAAGAGACAGCAAACACGGACTTTCAATTTGAAGTGAAGAACTTGGAAGTATTTATTCAATATTTTGCACATTTTGGCATCCTTGGGAATTTACTTAAGGAAAGACAAATATAAAATGAAAGATGCAAGGCTTGATGCTTGGGAGCCGAAGCAAAACAAAGACAGACATCTTTGAAAGATGAGACAAAGTGACATTTGGTGGTTCATATTGAAGCATGAACTGGAAATGCATGTGACTGCCAATAACAACAGCGAATTGTAGCTCATGTGGCAACTGTAAACTCACACTGTATGTTTGAACACTGAAAATAAAACTATTTATGTCAAAGATGCTAAGGCCCCACAGGGCAAATGACAGATTCAAATGCTTTTTTGTTTTGAAGCTCCAGAACGTTTTTAGCATCTTCTTTAAACTTCTTCCTTTGCACTTGAACAGTGACATGGGACAAGACGAATAGTTTTCACAGATCCCTCATAAACATGTGTTCCCCTGGGGCCCCGGCCCTTGTTACTCGGGGCCCCAGGCTAAAATACCCACATACTATTTAAAGCATCGACGGTCAGCTTCTATGGCACTTTCCATCCCAATATTTTGACTGTTTGCTTTGTGAAGGGCTCTTGACTTCTGAGAAAAGCGTTCAGGCCTCATTGGCGCTCCATAGAGGTGTAATCAGGTTCAGATACATTGGACATTCCACAAATGAGGAATTTCACATGGGCCTGTGCTTACACAAGGCTCCAGCGGTTTAGGCATCTGCCCCAACCACAAGGGGACGACGATCAAAGGCCCAAAGCTATTTTTGGACAAAACCCTTAATGTATTCACTCATGTTTATTTAGGCTTTATGTAACGTTCAAAACAAGCTGAAGAGTATATTTTATATTGAGGAACGTGGCACTTTATGTCATTTAAAGATTAAAAAAAGAGTCATTATTTACAATTGTTTATTATTGTTAGCATTTTCAGAGAAACAATAAATTATTGTATGTAAGCCAGTCTTAAATTGTACATTGTAAATGTTATACCATATTATATGTTTCAACATAGCCAACAAAGTAATTTATCCAGTGTTTACAGAAACCAAGGACTACTGTGCACACAGTTGTAATTAAGTAACATTAAACTATTCTGCAAAAAGCCAAACCATTACTGGAGTTCAGTTTGTGTTTACTAATGTCCTTTTAAATCAAGACTTATTGCTGTCTTAAGATTGCAACTTGGCTTTATTCCTTTCTATGTGGTAAAATGTGTGTTTACTAAATAAACCTGATCAGCGGTGTTGTTTTTTTTACAAATAAAACATGATCCTCCTTCGCCTCAAACTGATGTCACACTTTACCTTATTCAAAGCATTAACAGAGTTTATAATTAACATACAGCATACAGCCTCACACCAGTGCAGTCTGTCCAAGGCCTCTTATATGGGAAACAGTGCATTTGGCCCCTGCCTGATGTGTCTCTAATACATTATAGGTGACCAGACCAGGGCCGGGCCACCTCATTCAGCAGACACAGGCTCTTTCCTGTGGGCCTGAAAAGCATTGCAGCCAGCCAGTGGAGCGCGTAACAGCTGTTTTGTTAGCCGTCTGAAATCCTGGGGACCGGAACCACATAAGCTCCCTACACTGTGCGGGCGGATTGAGCGCAGAGTCCAGCCGATTGTTTCAATACATTTTGTCATTAAAAATCGGAGGCAGAAAAAACAGGGTGGGGCTGGGTACGGGCTGGTCTGTAAAGCGCTGCATTGTTAGGGTGTCAAGACCATTCAGCTTGTCCAGCAACGCGAGGAGCACCCAGGGGTGTCATTCTGCAAACTAATGCTTCTGGTCTGATTCACCCTCTCACTCTCTCATCAAAATCCTGTTTTTATCACCGCTGTCTATGTCCTCTGGGCCCAAATCGCTCATAAAGTTCCTATATTACACAAAATGGATTCTTGTGAGCTTTAAGTCATGCTATAATGTTGTTACCTCCTCAAAACATATCTGGAGTTATGTTTTGTTTCATTCACACATGTTTAAGTGACCCTTTGTTATTCACCTGTTTACATCTCCAAGATCAAAATACTCTGTCCCACCATGTCACAAAGCAGTAGTTTTCTAGTCAACAGGTACCTTTTACCTTTTGTTCATCAGAGCTGAAATTATCCAATATACTGGTGAAGGCGTGTGGAGTATAAAAACACAGCGAAGCACTTCCTGTACAAAGTGTTTTCTGTTTGAGAAAAGAACTCAGTATGAATGAAACAAAACGCCATGAATAATTTTAATGAGGATACAACATACTAGATCAAAAAATACTGTAATATAGACCGTTTAAATATTCTAACAGCTAACTAATCAATGACTAATGTTACGCATAGTATGAGTACAATATAATAACTAGACTCTAAGGCAGTTTCACTATAATGTGTCTGTACCCCGGGTCGCCGGGGCTGCCCCCGCGACCCGGCCCCGGATAAGCGGACGAAAATGGATGGATGGATGGGTGTCTGTACAATTATTATATTTCCATGTTTATACACCAAAGCGCATTGTTAGCTCTGCAAGTACAATATATAGTGGAGCCTTCATCATTATTTTGCATAGTCTGTACTAAAAAAAAATCAAAAAGACCAAATAAGAACAAATCTAAGACTATATCAGGTCTATCCAAGGACTAAACTAGAGCTAAACCAGGACTTAAAGGTGCACTATGAACTTTTCAGGTGAAGTTTCCATCACCTGCTTTTCTCTATGGAGATGTTATTGTTTTACCTGGAATGTCCCACAGTATGGCATTTAACTGATCTGTATGAACTGTTTGAGCAATAAAAGGTAATTTAATATTTATTTAGTTAATTTATGAGACAGGGACAGTGCACAGTATACATTAACCTTAACAGGAGAAATGCATTGTGCCAGGTTATAGCACCAGAGCTAATTTCCACCTGTAGTCCCCGGTGCATGTTTTTTTTTTTTAATCTAACTGCTAGATAAATGTTTAATGCCATACTGTGGAATATTCTATGCAAAGCAATGACATCTCCATGGATACAGACGGCCATCGTAAATCTACTCTAACCAGAAAAATTGCATAGTGCTGCCTTTAACCAAAAAAGAAAGTAGCATAAAGTGAATACCCAAACATCTGGACAGAACTACGAAAGACTCCTGCATTGGAAACAAATTAAAATGTTTAATTATTTAATTAGTTAGCTAACTAGAGGCACTGCTCTGTCTAAAGCTGTTACTTAAATTAGACTTTAAATTTTTGTTGTAACACAGTGTGGCTATTAAGAATTGACTTAGTTGTAACAAAAAAGGGACAGCCATACAGCAGAGGTGGGGACTTGCAAGCGATGACTTGGACTCGAGTCAGACTTGAGACTTGACTTGATAAAATGGACTAAGACTTGACACCCGACTTGGACTTGAAGGTCAATGACTTGGGACTTGACTTGGACTTGAGGCCTGTGACTTGAGAAGCACTTTTAAATCTGAATTCTTTCTATTCTGACCATAATGATTCACACCAAGATCTTGTCAAGACATTTAAAAAGGAAAAATTAACAAAATTAATTTCTACAATTCTTACATACTCAATAAGTACTCATATACAATATACCATGATTTTTTTTAAAGTACAATTTATCTTAAAAGTCATATAAATTGCAAAAATCTAAGCTATATTTGGTACTTTGGTTTAAAAACATGAAATGACTTGAAGCTCCAAGCAGACAACTCGGTCTTGACTTGGACTTATGGGCCAGTGATTCGAGACTCGACTTGAACTTGCCTGTATTTGACTTGGGACTTGAGACTTACTTGAGACTTGCAAAACAATGACTTGGTCCCACCTCTGCCATACTGAGCTTTGTACAGTTTGACCTCTCAAATAACATTACAGATACAAGCTGGTTAGCATCAGTCACTCACCTTTTTTGACCATGAATATGCATCTTATTGTAAACCTATAGATGATAAAAGTGAAGAGAATAGGTGGACTGTGCGGTTGTGTGTTGTGCAAGCCGATAATACAGATTGATGACTATTCATTTGTAATATAGTAAACATGCTTACCGGGAATTCTTTAATCATGTGCCTATAATGTAGCCAAAAGCAAGATGGATCATGTTGAGAAGTTAAACATACATTTTTGGTTATGCCACTGTTTAATATGAGATGATATACGCCAAGTCTAAGAGTGAGTGTTTATTTTGCATAGCCTTTAATAATGGGTTAAGCTGCCATGTATTCAGTGCGTAATATTTTCTACTAGACTTTGTTCAAAGCAAGTGATAAATAACTGGAAGTGCGTAAATAGTTCTGGTAAATACTTCAGTTTAATTAGGAAGGATAGGCCTATTACATCATATGGGGGTGGTTTTACTCTAAGTTGTGGTAAGGAGTTAGTTAAGGTCATTGGATAAGAGCTAAACATAAAAGCGTTGCCAAAAACAGCCAGCATGCTCTCTCTCTGTTCACCAAATCTTCAATTCTCCAGCCCAAATCAAGGCAAAAATTGATTCTTCTCTTCTTTTCTTTGTAAATATGGCATTCTCATTAGTGGATTATTTGCTAATTTTACTCTAGGCCCAGATTAAAATTGATATCGAGGGTAGGAAATAATTTTATGGTAGTGTTTTGAGCTGCACAATATATCACAATCAAATCGAAATTGCAATTTGAGTTTATGCAATTATCAAACCGCAAATGCTGTAAATGGTTAGATAATAGAATGTTCTCAGCAGATTACCAGATAAACTTTTTTCCCTGTAGTTTAGTTTATCAGTTCAGTTTTCTCTCAAATGCGACGCTCCTGGAGTCCTACTTCTTAAACATATGTTGTAAATCTAATCATAACTACAATACTTTGAATTTGTCCTCAGGTGGTCAGAATTACTGGGTGTACCACAAGGTTATTGATACTTTGCAGCTGATGCCATCAACATTCTCTGGAGGTGCGATGCTAATTGGAGGCATTACTCTGTCTGAAGCTCTGTTACTCAAGTTAAACTTTAATCTGATCTTTGTTTAAACGCAATCTGATCATAAAGAACTGATTTAAATGGAAGATGTGAGCTAATTTGTGCTGTTAAACACCTCCCGCTCTCACGTAACATTACAGTCACAAGCTACTGAGCATTAGCTTTTATTAATCACAGGCTCCTGAAAATGGTTACATTCTGACATTCCGACATTGACTTCTAATTGTCAGAGCGGCAGCATTTCCATTTTTTTCAAACGTTCCTGCACTCCGACATTTTTTTTCCTTGGTCGGAGTGGCGGTATTTTAACTTTTTTTCAACATTCCGCAATTCTTTTTTTCAACATTGCACATAAGGTAATTATTAAGTTGCGACGGCGCTCTTTTCAAGTAAATATTTTCAAGGATTGGTAGCGTAGGAGCAGTGGCGCACGCAGTGTACGGAAGTCCTGGTTTAGACCTGGATTAGACCTGGTTTAGACCTGGTTTTAATCCTGGTTTAGTCCTGGTTTACAGCTGGTATTAGTCCTGATTTTAGTCCTAGTTTAGTCTGGGTTTAGTCCTGAATTTAGTTCTGGTTTAGTCCTGGTTTTTGTTCTGGTTTAGAGGCGAGGTCCACGCGTCGTATACAAGGCAAAAAAAGGTGATGCTCCAAACTATGAGTAGGTTGTCAAAACGATTACATAAAGACGTCGGGATGGCGGCATCAAAAAGTGTCGGAATGGAGGGTTGTCGGAATGATAGAATGTCTGGTGGGGGTCTGTCGGAGTGGGGGTCTGTCAGAATAAGGGTTGTACCCTCCTCAAAATATGTTGTTTAAATCCACTTTGTATTTTTTTGTTTTGAGACAATCTTTAGTAGCCTAGTTATTCCTAATGTGTGCATTGCTTCACCATAGTAACAACTGAACATCCTGCCATACACATATATGTAGAACACCCCCTGTATGATGTAACTGCAAAGTATCAATATCACAAATCTAATCGCAACTGTAATACTTTTTGCATTTGTCTTCTGTCAGAATTAATGGGTCTATCCATAAGGCAACAGGGCAAAGATTAAGTTTATAAATGGTGGAATCATTCACATTCAGTGGTCAGTATTAAGGACTTTGCAGCAATAAAATATTTGCGGATCCTTCCCACATGTGAGGATTTTTGGTTTGGTTATTTCTTTCAAAAAATTAAGTAGACCCTGCCTTCAATCTTAAATTATAACACCACATTTAGAACGAAATTAATTGAACTCCTTAACTTGAAGATAAGGTTTCAGCTCAACATTTTCTGGGTTTTTAAAATAGTATTTCACAGTCACTTAGCACAGAGCGAAATCTATGCAAGTTATAAATACACCTTATCAATAAAGCAAGAATCTAAAGCTTTAAAGCACTCTTAACATAACACAAGGTTAAGTGTATTCTTATCTTTATACCTTCCTATTGTAAACCTGTTTGAAGATCATGACTTTGCCTTTATACAATGATTTTCATGTGTCTTTCCTGACAGTTTTGAGCAGCAGACTTCCATCCCTCTCCTCCACTTCAAACCCCAGCTCTCTCAGGGCGGAGTAGTCAGCCTCGCCGCGTTGCTCCAGTGACGCCACCAACTTCTGATTCTCCAAGTTGTTCTCAAGGAGGTTTCTGATGGCGAAGATGGCCCACTGGTTGATAACTGTTAAAATTGTTAAGGGGAAAAGCATTTTTTTTACAATAACTAAACCCATTATTGTTGTTATTATTACTATATTGCAGGGTTTCAGATTAGATCACAACATACATAGGGCAATGTTATTTGATACAGATGCTCCTCAAATACATCAAATACTTTTCTCTATGGATAGATTGATTCTAGATGTCTAGATTGTTTCACAGTATGGCATTAAACATTTCTATCTTCAGAGAGAGCATGTTACTGGTCTGCTTTTCTAGATATTTCTGAGCAATAAACCCACCTTTAATTTAATAAATGTACAGTTAAGATGTTTAATGTTAGCCTGAATTCATCAGCCTGTTTCACTTCGTTTCAGTTCGTAGAAACCGTCTGACCTTGCAGCGTTGAAATTTGTTCGTTCAACGGTATGAGGGTACTTTTTGTCATTTAACCAATCACTGCTATTTGGTCGTGATGTATGTAATGCGCTGCTAATGGGGCTAACTGGTAGGTAATCCCGTAGGAAAAAGGGCAATAACGTCTTTTCCCTTGATAAAATTCACCAAACATTCTCTTTATTCCAGCTTTAAATCCTCGATCTTGAGAATCATTGCCAACACAGAATATATGGCTCTTCACTGATGCACTTCCAGGGTTTTTGCAAACCATCTAGTGTATTCTGATTCCTGACCTAGTCACTGGAGAGAAATGAAATTGAGCGGAGGCACTAGGTGGCACCAGCCTGACTAGTTTAATGTCATACTGTGGAACAATCCAAGAAGAGCAATGACATATCCACAGAAACAAGCAGATGACGGATCTCAAACCAAAAAGTTACATAGTGCAAATAAAAAATACAAATTTGTCTTGTTCTAGGGTCTGGTGAAATTTGGAACATCTCTTTTTATTAGCTTGGTGAAAGATGTAACTTTTCGGTAGTGGGTCCATCACCTTCTTGTTTCTATGGATATGTCACTGCTCTGCTTCAAATGTTACACATATGACATTAAAAAGACCTACCTTACATTTATTCAATTACAGGTGGTTTTATAGCTCAAAAATATCTAAAAAAAAAACACACAAAAAAACAGGCACTCTGACTGTGAGCGGGGCTGCCTCTCCACAGATCTGACCTGTAACGTGGTCTGGTTTAGTCTCCATGAAGATAGAAAGCGCTAATGCCATACTGTGAAGCATGACAAAGCAATAACACCCAAAAAGAAAAGCATTTGACGGACCCGCCACTAGAAAAGTTACACAATGCACCTTTAATATCACTGCACATTGCCCCTTCAGATAAAACTAAGATTCAACACAGACATTTCTTATGAGGAGACAGAGTAATCAATAGGGATTTCTGGCGCTTGCCCCCCTTCTGGGACTATAACGTCATCTCATTGTAGATTCTGAAAACCACCAAGCTGACGATGATTGTGCCATCTCTTACTACAGACTAAGGAATTTCGCAATGGAGTAAATTACATAATGTACATAATTACAGTATACTATTCTCCTGAAGTGCCTGTGGTTTGATTTGCACAAACTCAAATATGTTTTTGTGACACAACAAAATCATAGAACTGTTTTTCAACCCCTTACAGCAGGGGAGGGCAATTATTTTTTACATGGGGCCACATGAGAAAACAAAAAATATTGTGGAGGGCCAAAATGCTTAACTCAGTTCTGCATAATATTAACTGTATTTCTTCATAAAAAGCAGTAAATACCATTGTTTTGACAAGCTGGTAAGACTGGTAAGAGACTATTTTATGATTTAGCAATGAAAAAGTGAGGTTGCCATCCAAAAAATGTCATTAAAAAAACATCTCTAAAATAAAAGAAATGCAGCTTTAGTCCATGCATAAGGTAAAATGATATGTTTCTTTTCTAATTCCAAATTCAGCTTCAACAAGACGGTCAGAGTCAATCATAGGACCATATGTGGCCCAGGAGGTGGACAATGCCCAGGTCTGCCTTACAGTAAACATTAAATTACTTTTGACTTTTAAATCTATAGAACTGTGCTTCAGTCTATTGCAATATTGAACAAAAAGGAAGGAAGCAAAGCATGTCTAAATTAAATAACCCAAAATCTGAAATTGAAACGAGACAGACCAAGTGAAGTCTTGAGAAAAATGACCAATTCTTGGACATACACGCACATTTGGTATAAGGATACAGGGGTTGTTGCTGTCAATACTGCAGTTGTCCAAGATCAGAGGGATGCCGTCAAGTTCTCTCACCTGTTTAAAAGATACAGAACAGTTAGTAATGTGTATTTTTTCTATGATGTCAGCTGGGATGGTAAAGGTAACTAGAGGCAGTGTACTGTTTGAAGCTCCGTTACTCAAATTAATCTTAATCTGAGTTTTGATTTTACAACAATCTGACAATAAGGAACTGAGTTAGCTGAAACTACAACAGGAGAGCAGATTTGTTCCTAGCATGAGCCAATTATTCTTTAATTAGTTACTCTAAACAGGACCATAAACGCTTGCATTGATCACAGGCATCTGAAAATATATTGTTTAAATCAATTTTGTATTTATTCTTGAGTGTTAAAACTTCTTTGGCATTGTTTGCTAATGGGTGCATCGTGTCACCCCGGTAACTGCTTAACATTCCACCACAGACACGCATGCACTACCCCCTAAGCGTGATGTCACTGCAAGAATCAGTTATATATCTAAAACCATGCAAATTTGTATGCAAAACAGACAAAATAGTTACAAAACCTTAATTGAACCAAAACCATCTGTGAAATCACCACAAGAGTGATCTGTTTTCTGTCTCTTTCTACAGACCAAATTATTTTCATTGCTTCCATTTGCCCTTACACTTCTTATGTTGCTACTGTCATCAAATCTTCGTAAACAAATACAGCAGTGTGGGGTTTCTATTGTGACAGTTATGACGATTTCAAGCACACAAAAGCCTGCATTTTCTACTCTGCAAAACATTAAGTTGTTGGTCGCATCCAAACCCCAAAACACGTGGAGATGTTGCCATGAACATGCATCCCAAAGCTCGTACATGTACATCTTAAATTACCAACTCTCCCAAAGGTGAACACATGACATTGGGTTTACTGGAAGAGATCACAGTGAAAGCAGATACGGGCTGAGTTTTGACCACTGACGGACCACAGAGCACCATCCGCGGACATTACAGAGGCCATAGCAGGGCAGGCATCCCACAGGCATTCTCCAAATCTGTTTCTATTAAGATCGACTGTGCTCATGTCATGCCACAACCCACCCTCTCCCCATCCCATTATTTATTATCTATACATGCTTTTGTTAATACTGCGATGCTGACAGATGGTAATTCCAGAAAACTGATAAAAATCAGGAGGGGTCAGGGCAGGGTTGGGCGTGTTCAAGGTTTCATTGTTTTGTTGAAAGCCATTTGCGTATATACGGTATAGCTTGTAACCACATCCACAGACATTTCCAGTCAAGAGCAGTTGAGTTCAAGCACCCAACGGCGATAATTCTTAGTTATGCAAGCCAATTCCTCTTCTTGTCCCTGCACCATCATCAGTCATTGGAAATATATTATTATATTTATTTGTAAATATTAGTAATACCACAACCATTTTAAAAAAGGCCAATTGCTAACCATAGTTTTGGAATTGTGTGGCTCTTTCTGTTGCAGTAAGAGTGAAGTCACATTCTGTTATTCCGTCAGAAAATATAAAGTTAAAGATCCACTATGTAACTTTTCTTTTAAATTGTCTGCCACAGTTGTTGTTTCCAGTGATATATCTGTACATATGTGTCTCAAAAATCTTGCTCAGCAAAACTAGGAAAATATGATACTCAAATTCTTTTAACCGATATGACTATAATTTACAGTTTTTACAGCATGCCTCAAAGGAGGCATTGCCGTTATACGATGGCCTGGCAACTACTTTGCCTACCTTGATGGCACCATTCCTGCCGCCTCGTTCCCTTCCTTTCCTCTCCCCTTTGCCACCACTTTCCTCTTATTGCCACAGCAACTACGATGACATTACTGACTTCCTCCAAATTGCCAAACTGAAGTAATATTAACAAAACCCCTAAAAACTGCTTCCATTTCCTGCCCTCTATGTTGCGCCACCTTTCTTTTTTTACGTCACTTCGAAATAGGGATTTCACAGCAACGTCATCTGTTCTGCCACTTTTTCAGTGAAGGTGAGGGTGATTGGGCGCAGAGCAGAGAATACAGCCTATCCATTCAGTCACACAACCAGTCTGGTAAAGGCAGGACTGAACTGAAGTCAAACTGCTACTATGTAGGCTGTAAACATCATGCTCTCTGTGGTGTCGCTGCACTAATCATGATATCACGGTTAAATAAAGCACAAAAAACAGGAAATGGGAGTTCGAGCAGCCTCCTTGGCAGCAGTCCGCACGACTGCTGGGGGTGTCGGCATAGGCTACTTTCTATGCAAACGTAGGCATTTATTTGGAACCGGTGGTTATTTATCAAGATATACACCTGCACGCAGCGTTAAACAGGGACCCAGTTGTTAATTGAAACCCGACAATTATTTGGTATTTTATGGTATTACCCCTTTTAAACCAACTGTCAACGTTAAATAACTTCGAACCACTTCTTGTTTGTTAAGTGTGCAATAACGCGCTATATAAGTTCCATGTATTATTATCATCATTATTATGTTTAGACTTTCTATAAATAAAAAAGGTATTGCTTCTATAAAAGACAATCAATATATAAACTACAACAGCATAAAATGAATGTCACCTTGTTCTGATTGTTGGTGTGATTGTGGCACAGGTTTCCCATGAGTCTAATGAGATGAGCTTTGAAACTGACGACTGGAGAGTGATGAGATGAACCCGCCTCTCCACTGAAGGTCGAGAAGTTCTGAGATGCACTGAAAATATTCTTACTGGATTTTCCAATGGCATGAACCTGCGCCAGGAGCTCTGCAGAAAAAATGACAAGAAGAAAATTTTATTTTTTCAAGAAGATATTGTTCATATCTGAAAAAAGAGCTGCAAAAAGAGCTGATTAATATTTAACATAAACATACTAAAATTATATTACTGGAATTTTGTGGGTAATAATACAGTGATTTCCCATTTGGCTGATACGTAAACCTCAACTAAAACCTTTTATCACATCTATATAGGACTGACATACTGTAATATTGTCTGAAAATCATTATCGAGATATATCAAGATTAGGGGTGTCAAATTATCACGTTAATTGCGATTAATTAATTACAGTCATATTTAGCGCGTTATGCTTTTTAATCGCGTTAATCTCATTTTTAATCTCTAACTTTAGTGTTTCTGTATGCGAGTTGCTTTATTATAAAATCTGTTTTTATGTGTTATTGGGACAATAACACACACACACACACAAAAAAAACACATTTATAATTTTTTTTAATTTCGGTAATTCCACTCATTGCCGGAAACCCACACAAAACGCGCGCAGTAAGAGCGATGTGAACGTCATGTTAAAGTTGGCGGCGTCAGGCACAATGGACGAGGTCGTAGAGCCAGTAGAACAGAGTCAGCAGTGCACAGGTAAAAACACATTCGTGTCTTGGAAATTCTTCTCCCGACGTGAAATATAAAAGAAAATAACTAATATAATATCGCCTACAACTTAAATGTCACTGGTGAAAACAACCTGCATAGGCTCATGTCTGCACTACTGTCCTATAGTGACCTGCCACATGAGGGGACACGCACACAAACACACACAAATACACACAAACACACACCTTCATCATCGTCATTAACCTGAGAACGCGCGGACCACGTTTCCTTCCGTAGACACTGTGCGGACACCGACGTGCTCCCGTGAGCCGCGTGTGGATCGTGTTTTCTAGCGTACGCTGCGTAAACCGCGCTTCCTCCTGTGCGCCTCTAAACCAGAACTAACACCAAGACTAAAACCAGGACTTATCCAGTCTAGGACTAAACCAGGTCTAAACCAGGACTAAACCAGGACTAAACCAGAACTAAAACTAGAACTAAAACCAGGACTAAACCAGAACTAAAACCAGAACTAAAACCAGGTCTAAACCAGGACTAAACCAGGACCAAACCAGAACTAACACCAGGACTAAAACCAGGATTAATCCATTCCAGGACTAAACTAGGACTAAAGTAGGACTAAAGTAGGACTAAAGCAGGTCTAAATCAGGACTAAAACCAGTGACCTCATATATAAAGCATTTCTCTATCAATAATATTTTTAATATGGTTAAGGAAAGACTGGACTTTTTATTGTCTTTAAGTAGACAAAAGTTATTATGTTCAGATTTCCTCGTCTTTGCTACTTTACAGCAAACAGTTTCTTATTCATGGAGACTTGGGCTCAACAGCCAATTTGGAGAGATTTGTTAAACAATAAATTACTTTATAAAGTCACTTTTTTTAATCTATATCAGTCTTTTGATCTGCCACAATAATGTAATAATGCATTTAAATGAAAATACCTCAAATTGAAGGCTTTTCTCAGCAATTTTTAGGTGAGATTAAAATGAGATTAATTAGATTAATTAATTACAGATCATAATTAATTAATCTCTCAATTTTTTTAATCGCATGACAGCACTAATCAAGATATTATTTTTTTCAATGTTGCCCACTAGTAACTGGTGGCTTTCTGTGTATTTCTTTTTCAAAAGCTCACAAAGTTACATATCTCATTACTGCAAGTCTAATGTGGGGAATAACTATGAGAATGAAGTGTGGGTCATGTTGTAGTTACAAAAAAAGTTAAATGTATTGGGGCTACAACTAATTATTCTAGCAATTATTCTTTTGATGAATGAATTTGTTGTTTAAATCGTGAAAGGCCCGTGAATATTATTTTTTACTCAATTTTATCCAGATTAAGCTAAATGATTACATCCTGATGTAGTGATGTAAAGAATATTTACAGACAAAATTGTAATTCTTGCATTTAACCTCTTCAGCTCAACTTAAAATTGAATGATAAATAAATACCTGTCGTATTAGTAAGAAGGTCTGGATGGTCCTGTAAGAACATGAACTCTCTGTGATCTGAAGACATCTCACAAAGAACATCCAACAAGCTGATCACTGTCAGCGCCTCCTGCAGGACCTAGGATGAAATGCAAGCAGATTATTAAATTGCGATCACTGTTAAGATAAAATACTCTATGTAAATGTCAGTATTAAGGATAGTACTAACAATATATACAAATATCACAGCACACTATATATTGCAATATTTTGTGGAGGTGAACAAAATTGCAAATATGGTACTTTTTCCTTTTAAAATGTCTTGACAACAGTTTTAGGTTTGGTTATAATCTAAAGAACTAAGCTAAAAGTGCTTAAGAACAGTTATCTCTTCATGTTGTCAGCACTGAAAGAGCAAAGGATCATGGTCTATGTAGTTCCCTGTTTTGTCTATTGCTGCACCATAACAATCAATTTAAGCAAAGAGATTTTGTAATTTGACATTGTGATGGTCCATGATATCATTGTTAGGTTTTTGACAATCCTATATCACTACATTTGGGTTATTGTTTGTTAGATCCCTAGTCAGTACTACATAGAGTAGTAGACTGTAGTGTGTACCTCATTGCTGGATACAGAGCCTGTGGCGAGAGTGAGCACTGCACTACAGCCACTCTGAAAAGAAGAGGCCAGAAAAGAGGCGACAGCCGGAGGAATGCCACACTCAGAATCCTCCTCTCTCAACTGAGCCAACAGCAGCTCCAGCAGAGTCACTCTGGAAAATAGGTTCAATCAGTTCAGTTCACAGTTTGGTTGTCTTTAGTAAAAACACAACATTGCACTTTTCATTCCCTCCCCTACACTGGGAGAAAATAGCTTACAGGTAGCAGGTAGAATGACAGACAATGATAAGGCTGCTATTTTGAGCCATTGTCTCCCCTGACTCCCACCGATCAGTCTCTCTCACACGCTCACACTCACACAAACACACTTCATACTTGTTCAAGTTGAGGCCAAAGAAATTTGTGTGTATTTTTATGTGATCAGCTTTTTACAAAGACAATTAATGAAACTTTATTATTCAGCTTTTCAAGCATACTTTGTGACATAAACCACAAATTAACAACCACTGATTTAGCATTGCAGTAGAACATAAACTACCTGTCATGGTGCTGCATCCTTGTGTACATGCCCGTCACCAAAACAGTGCACTTCAGAAAATGCTGGGTTGCAATAAGAACCCTATTAGAAATAAACAGAGGTATAGATTACGCAAACGTTCTTAATAACAGCAACATAAGTAATTTAAAAAAACAAAGATATATATGAATAAAACCATGAGGAATTGTTCTCACGTCCAGTCGATGTCTGGCTGTGTCCTGCAGAGCTCCATCACCTTCAGAGCCAGAGGGACATTCTCAGGAAGAGCTAGTGTTTCAACTTTAGCTTCATCTAAACAAGTGTGAAGGACCATAGAGGCGTAGGTCGCAGTCTTCTCATCATCTACACAAAGGAGCTGCCTGTTAAAACATAAGTTTAGTGAAACACTTCAACAATGAAGACATTTTTAACAGTGTACCGTAGTTAACATAAGACTAAATCGTATGTCAAGTATGCTGCACACTTCACTTACAGGAGATGGTCTGGGACGGTGAGCTGCCAAATCTCGTCTTTACACATCTGATTTCCCACGGCGATATTACCAATAAACTGGATCCCACATCGCAGAGCTGGTTTAGTATAATGAAGATGAAAAGTTTTGTCTTATACAAATAGGACAAAAATACATAGTAATAGTTACATTCTGACAACCTACGTTCAAGTACACCATCCTGGTCCTCTTTGGTTTGAAGATATTTTAGAAGTTTCAGGGTAGCATCTATGAATCCAAGATCCCTTGGGGATAATTATATATATAAACTAAAGTTTCTAATGCAATATCAATTTCCATTAGAATGCAAAAAAAATAGACAGATGGTTGTAAAAAAATTATCCAAAAGGACTTTAACTAGAAAGCCTTATTATCATTTATCATTTGTATTAGATTTACCTGAGCAGGCACTGGTTACCTGTGCTCTGGACACAAGCGTTTCTTTGGGCCCTGAAGCACTCCGCAGTCAGCTGCAGCTCTAATGTTACAGACCTGTCCTGTCCTTGAGACGGGACTGCGGCGCGGAGCTCCTCACTGAGCCGGGTCAGGACGCGGAGGAGCGGGGAGAGCACAGCCTCGTCCACCGCATCCCTAAACAAAACACTTTTAGCTACACTGTTCAAACCTTTCTACATAACTTTGGTTGTATATCAGAGTCTTAGAGTCAATTATTATTCTTGTACTTTTCGTGTTTTTAATAAATATTATGTGAGAACCGAGTGTAAAATAATTTCTGTCATGTCATGCAGCTTCATGTCTGTCGGACAGAAAAACAAACTGATCTTGACTCACGTTGATACTTTTTCAGCTGTCTTGGTTGGACGCTAAAAGCGCGAGTATTTGTCAAATGTGATGTAACGTTACCTGTATTCTTTCTCTCGCAGAGCTGTCGTAAAGGTTTTGAGGATTTGAAGATGTTCAGGGCAGTGTTTTTCATTCAAAATGCCTGAGATGGAAGCACACATCTCTGCGATGCTGCTGGAAGCTGCCATGTTTCCTGCCTCATGCGCGAAGGCGGCACTTCCGGGTATTCCCGTGTTCTGATTGGTTCAAAGGAAGAGTAGGCGGGCTCAGAGCATGTGGAGTTGTTTTCAACCACATCCGAACCAAAACAAACTTTACACATGTAAAATACAACATTTTAATACATTTTCAATTGTTATTATTTACAAAACATTATAACCGTGTAATAATATTATTATACACATGGTAATATTCCATAACCTAGAGCTGTCATTCTCAAGGGGTCATTCTCAAGGGGTCCAAAGAGGTTTTCAAAAACTTTGAAGTTAATATGAGTTTTGTGAAGGGGTGCAAGTTTGAGTATTTTATAATCCTTATTGCTCTATAGCATCTTTATTAACCAGAAAATAATATTTTTCATTACAGGGCAACAACTGGTATACTGTTAATTTTAACATGTTTATCATGTCATATGGGGTCCACAATAAAATGAGTTAAAACTACACTTTCCAGAGTGAAGAAGGCTCAGCACTGGTAAAGTGATGAAACCACACTCCTCATTGTTGAATCTGACACTGATTAAGATTAGATTTTTTTTTTTACACTAGTGTATAGTGAGAAACTAATAACTCTATATTGCTATGTTTTAACACTTTATGAAGTAGAAATAGTTAAGAGTGTTCTTCATGTTACACAATTCAATAGTAACTCTTTCTTCCCTAAATACAGTGTAAATGATGTGGTCATTCTAGTTCATAATCCCTTTTACAAATGTAAAATAATGAAAACCACCACAAAATTCCATTTCAGCTTAACTTGTATTAAAACAATGCACATCATACAATCAACACAATTTAAATAAGTCATATGACACAATACTGTTTTTGCAAAATCCAACTGACAGCAGGAATTGTCTGTGCCCTCAACAGTTGGTCACAATGTCTAAATCATCGCGTTATATACAGTGAGTGTAGGGCAGGTGTCACAAGCAATACAATGACATAAAGTATTATGACCTAATACATTTACTTGAGTCACTGTTTACAGGTATTGTACTTTCTTCTCACTGTGAAAATACCAGCCATGAGTACTATTTCATGTTTCATCCTCGCAATTGCATTAACTTTAAATGACAAATCAGATGTTTCGTCCAGTTACTTTTAACTTAAGTTACTTGAGGAGTAGTTTTCGGAATACTTTTACTTAGACTTGAGAATTATTATTATTATTATTATTATTATTAAGTAATGTTACTCTTAATTTAGTACAATTTGTGGCTATTTTATCCAATTTTCATGGACGTCAGTGATGACAACATTGACTGTCACAGCTAAGTTAGTTAGCTTACTGCTACTAGCATTACACCAAATATATTTAGTATTTTTATGAATTAAATTAACTGAAGAGTTTCCTAAAAAGGTAAAGTAATCTGACCCGGGGCATGTGAGAGCTCAGGTGGTTGGACTTGAGGCTCGTTCAGTTCAGGTTCTGCTGAAAAGCAAACGCTAATAGCTCTTAGCTTAGCTTAGCTTCGGACGGTGAAATGTGACTTCCCTCTCGGAGCGCAGAGGCAGAAAATTCCAATTTTGGGGTTTATATATACAACTACTGGCAACCGTGGAATGCCTGTGCGTTGCCATAAGAGATATAAACTTGTTTTTAACTTTACCTTTCATTTGAGGAGAGAGGCGATGTGAAACCATGTAAAAACATGTGTAAAAAAAAAAAAAAAAAAAAAAAACAATTAAAACTATGTAAAAAAAAATAAATAAAAATACGTAAAACCCGGACAACAGGTGACAACAATGAAATAAACGTAGGAGACAATATTTTACCACCAGCATTTTTGTATTTATCACTTGAAATAACTCATAAATAGGTTATAACTGTCCTAAATCATCGCGTTACATACACGCAAGCTCGTTTCCAGCGGGAGAGCTACAGTCCGAGAGAGAAGCCACATTTCACCTTCCAAAGCTAAAGCCCAACACTGATGTAGTGTAATATTCACAATACACACTTTCTAAGTGTTTTAACGTTAACACTGTCAATCAACAACTACTCATTTTATGTCAACACATAATCAACAACTACTTATTTTACTCTACAGCACTGTCAAAGTTGAAATAACTCTTGACTATACTGAAACATATCTGTAATTTCTTCACTTTCCTCACAACACCAACACCGTGAATTTTTAACACTTTTGAATTTGTTGTGTATCCATGAGTAACTATACAAGTTGTTGGGAGAAAAACTTGGGAACCACTGACCTAGAGGACCATTATAGGCATTACAGCCTAGTGTTGATCTGCAAACCAAAATTTTTAAGAACAAAAACAAGTAAATCACACATTATGTTATATGAGCCAAAGAACAAAACAATTTTCAGTAGCCTGAGTCTAATTTGTATCCTCATAATTGTCCATATTTTCCTCTGTCACATCAAATGCTCTCAGAACCAGAATGCGGAAATAAAGAGGTGGATTTCAACAATGTTCCGATGAGATACAGCTCCAGACTTCACATAGTTCATGGCCACCTCCACAACGATCTCTTTTGGGCCAGTGATCGGCTTAACCTGACGGACCACACCTGGAAAATAAAGCCGTTAATATTAGGAGGTGAAAAAGACACATTTAAACTATATTTATATAGTATATCTTACCCATAATCATGCCTTGATATGTGCTTTTAATGACATCAAAAGAGAGCTGGTCATCTGCAGACAGGATGTCGAACACTACATCAGTGGAGCCTGGATAAGGAGCAGCATTGGCAACTGCAACTGTCCTGAGGAAGACAATTTCTGCAAAGAGAAAGTGCATTTTTATATCTGCATTTGACCCATGCTTCACTGTCTCTGGGGCAACTTGTCAAGAGCAATGGGCACAAGAGAACAGCAAACAGCAACCCATCTCCAGATTTGGAGAAGGACTGGGTCACATTAGCTGGAGGATTTGACCTATTGTGCATGTTGTTTACAGCATGAGGACTTGATTTCTGATTACGAAGGGCCTGACCCCAAAATTGCATTGTGAAACTATTAAAATAATAAAAAATTGGGACCTACAAAAATCTGTGGTGCAAATCTGTTTTTTTTTTTCTACTATTTTTGCCATTGGAGCCAGCATGCAGTCACAACCTTTATCAGGTGTACATCTCTCTATCTACCAGACCTGCTTTTTGTCTACAATTGCCACTAAACTGGGACTAAACCAGGACCAAACCAGGACAGATGTAAAATGTAAATACGTTGTTAGAGACATGAGTCTACTGTACCTTCTGGCCCAGTGAAGTCCCTGAAGGTTGGCAGAGAGAGCACAGTGTAGGTGATGAGGTGGACTGGGTCGAGGGAGCAGCTGAAGTCATTTGGAGGACAGGACTTGATGCAACGCACAGAGCCGTCGTTTCTGCAAGAGATTCAACAGAAGAAGAAGATAAGTTTGAAATAAGACAGAATGTGGTACCACTTTATAATAACTACACCTTTAATAGCCTCATTAAAGCATGAACAAATACTTAAAGGGCCCAGATTACACTATTGATCTATGTTATAATGTTATTGCCTCACCAAAAACATACCTAGTTGTGTTTTTAAACTCCAATCTCTACTGAACAAAAGGAAAAAGGTAGCTGTTCATCTGTAAACTATTGCTTCATGACGTCACAAGGTGGAACAGAGCATTTTGAGCTTGGAAAATGTAGACAGACTAATAATAGAGGATTACTCAAACATGTGTGAATGAAACAAAACACAACTCCAGGTATGTTTTTGACGAGGTTAACAACATTTTAACATAGCTTAAAGTTCACAAGAGTCAATTTTGTGTAATACAGGACCTTTGATATAGAAGTGAAAATAGACTGTGAACATAGTTAGTTGAAAATACACCCATCTAACAACTAAATATAACTGCTGAGTGGTGAAAAGTCCTCAAAATGGCATCTGTAAATAGCAAAAACCCATGAATAGCTACAAAAATTTAGAATTGTTGACATTTCCATTATTACAAAAGTGTAATCTTACATATTTTAATTAAAAAAACAGTACAATAATACAGAAACATGTTCAAAATATAGGTTGGAAATCACTAATGACAAATATTTTTACATAATTCTAGGATTCTGTGTCCAAATAATAGCACCAAACCATCCAACCTAGGGGAATATTTAGTCTAGACTTTCATATACCCTGAATTATCCGATAACGCCCCAATATCAACATTAGAGACATCATCCATCACCAGATATGTAATACAACTTTACCACTAATTGGACTACAATTTTGAGCACTACAAGAGCTGCAAATATCCAAGTAAGTACCATGCTTATTATTATAGCTCCAATTTCGATATAGCTCAAAGTTTGGTGTTCCAGTGAGCGACCTTGGAACAAAATATCGAGGAAACTGTTTCAAAAATATCAATGTATTGGGTAAAGACAAAAAGGTGTGTAGATTTGAGTTGGTGTTGGCTTTAATAAAGTAATCACAAGTATGTTTTTTCATATATTATTTATTATAAGAACAATAAAGCTGCCATACAGACATAAGGTAGAGCAGTGGTTTTCGGCAAGTCTGACAGAATAATGTTATTGTGAACCATATTTACAGACCCAATAATTAAAGCCCCACCGCGTAACTTTTGGCCTTATTTAGCCATATTATTTTGGATTTTGGGTTTTTATTCCATTGAAAACCTGCTTTTCTCCACTGAAATGTTGTTCCTTTGGCCATAATATTCCACAGCGTGACATTAAACTCATCCATCTCCAGAAAGTTACGTGGTGTTGCTTTAACTTGTACATGTTTTTATGAGTTATGCACTTACAATTTCATGATTGTTCACTGCAAGTTTTAAGCAACTGTTCTATTAAGAATCGAAAAGAAAAATTACAACCAATTTATACTTACTATTGTCAATATTTTGGGCCCTGGAAACCACAGGATAGAAAAAATGTTGTTCCAAAATGGTTCCAAAAAATGTAATTGGCCCAAATGAGTTACAGGGAATAAATGCAGAAGTTACAGCAGTTAAGTTCTGCTCAGTTCAAGTCTGAGTTTTGATAAAATAAAAAGTGAAATCAAAGGTCCTATATTACTGAGCATGTTATAATGTTGTTACCTCATCAAAAACATACCTGGAGTTATGTTTTGTTTCATTCACACATGTCTGAGTAACACTTTACCCTCAAAATGCTTTGTTCCACATTGTGATGTCATGAAGATTTCACGTTAAGAGCTACTTTTTACCCTTTTGTGCAGTCAAAATTGGAAATTCCAGGGCTGAAATTATGTAAATTATTCTAGTCAAGCTGTAGGAGTTTAAACACACATTGGATAACTTCCTTGTTTTCTGTTTGAGAAAATAACTTAGCTGAAATGTGCAGGATTTGTATGTTAAACATGTGTGACTGAAACAAATCACAACTTCTCCAGGTATGTTTTTGGTTTGAAACAACATTATAACTTAGATTAAGAAATAGCTTAATATGGGCCTTTAAAATGCTCGAACCCAATTCAGCAAAAAGTCTGACGAGTATAAAAGTGAAAAAAGTAGAAAATAGAACTAGAAAACTGCAGTAAGTCTCCTAATGATGTGCTGCTCTTGTGGGTCTGAAGCGTTGCTCAGGAGTTACAAACACAGCTATCTTGGCCATGTATAAATGGGACCTCCCGTATCGGACCAGCCTCATCTCCACCGTCAACAGGAAGTCCCGGGGTTCGGTCAGTGTGTGTCGCAGTGAAATGACTCCCCCGTGGCTCTGCTGCTGCACCACAAAGTACCCCTCCTCATCTCCGGACACTATACTGATGTCCATCTCATCCCCGGGCACGGAGTTGGAGGGTCCCATCCGAAACACGTCAGCGGGGACGGGAGTGTTGGTGGGGAAGGTGAGGTTGTAGTAGGAGATTCTCAGAGGCAGTAACAAACACGACACAGGGTTATGTGTAAACTCACAAGTGACACGCTCGCAACGGCTGTAAAGGAGACATAGGGAGGTGCGGATTCAATCAAAAGGACTTCTGATGTTTAAGGGTAGAAAGGTGGACAGACAAGGGCCCAAAAGTGTGGACTCAGAGAAATGATGTTGACATATTAGGCCCTTTTTATCAGGACATAACTGTCATAACTAAATCATATGGGACATGACCATAATTTTATCAAAATCAAACCTCAAGGGGGCAGAACAAATCCATTGCGCTATAAATAAAAGTCTGAACACAAAGAATAGACAAACCACCACCAACCGCAACAACTCAACAGTCACTACAGATTACAATTATGAATAGACTGTAATGTATTTATCTATCAATTTCAGTACGTTTGTCTTGGAAAAAATTTGTGTTTTTATATATATTTAATATTTACTGTGATTTTAGCCAAGCGTGAAGGATGAATTTAACTAATTGTTTATGGCACAAACCATTCTGCACTGGAGCACTGTAACACTTTATGCATAGGACGATTGATGCCATTTGATGTAAGTCTAATTGGTGAGGTTGATTATTAAGTTATATTTGACATTACTTATTTAGAGAACTTTGGCTGTATTTAGAAAACTGATGCATTTTGCATTTTTACTGTAAAATGGCTGTGATTGCGTCTTTTGCAATTTGCTGCTCTATAACCAAAGTCAAAGACATTTATTCTTCATAATAGTTGTGAAGCATTATAGTTTTACTCTCCTGTACTGTTGTATTTTATTATTTTTTACTCATTTTTGTATTGTAACTCATTTTTGACTATATTCTAATATTGTAGTTAGGGTTCAGTTTTTATAATATTTTTATTTATTTTTTTTAATTGCATTTTTTTATTCTGTTGTTTGTGTACTTTACAACACTGGACAGAGGTGGAACCAAGTTTTTGTTATGCAAGTCTCAAGCAAGTCTCAAGTCTTTGACCTCAAGTCCGAGTCAAGTCCCAAGTCAACGACAACTCCAAGTAGAGTCTCGAGTCACTGGCCAATAAGTCTAAGTCAAGTCAGTTGTCGGCTTTGAGCTTCAAGTCATTTCAAGTCTATAAACCAAAGTACCAAATATAGCTTAGACTTTTGCAATTTATATGACTTTTAAGATTAACTGTACTTAAAAAGTCATAGTATATTTGTATATGAGTATTTATGGAGTATATAAGAGTTGTAGAAAATAATTTAGTAAATTTTTCCTTTTTAAATGTCTTAACAAGATCTTAGTGTGAATCATTATGTTCAGAATAGAAAAAATTCAGATTTAAAAGTGCCTCTCATGTCGTCCCAAGTCACAGGCCTCAAGTCCGAGTCAAGTCCCAAGTCACTGACCTTCAAGTCCAAGTCGACTCCCAAGTCTTAGTCCATTTTATCAAGTCAAATCTCAAGTCCGTAAAATAGTGACTCAAGTCTGACTCGAGTCCAAGTCATGACTTGCAATGGAATTTCCCCATCGTGGAACAGATAAAGGTTCTGTTATCTCATAATAGCATGTATTGTGCTCTACAGTAACCAAGGCTAAACTTGATGCTTGTGTTTAAAAGAGCAGAGACACGGCCCTTTGATTAAATAATACAGTACTGAATCATCCATCTCACCCAGGTGCTGCTTGGCGGAAGTTCACAGGACACTCAAAGGAAAGACAGCGATATCCTCCCTGGACATTAAAACAGCTCTGAGACACGGAACAGGTGTGGCTTCCTGTGGCACACTCATCGATATCTGGAGGGAAGAAAAACATTATATATTACAAATTTTAAAGATCCTAAAAAAACTGATTCTTGTGAGCTTTAAGTCACATTAGTCACGTCAAAAACATACCTGGAGTTGGGTTTTGTTTCATTCACACATGTCTGAGTAACCTTTTATTATTAGTCTGTCTCCATCACACAAAGCTCTAAATGCTCTGCTCCACTTGTGATGTCCTAGAGCGGTAAAATTTCAAGTTAACAGCTAACTTTTACTTTTGGTTCAGTAAAGATAGGAAATTCCAGAGCTGAAATTATCCAACTGATTCTAGTGAAGGTGTATGGAGTTTTGAAACACAGTGAAGCACTTCCTGTGTGGTGCATTTTCTGAAATTTATGTTTTTGATGAGGAACAAGACCAGAAAATAACAATAACATGGGCCTTTAAGTTTAATGCAGATGCATTATTAGTTAAGATCAATTATTCACCTTGACATGAGCGTCCGTTGTGGGCGAGTGTGTAGCCTGTAGTGGGGCAGGTGCAGTAGAAACTTCCTGGAGCATTGGAGCAGCGATAGGAGCAAACATGGCCGCCAGACGGCAGAGCACACTCGTCAATATCTGAAAAAAACAAAATTTATTCATTTGTGGAATTTGGAGGAGATACAAGTAGGTTGGAATCACGTTCTTCAATTTAATTAACCTAGATGGTGCACAGAAGCTTGTTTGTCTAGCCTGATTCATCAGCCGGTTTCACTTCGTGGAAACTGTCTGACCTCGCAGCATTAGGATTTGTTTGCTCGAAGGTAGGCGGGTACTTTTTTAATCTTTTTTTATCTTAACCAATCACTGCTATTTGGTCATGAAGTATGTAATGCACCAAATACTGAAGGAAGAAGGGCAATAACATCTTTCCCCTTGATAAAATTCACCAAACATTTTCTTTGTTCCGGTTTTAAATCCTGGATCTCAGGAATCGTCTACGTCCATCTTGACCGCTTTGTTTACTGTTTTGCTGTTTCACAAAAAGGGACCCAGACATGCCTTCACAGCTCTTCGCTGACTGGCCCGTGTGCAGTCTACAACTTCCAGGGTTCTTGCAAACTATCAAGTGTATTCTGATTCCTGGCCTAGTCACTGGAGGGAAATTAAACTGAGTGAAGGCACTAGGTGGCGCCAGCCTGCCTACTGTTTCTCTCCATGTAGAATGAACTATTTTTCATATAATTAATAATACAAATCTACAAATTTGAATGTTATAATTTTTTGTTAGGACTGAACTCCACAAACTCACAATATTCATCTTGTGGTTTTTTTTGTTTTGTTTTTGTTTTTTGTTTTTTTGTTTTTTTTGTCAAAATTCACCTTTGTAAAATTATGACTGATGATGTCATGTGGATAAGCCCAGTACATCATATGCAGTTTTTCCTCTCCATCTCAGTCTCAGCTATATGGGCCCTGTAACTCTGATGTAACTTTGAATGTAACCTTCATTAGCCAGTTTTGATGAATTGATAATTACCTTCACACGTGATGCCATCGAGGTCACTGAGCTGGTAACCACGGCGACAGTAGCACTGGTAGGAGCCGTAGACGTTGGCACATTCCTGACTGCAGGGGTTATTCTCGCACTCATTTACATCTGTGTGTTAGGAGAAAGATATGAAATCACAGTTTAGAATATCCAAAACAAAGCTTACAGTGCTGTTGGATAAAATGTAATAGTTTAAACTGAAAAACATTTTTACCTTCACAGTTCCTGCCGTCAGAGGTCAGTTTGAATCCAGAGGTGCAGCTGCATTTGTAAGACCCTTCTGTGTTTTCACATTTATGAGCACACAGAGTCCCGGGGTAATGCCTGCACTCATTTATATCTGAACACAATATAATAATTAGTCAGAGACACACAAAAAATAAAATACATGCACCATTGTCTAGTATGTGTATCTTGTGGCTTCTTACCATCACAGAGTTTGGTGATGCTGTTGAAGGTGTATCCAACTCTGCACTCACAGCGATAAGAGCCGATCAGGTTCACACAGCCGTGGCCTCCGCACACACCTGCTCTGCATTCATCCACATCTGCACGGGAAGGAGAGGGGAGGAAATAAAGTACAATTAAAATCAAATAATCATTCATTAATGACCACAAAAGCGGTCAACAAAAGAATACTGTACTGGAAGTGAATACATTTATGGTTATGGCAAAGGAGAAATAGATTTGGCTCATCCTTCAGTGCCAGTGGGGCAGTGGTAGTCAAAGAGGTTTTTTTTTCTTTTTAAGTATTTTTTAATAATAATAATAAATAATAATAATTAAACTCAACAATTATATAAAAATTACTCTCATTTGTGAAAGCTTTAGTCTTTTTTGTTTCTACATCAGTAATATCAATCGATCAATCAATCAAACTTTATTTATAGAGTGCTTTTCATACAAAAAAAAAAAAAAAAAGCAACATAAAGAGCTTTACAGTGTTTAAGAACAATCCCATATTTCATTCCACCTCCCCCCAAAAGCTAAGTTTGGTCTTGAGATTAATATCTGTGACATAATTATCCCACCCCCCTCCCCTTTTTTTTTTACTACTAACTATCTGGAATCTGACATAGCTAACTTATCTGTACCTTCACAGCGTGAGCCATCCTCAGTCAGGTGATAGCCCCGCCCACAGGTGATGGTGTTTCTGCGACAGGTGAAGGAGCCCAGAGAGTTTATACAGGTCTGACCGGGCGGACACGGGCTGGTGTACACCACACACTCATTTATATCTGCAAAAAAAAGAGCATGCTCACTGTCTAAGAATGAATGTTTTTCAAATGTTTGTAACAATGAAAATATCTATAATTCAATATATGCAATATAGATGGAAGCTTAATGCCATTTTGTGGAACATTCTAGATAAAGCAATGACATCTCCATGGAGTCAAGCTGTTGACAAATCCCCAACAGAAAAGTTACATAGTTTAACTCTTCACCCCACAGACTCACCGATGCAGTGTCCAATGGCGTCTTGGATGTACCCTGGGGCACAGGTCTCCTTTGGGTGACAGCGAAATGACCCGGCTGTGTTTGTGCACATGAACTCTGGTCCACAGTTATGAGTGCCCAGGACACACTCATCAATATCTATAAAAGAAAATAAACTTAAATTTTACCTAAGACTCAATACAGGAGATGGAGAAATAAACTTAAAAACTATAGTGAGCAGTCAACGAGGGAAACACGAGTACCTTAGAGAATAGCAGTAAATTAATAAAGTAATTATATTCAAGATTTAGCTAAAAAATTGATCTAGTTTAGCCCAATTAGACAAGTTTATAATTCTACTTCCTGCTTGGATATGGGCAGTGTTATTGATAACTTTGTTGTAACTTTGCTATTGATAACTTATTGATAACTGCTCTATTAGTAGTTCTGTTCCTCAAGTTAATCAATCTGAGCTTTAGTTCAACACAACCAAAAAGAGCTGACTTAGTTGGAACTACTACAGGTGAGATGATTTGTGCTGTCAAAAAATTCTCTCACACATAACATTACAGTCACAAGAAAATGTGTTGTTTAAAAACAGTTTGTATTTTTAATTTATTTATTTTTTTGAGTTTTGAGTTCTGAAATTATCCAAATGATTCTAGTGAAGGGGAATGGAGTTTAAAAAAACAAAAAAAACAACAAAAAAAACCAATTACTACATGACATCACAAGGTGGACCAGAGTGTTTTCAGTTTGAGAAAAGAACTCAGCCTAAATATGCAGAGTTTGTGTGTTGAATGTGTGTGAATGAAATAAAACACAACTTCAGGTTTGTTTATGACGAGGAAACAACATTATAACATTAGGGATGTAACAATAACCAAAATATTGTGGTATCATATCGTGAAAGTTCTCATAATAATATCGTGGACCATCACAATATATCGAATTACAAGTCTCTTTGCTTAAATTAAGAGTTATGATGCAGCAATAGCTAAAAAAAAAAAAAAAGAAGACAGAGGGAACTACATAGACCATGATCCTTTGCTCCCTTTCAGCGTAGACTACATGAAAAAATAACATTGTAACATAAGCACTTAAGTCTTAGTTCTTTGGTCTTGTCAAGGCATTTTAAGAGGAAAAAGTCACATATTAACAGTTTTGTTCACAGCCTCCACAAAATATCACAATAAATATTATACCGTGAGATGTATATCGTGAAAATATCATAAGAAATTTGGATATTGTTACATCCCTAATGGTGAGCTTTCCCATGATATCGCAACCATGAGGTTCATACCATGACGATATTGTACCATAAGACTTGGATATCGTTACACCCCTACATAACATAGATCAGAAAATAGCGCAGTACGGGCCCTTTAACAATTTGGCTCTTCTTTATTATTGTATTCTCACCTTGGCATCTGTTGTTGTCCATGAGTTCGTATCCAGTCCCGCAGCCTGTCTCTCTCTGACAGCGAAATGACCCTTCAGTATTTATACAGAACAGGCCAAAGATACAGTTGTGGTTGCCAGTCAAGCACTCGTTCACGTCTGAGGAGAAAATAAACATGATTTTAGTCTAAACACATTCACTGCCTGTGTGTGGTGTTTTCACTGACACGACTCACCCTCACAGTTCACACCGTCCTCTTTCAACTGGTATCCGTCCTGACAGCCACACGTCCCATTCCCCAAACACAACTGTGAGCAAATGGAGTCTAAAAACATACAAAACATACATAAGACATATCTAATATACAAATTGCTTTCAAAATTGTAATTTGGATCAATATAAGAATCAAGTTTTTCACAATGTATTTCATCAGTTAGAAGTGTTGGGGGATATGATTTAAAAGATCCATGTTTTTTTGTTGTTGTATTGACAGATTTTTAAAACACACACATTTAGTCAGTGCCGTTTAACACAAAACAGTCAAACTTATTCCTTCAAAGCCCAAAGTCTGCTAAAAATCTTTTAATTACAAAACATTAACTGTAGCTGTTTAATTAAAAGGCCCCCACTGACAATTTGAAATGATTGGATCTCATTTTGATTACAATAAAATGTGATTAATTGCACAGCCGTAATTGTGAAAAAGAAATTACTGTGATCACATTTTACTCTACATTTCAATGTGTATAAACCTGTAATAACTTGTAATAGGGTTAGGTGTTAGATTTGTTATGTCCTTCATTTGGGTAGGTACACTGCATCAATAAATAAATAATAAATAAAACTTTACATTTTATTGCATATTAACCGGTATAAACCTGTAATTACATTATGAGTGGGGTTAAGGGTTTTGGAGGGTTGCTTTGGTTAAAGTGACAGATGTTCTGATATTGTCTTTAATCAGGTAGGTACAGTGCAGTACAGTATAATGTAAAAATATGACTCAATAATCCTCAGTCTGATACCTTTGCAGGACTGTGTGTCGTCTTCTTTTGGCTTCGCTGTAGCAGGGGTCCCAATTTTATCTTTCTCAAAATTCTTCTCCAGATCTACAAAAAAAAGAAAAAATCAAAGCAAATAAAAGCATCACTCTGGCCAAATTGACACATTTGAGATTAACACATGTTTAAGTGTTTGAACAGGAGCCAAAAGGCAGCGCAGTTGTCCTGGAGGTAACATTTGGTGAGGTGAGTAAAGCTCTAATCCATGTGACCCAGACTCAATGAGCACCAATCTGCCCCACAGCTGCTGCGGGGCTGTTTCAACAAGTGCACAGCCAAAGCAATGCCGATCTTGGTAAACAGAAATTATTTTATACAAAATGTTACTGATTTGTTTTGTAGAACTGCAAGATACACTACCAGTCAAAAGTTTGGATACATCATTTTGTTCAATGTTTTTTTCTACATTTTCTATGAGTACAGAACACCTGAAGTTTATGAAGTCAGAGATATGGAATTATGTAACAAAGAAAAAAAGTTAAACAACACTTGCACACAAAGAAATTGAGAATAAACATCGAACCAAGTCTAGACCAGACCAGAAGTAAACCAGGGCCAAACCAAGTCTACATCAGAATTAAACCAGAATTATACCAGAGCCAAATTAGTGAGTGCTAGAGTGAGAAGGCAGTATTTCACCTTTAGCAGGCGCTTTGGTGGTCTCTGTGCTGTTGTTTTGGCTGCAGCAGGCTCTGGCCGTGTGCTTACAGAGCTTTCCCAAAATCACCCCCTCCAGTTCACAGCCCAAACCCTGAAGAGCCGCTGTCTGCCCCAGAACACAGCAGTCACAGCACAGCTGAAAAAATACATATGACAATAATACAGATTTATAAAGAAAACATGCATTCATCCAATTTAATGTTATCCTAAATATTCAAGTACAATTAATCATTCAATCCAACAAAATGTGCTGCAATGCAAGACAAGTCATCAAGGTTTACTGCACTATTTCTTGGTGTTAGTTAGAAGTTAAAATAAAGGAGAAATATGTGAAAATTGACCTTTTAACCATGTTTCTAACAGCGTTCACCAGCATGGCTGTGTTTTGAGTGATTCATGAATAAACCTGTATTGTTCTGTGTTTGAGACTTGACTACTCAGAAAATGTCTGTTTGAACCCTATGCATATGCAACCCACTGCATTATACATGTAGGCTTCCAAAATGTCACATAGACCATTTCCATAAATAAAAGCAGAGCCGTGACTCCGCGCATGCACAAAAGGCAGAGCACATAGGGCACCACGTCCTTGTGGGGGCACCACAAAAAAAATCTGTCTTGTGCGCAGAGAGAGGCGAGAAGTCAGTGGTAGCGGTTGATTGCAATCGTACTTTGTCGCCGGTCACACCCCAGTCTCACTTTTTTCTTCCCAGTCCCACTTTTTTTTTGGTGATGTGGTGGAGCATCACAAACCATTTGTGCTTAGGGCACCCAAATGGCAAGCACCGGCCCTGAATAAAAGTCAAGAGATGGTGCATTCTGATTCTGCTGTTTTGAGTCAGTGGACCTGTTACGCTGTTTTGTTCATTGAGGTTTACAATGAACAACATGTATTTAAAAAATACCCAAAAAGCATAGTTCTTCTAACCCATGACCTAAACAAGAAATATATTTGACTTAATTTTTGGTTGAATAAAAATCCTGCTGTTTTAAGGGAGACTGGAGACATTTGTAAAGGGTAAATAGATAGACATCTTATTACCTTGGAGAGCTGAGTTTCCAGTAGGTCTCCCTGGAGGAAAGGTCTTTCACAGGCTCCCTTCTGTTCGGCCATCTTGATCCCAACATCACAAAACCTGGTTTCAACAGTCGCTGCACAACACTGTTCTTGGGCAATCCTGGGTCATTCATAAAAGAAATAGTTGTTTAAAAAAATAGTTGTTTAAAAAATGTATATATATATATATAGTTGTAAAAAAAAATGTGTGTGTGTGTGTATATATATATATATATATATATATATATATATATATATATATATATATATATATATATATATATATATATATATATATATATATATATATATATATATATTTTTTTTTTTTTTTTTAATAGGTCCTCTACGCACAAGACAGATTTTTTGTGGTGCCCCCACAAGGACGTGGTGCCCTATGTGCCTTTTTTTTAAGCATTGTTGTTACAGAATGTATTACTACATCAATGACTTGACAGGTTGCACATTTTAACAGATCCATGGGTTTCAACAATTTCTATACTTTATATATTCACTACCTCGACTACTGTTAGAAAAATCCCGCAGTCGTCCAAGTAGAATCCATGGCAAAGGAGATTCTGTTTTCTCCATCTACCTCTAGTATTTTACATCTTCATTTTAGCATATTTTGTAAAACATTAAACCTTTATTTTATCATTCAGGGCTTTTTTTAACAGTGCGTTGTGTAACTTTTCTGGATGAGGGTCCGCCATCTGCTTTTCTCTATGTAGATATTATTAGTTACTGGTTACTGGTCAGCTCTGTGCAAAGACAATCACACTCACAGTCAGAATACCTGTCCTGTTTTTGTAGGTATTTTTAAGCAATAAAACCACCTGCAACTGAATACATGTAAATTAAATCTGTTTAATGTCACACTGTGGAACAATCGAAGCAGAGCAGTGACATATCCATAGAAACAAGAAGGTGACAGACCCCCAACATACATTTGAAAAGCATAAACTGCTGAAGTCCCCCATAAGAAACAGTGTTATTATAGTTATTATAAAAGAAATAGCCCACATAGGAAAACTTTTACAGCTCCTGGAGTGGCCTGTTCTGACCTCCATGTGCGGACCAGGTGTGGATCTATCACTAAAACCACCGCCTGGGTCAAAAGAGGCTGTTTGTGTAAAGAGCTTCAGGGCCACTTAAAGCTTGTAGTTACTGTGTAGTTTTTATGTAGCGTCCCTCCCCTGCAGCTTAACTCTAAGGCTCAACACATGATTTGGGGTTTGTAGCCCCCGGGGTATTTCCTGCTTTTTAAAGATACCATCACCCGCACTTCAGTGGGAACTAGATCATTATGTGCACCATCCCAACACCAAAGACTAGACCAGGTTTTAAGTCGGTGTTAGGTTTAAGCGTACTGTATGAGTCAAGTCGTAATAGGAGGTGACATGAATTTGATTTGAGAATTTTGATTTTAGCTTAAAGGTGCATTGTATAACTTTTCCAGAGGGTCCGTCACCTGCTTATTTCTATGGATATGTCATTGCTCATCCTGGAATGTTCCACAGTATGACATTAAACAGCTCTACCTTACGTTTACTCAATTACAGGTGGTTTTATAGCTCAAAAATACCTAGTAAAACAGGCATTCTGACTGGGGTTGCCTGACCTGTAACTTGGTCTCGTTTGGTCTCTGTGAAGATAGAAAGGTTTGATAGACCCTCAACCAGAAAAGTTACACCATGCTTCTGAAATGTGTTAAATTGGACATGAAATGGCAATGAAAGAGTATTGACAAGAAAACAAACATAATCAAGCCAATATGGATCTAGAGGTCTGCGCTGGACAGAATTTTCAGGCCCACTCCCGCCTGCTCCTGCAAAGAAATGTAATTTTCATTCCCGCTCCCGCATGCATTTGAGATATTTTGTCCCGCTCTCGCCCGCAAGTCCTTCAAACTGGGGACGTTCACTTTCTTAAGCTCTATCAAACACGGATAACTGAACAGGAATTGTCTCAAATCTGTGTGAGATTAGACCACATCTGCAAATTTAGGCTGCTTAAAATGTTTTTATTAACGCCAAATTAAATATCCAGCAGAGATGATGTTATGACATTAGTCATTTGTATATTTTACTTCACACTCATATTTCATTTGTGGTACTGCAGTTTATCATCCCACCCTCCCGCCACTGCATTGTGCAGTCCCGCTCCCGCCCAAGCCTGCAATGAGCTTTCAAACTGTGTCCCAAGCCAAACTGTTTTGAGTCAGGTCCCACGGGTGCAAGGCTCTATATGGATGTAAGAATAGAATTAAATTGCATGGTTTTAGTCAGAGAAATTACAGACAGAGAAATTACCAAAATTGGCATGCAAACCCCCCCCCAAAAAAACATCAGAAACCTTCAGAATTCCCTCACTGAGTTACAGAGGCTGCACTAGCACTGATTCATGATTGGCTGCAGATGCTGGGGTTTAGGCATTCAGACCAGAGAGACATTTTAGGTTTAAACAAACTTGATTTCAGCACTGAAACTGGCAACCCAACTGAGAGACTTATGTGAGGCTCATTCTGCTTTCTGATTGGATAATATTCTTGAAAACCACAAACCAAATTATAATATAAACAATTTCGCCATTATGTGTAATGTTTTTGTAATTACGAATAACTCAGCATTATATTTGTTATTTGTAAATGTAATGAAATGAAAAATCTAAATCTTACATACTGTCAATTTAAATGTATATGTGGTCTGAAGGAGCCTATAGTCTTACATAGGCCTGTCATTATAATTACTATATCGATTTACAGTCAATATATGAAAGCTACATATATATTTTTTGGGGGGTTCAATATTTATCTTGGATACTTTTTACTTTGCAAATTGGGGAGATTTTTGTTTTATTTGTAATACGATATGACTTGAGCTGTAGAGGGTTGAATAAGTCACTTTTATGGCTAATTATTGGTTCATTTAGCTATTAATTTGTTGGAACTCATGCCTTTTAATGATACTGTCTATTTAAAATGGTTTTCTAGGATTATCTTAACATTAATCTGTGGTATAAAGTAGTTTAAAGGGCCAATATTGCGCTATTTTCAAATCTCTGTTATAATGTTTCCTCATCACAAACAAACCTGGAGTTGTGTTTTGTTTCATTCACACCCTGCAAACCCTGCACATTTAGGCTGAATTCTTCTCTAAAACTCAAACACCTTCACTAGAATCATTTGGATAATTTCAGCACAGCAATAGCCAATCTCTACTAAACAAAAGGAGTTAACTTGAAAACTACTTTGAAAATGGTGACAGACTAATAATAAAGGGTTACTTAAACATGTGTTAATGAAAAAAACACACTCCAGCTATGTTTTTAGAAGGTAACAACATTACAACATGTCTTAAAGCTCACAAGAGTCAATTTTGTGTAATATAGGACCTTTAAAAAACACAATATTTCTCCTTAGAAATATACTGTGCTTCAAAATTTGTTAAGGTTAGGGTGACAGGCCTAGAATAAAACTGCTTTCTTCAAGCAAACCTACTCCAGACCAGTATTGGATGAAGTACTCAATTTTGTTAGTAAAAGTACAGATACAGAGGCAAAAAGTTACTCAAATGAAAGCAAATGTATTACGTGAAAAAATCTACTTACATAAAATTTTTAAAGTACCTGTTTAAAAATGTTCTGTAAGAGTATTTCACACAGATTTTAATCACATGTTGTTAACTTGTTAAAGTATTATATGTAGTGATATTGATTTTTAAAAGTATACAGATTTAGTAGCAATACGAATCAATTCCTTCATTTATTGCTATGAATTTTGAATATTTATTTTTGTTTGTTGAAAACCAATAGCCAGGCTGGTGCCGCCTAGTGCCTCCGCTCAGTTTTATTTCTCTTCAGTGACTCGGTCAGGAATCGGAATACACTAGTCGGTTCGCAAAAATGCAGGAAGTGCGAGTTTGGGCACCAGCCAATCGGTGAAGAGCCATATATTCTGTGTTGGCAACAATTTCCGAGATCGAGGATTTAAAGCCGGAACAAAGAGAATGTTTGGTGAATTTTATCAAGGGGAAAGATGTTATTGCCTTTCTTCCTACAGAATTAGGGAAAAGCTTAATATACCAGTTATCCCTGTTAGTGACGCATTACATACATCACGACCAAATAGCAGTGATTGGTTAAATAAAAAAAAGTACCCGCCTACTGTCAAGCGAAAAATTCTAACGTTGGGAGGCCAGACGGTTTCTACAAAGTGAAACTGGCTGATGAATCAGACTAGAAAACCAAAGCTTAAATTCAAAACTTTAAGTCAGGTATAAGAATGGTAAAAATATGGTAAAAATAACCCCTAAAGTCAAATGAAAAATATGTTTAATTTTCAGTCCTTTTAACAAATGTAGTGGAGCAAAATGTACAAATACCTGCTCTCAAATGTAGCAAAGTAAAAAGTACCCAAGTAAAGTACAGATACCTCAAAAATCTACTTAAAAACAGTACTTTACTTTACTTTGTTACCTTCCACCACTGCTCCAAACCTCTTCATTACTGTACAGTATATTCTCCTTCAAACAAAGTCATAACTAACAGTATTTAGAGGGTACATTTGCACAAACCAGGTGTGGGGAGTGTAACTTACATGCAGGTGTGATCCGAGGACATGAGAGGGAGCATTGTACAGTCCTGTCCTTTAAGGCCTCTGACTCTGCCATCCTCACAGCACTGTCGCACTGAAGGCTGCTTCTCTGCAAAACAAGGGAATCGAATCAACACTGTGGAGCTATATCTGGAGGAGGATCTGCCATCTCATTTTCTGCATAGATATTTTGCTTTCTTTGCCAGGAATATTCCACAGTATGGTATTAATGTAGGCAAACCGGATGGGCACAGTGGAGCAAAAATACAATACAATTCAAATTTCTAAATGTGTCGATCTTGTGTTTATCCAATTACAAGCGCTAAAATTACAAATTGCTCTTGATAAAGTGCACTCGCCTCTCCACAGATGTGACCTTTACTTGGCCATGGAGATAGATAGCCTAAGTTTAATGTCATACTGTGGAACATTCCAGGCAAATCAGTAACATCACCATTAGAGCTGGGTATCATTAAGATGTTGCCGATGCGATACATACCTCAATACAGTGCACTTTTGATTCGATGCGATGTATTTTAAAATGATTCGATACAGTTAATTAAAAAATAAAAGCTAAATCATGGCTGTGATACTAAAAGTCTTTGTTAAACCTCTTCTTGTGCAAAGTTCATAAGAAACACAAACATTTTAATCATCAAAACAGTGAAAATGTCAAATGTGTTGCATAAATGAGTTTCCTTCCTCTAAACAAGCAACAAAACTGTAGCACTGTAACAAAATAATTATAATATACCAAAAAATACTCTTCTAATATATCAATACAGCAGCCCATAATATCGATACCGTATCGTCACATTAAACGATACGATATACATAGATATTTCGATATTTTTGGGCACCCCTAATCACCATGGAGACAAGCTGATGGCAAACTCCACCAGAAAACTTAGGCAAAGTAAATGGAATTAGTTTGTTAGTGTTTGTTAAATATTTGTTGACAGTGGCTATCAGAGTATTTTGTTATCATAAAAATCTCTACAAATCGTTGCAAATTAGCGGGTCATAATGTCAGATTTTCTTACCTTGTCCAAGCACGACTGCGTAAAAGCAAAACAAAAGTCCGGTCCACAACAGTGCCATGGGCGTCCCTTGAAAAGGTGTGACGCTGAGGGAATTCCCGCTGAAAATAAAATACAATTTAGTTGAGAAAAGCGCAAAGAGACGACATGAGCGCAGCCCGTGGTGCGTGGAGGAGTGCGCGAGGCTCTGGTGCGCGCACGGGGAGGTCAGAGCAGCGCGTCCGGGGAGGGAGGGGGAGGGCAGCCCGGGGACATACCACCATGGAAGAAAGCGACAAAGGTGGTAACAAATGTTGGAAAAGAAAATAGAAATAGAAAATGTGATAATTATTACTGTGTTATTTCACTTTTTTTTTTTTTTTTTTTTTACTTTATGTAACAGATAATACTCCCTACAACTGTAAAACAACTCACCCTTATGTAACAGATAACCCTATGTCCTCTTGTATATAGCTAAGGTTTTATATTTTATTACTTATTTTGTATTTTATTTTGACTTGTGCATTTACCTTTACAATTATGCCTTATTTGACACCTGTCTCTGTCTTTTTTTGCTACTTATAAAGAATTTATTTAGTTCAGAATTATTTAGTCTAAGTCTTTAAAATGCAAAGGTCATAGTTTTGGGGAGTAATAAAAAAATCACATTTGAATACTTTTTGTAATAAACAGGATCATTTTGAAATAAATATGATTAAAACAAGAAAATATAATGTTTATAATAAATAACACCTAGTAAACAGACTAATAACTACATAACTAGAATGTATATTATTTTGTAAAAGTAAAAAAAGGCTGTCACAATAACAAATTTTATAACAAATTTGTGATATATTGCTGAAGTAAATATGGATGATAAATGATAATATTTAAACAAATAATGTCACAGATGCTATAACCCATTCTAAACGTACAATACTGTTAAAAAAAAAACAAAAAAACAAAAACTGAAACATTAACTGAAATAGTAGAATGAAACACTTTAGTAGTAGGTTTGTATCTGTAATGTGTCATATGGTTTTCTCTGTGGAAATGTTATTACTTTGTCTAAAATGTCAGAATCAGACCATGTTACAGGTCAGATCTGTGGAGACAACCCCGCTTCGAGTGATAATGCCTGTTTTTCTAGATCAGGCATGTCAAACTCAGGCCCAGGGTCCAAATTTGGCTCACGATATAATTATATTTGGCCCACGAGATCATATCAAATATCGTCCCTGTCTGAATTTGATTTTGAGACTCCTGTTCTAAATATTTTTGAGCTATAACACCAGCTGCAACGTAATAAATATTAAATAGTATCTTAAATGTAATCGTAAAGTCAAAAAATTAACCAACAATCTCCCAGTAGTGCAAAGAAAATGTACACAGGATAAATACTGATCCCCAAAACATACTGTTCCTGCTTTCATGTACTGAACGATAAGTCAAAATAGTATTAAGTAATAATTGCGACAGGGCTACTAAAGACATCTGCTTTTATAACACTTTCATGGACTGTGATTAGCTCAACCCCCTGTCACTCACTTGGGGCATAGCAGAGGATACCAGTCAGTGTTTGTGTTTGAGGTCTGCATTAACCAGAGAAAAACTGAATCATGATATGACAAAACTCCCAGCATAGCACATTGCTCATTGAAAAGGCCACAAATAGTTTTTAGCACTATATTGCCCAGTCCCAGTGGTATAACACCGGTGGACGAAAAAATGCCTGAGGGTGCAGAAGTATTATAAATCCATGATGGCTTGTTGGTGTTTTGTCCATTCTAAAGGTCGTATAATAGGGAAAATTGACTCTTATGAACTTTTAGCCATGTTATGTTGTTTCCTCATCAAAAACATATCTGGAGTTGCATTTTGTTTCATTCACACGTTTGACTAATTCTGGATTTTTAGTCTCCAGAGGTCAAAATGCTCTGCTCCAACTTGTGATGTCATAAACAAAGTTAGCTGTCAAATTAACAGCTAACTTTTCCGTTTTGATCAGTACAGATTTGCAGTTCCACACCTGAAATCATCCAAATAAATCTAGTGAGTAGGGGTGTAATGATATCCAAGTCTCACGATACGATATTGTCATGGTATGAACCTCACGGTACAATATTTATTGCGATATCGTGGGAAAGCTCATGATATGGGGAGGAGGCTCACGATTAGGGATGTAACAATATTCAAATCTCTGAATATTTTCACGATATACATCTCACGGTACAATATTTATTGTGATATTTTGTGAAGGCTAACAAAAAACTGTTAATATGCGACTTTTTCCTCTTAAAATGCCTTGACAAGACTAGAACTAAGACTTAAAAGTGCTTAGAACTGTTATTTCTTCTTGTAGTCTACACTGAAATGGAGCAAAGGATCATGGTCTATGTAGTTCCCTGTGTCTTTTTTTAGCTATTGCTGCACAATAACTCTTAATTTGAGCAAAGAGACTTGTAATTCAATATATTGTGATGGTCCATGATATTATTGTGAAAACTTTGACGATACAATATCACGATGGAGTTTAAAAACACAATGGAGCACTCCCTGTATTTACCACATGACATTACAAAGTGGAACAGAGTGTTTTCAGTTTTAGAGAAGAACTCAAGTAAATGTGCAGGATTTGTGCGTTAAACGTGTGAATAAAACAAAACAAAACTCCAGGTCTGATTGTGACAAGGAAACAACATTATAACAAAAAAAAAAAAAAGGTTCATATGGGCTCAAAGAAGAAATTAGACCACAAGACAAAAGCACAAGGAAAAACAAATCAGGGTATAATTCATATTTTCAAACAAGCTGAATAATAATAAAAATTACATAAAAAATAAAAACATAGCAAAGACAAATCTGCATGCAATTGTCATCCTATATCTCATCTGGAGCTTTAGTGCAACAGTCAAGCCTCTATGTACAAGTGAGACGCAAATACGAAAATGTACAATATTTTATGCAACACGACACTTCACCAAACAGTATGTCCTAGTTACATACATAAAATTATATCATACAAAGAGGGTTTCGACTCATTATGTACAAAACAGTTCCTATTTCAAACATTGTACAAAAACTCAAAGGTCCCATTGCAGCATTTTAAGTGGAAGACTCAACTAATTCAAACGTCACAAACTTTAAAGATACACTGTGTAACTTTTCTGGTGAAGGTTCTGCCACCTGCTTCATTCCAATCCACGGACATGTTATGGCTTTGTCTGGAATGTTCCGCAGTGTGACATTAAACCTATCTATCTCCATGGAGACGAGCAGAAAACACCTCAACACTAACGAAGAGTTTCGATCTGTGAAGAAGAGAGCACTTACAGAAAAATATTTAATAAAAACATCTGCAATTGAATGAAAAGAATGTTTCACAGTGTGACATTAAACCTATCTATCTCCACAGAGACAAGAAGATAACACCTGAAGACTGAGTTACAGTTACAGTCTGTGGAGAGGAGAGCACTTACAGTAAGGTACGTACTAAAAACACCTGTAATGAAATTAATCTTCCAAATGGTGATATTAGACTTATCTCCATGGAAATGAGCAGAACTCAAGACCAAGTTACAGTTCAAATCTGTGGAGAAGAGACACCACTGATATATAGAGGTATTTACTAAAAGCATCTGTAATTCAATGAATGCAAGATAGAAAGTTAATGCTTTACTGTGGAATATTCTAGGCCAGCGGTTTTCAATAGGTGAGGCCCACCTCCCCTAGAGGGCGCCAAAGAGCCAGTGGGGAGAGCAACACATGGGGACAAAACGTGGACTAAACCAGAATTGCACCAGGACTGAGTGTCGAGGTGGGACCGGAGGTGTGCCTGTGTAGACGTCGGGTGACCGCAGCAGAAAGGACCGGCACAGAGCTCCCACGGGGCTAACTGAAGCCATTACCCGATCGCATTTTGCCGGACACCGTGCTCCACGGGCTCGGGGGTCTCTCTCTCTCTCTCTCTCTCTATTAAGTTCAAAATTAGTCCTGGTTTAGTTCTAGTTTAGACCCGGTTTAGTCCTGGTTTATACCTGGATTAGTCCTGGTTTGGATCTGGTTTGGACCTGGTTTAGTCCTGATTTAGTCCTGGTTTAGTCCTGGTTTAGTCCTGGTTTGGACCTGGTTTAGTCCTGATTTAGTCCTGGTTTGGACCTGGTTTAGTCCTGGTTTGGACTTGGTTTAGCCCTGGTGTAGCCATGGTTTGGACCTAGTTTAGTCCTGGTTTGGATGTGGTTTGGACCTGGTTTAGTCCTGGTTTAGTCCTGGCTTGGACCTGGTTTGGACCTGGTTTAGTCCTGGTTTGGACTTGGTTTGGATGTGGTTTGGACCTGGTTTAGTCCTGGTTTAGTCCTGGCTTGGACCTGGTTTGGACCTGGTTTGGACCTGGTTTTTTCCTGGTTTAGTCCTGGTTTAGTCCTGGTTTAGTCCTGGTTTGAACCTGGTTTGAAACTGGTTTGGACCTGGTTTGGACCTGGTTTAGACCTGGTTTAGACCTGGTTTAGACCTGGTTTAAACCTGGTTTATTCCTGTGACCTCCTGATGTTCAGTGATGTTAAAAGTCGTCTCAATAAGGCCTGCATGACATTGAAAATGATTTGCTGTTACAAAAATGGTTTATGAAAGCACTTTAAAAATATACATATGTGAAAATACAATATTAAAACGTATATCAGCTGTTACTGAAACTCATAATTGCCAGAAACACAAAAGATGAATTTACTTCAAAGTCCTGTGTGGGGGAGGGCAGGCGGATGGGAATTTGGGCAAAGGGGGGGGGGGGGGGGGGGGGGCTCAGGTTTCTTTACTCTAATGGGAGGCTCACATCCACCCAATCTGAAAACCCCTGCTTTTGGCAAAACAGCAAATATTGGAGATGAGCAGGTGGCAGAAGATTCATCAGAAAAGTTACACAGTGCTGGAGCATCCGCCATCTGCTTGTCTCCATGGTGATATTATTGCTATGCCTGGGATGTTCCGCAGTGGCATTAAACAAATATAACTTGTATTTGTACTTGTATTGTATAAACTACCACAAAAAAAAACATTATTTCTGCGATAGGTCCCACTTCTACACAGATCTGACCTGTAACTTGGCCTGGTGACGTGGGCTGCTCGTCTCCATGGTGATAGTTAAATTAAATTAACATACTATAGAGAAAAACAATAACATGTACATGGACTCAAGCAGGTGGCATAACCTCTACTAGAAAAGTTACACAGTGCACCTTTTAATGACAAATTCTAACTAACTTTTCTTCTCCTCCTCTTCTTCTTTTTCTTCTTCTTGTTCTTCTTTTGGTGCATCCATGTCACTGGACTCAATTGTTTCAGATTTAACAGTATTTTCTAAAGGAGGTGGTGTTGCTTTTTCCTCTGGTTGTGCAATTTCAAGTGATTTGTCAATTTCTTCGTTTTTCACCTCTGGAGAGCATTCCGCGTCTTTCATTTCAGTTTCTGGTTCAGCCTCTTTCGTCGTGGATTCCTCATTTGAAAGTGCAATGTCTTTTTCCAGCACATTTTCGATTGGTGAACTTGACTTCTCCTCTGTCTTGTCATCTACAGCTGCTTGTTCTTCTTTCTCAGTTGCCACAGCCTCTTCAGGTACCTCGTTTTCCGTAGGATTGTCTAGTTTTTCATCACTGACGCTAGGTGGGCTTTTGTCTGTGATGTCTGCGTCTGTCTCTTCTTTTTGTGGAATTTCTGTTTCTTCCTCTTCTATCTCGTCCTCTAAAGGCGGGATCATGCCTTCCTCTCTCCCACCTGGGAACACTTTGTCTGGATACACAAGCTTCAGCTGTTCCTCAAAGTACTCCTCCAGGTAGAGCCCAGCACTGCCCACCTCTGACGTAGCCTGTTGAAATGAAAATTACACAAATGTTTAGTAAATATTTTCTTAAGTGTTCAGTCATCTTTAACATTAAATATATGTTATGCTAAGGGAAGGTATGGACTTAATATTGGTGCTAATATCGGTATCAGTGATGTCTAGGGATTTAATAATAACTGAAATATTGTGACATTGTATCGTCAAAGTTCTCACAATAATATCGTGGACCATCACAATATATCGACTTGCAAGTCAAATTAAAAGTTATGGTGCAGCAATAGCTAAAAAAAAAAGACAGAGGGAACTACATAGCCCATGATCCTTTGCTCCATTTCAGTGCAAATTAAAACAAGAAATAACAGTTGTGAGCACTTTTGAGTCTTAGTTCTTTGGGTTAAGTCTTGTCTCTACAAAATATCGCAATAAATATCGTACCGTGAGGTTCATACCGTGACGATATCGTATCGTGAGAGTTGGATATTGTTACACCCCTCATGATGTCAGAAAATTTTTCCATATATCCATATCGAAAAATTGCATTTTTTTATTTATGTAAGTATTTTCTATCACTATTTTCCCTGATAAATAGACTTTTGTATTATACATTACTATTAAAAAATAACTAAACTTTAAATACTAATGCAAAAAAGCCTCAAAATATAAAGTATTGTTCTATCTGTTATTCATTTAACTATAAAATCTAGCGATGGGATGAGACACAATTTCTATAAGACGAGGCATGACATGAGATTCGGTTCACGAGAACGAGACAAGATTGGATTTTGTTATATTTTTAATAAATGAATTGTGCCATTCAATTCACAGTTTTGGGTTTATTTCATGTTATAGTTTTGCAGTCATTGTAGCACTGCTTTTTGGAATTACAGCTTCTCAAGAGGACTTACTCTGCAAAGTTAAACCCCTTTAATAAACCCTTTTTATCCAAGGAAAATGTAAAAAATATGAGGAAAAACAATCTCACAAGATAATTTTTCACATGTGAGCACAGTCTTGTGGTAATTTTGTCTTATGGCACAAGATCATGTCCTATTCCTAATTTAAAAAATTAAAAGTAATTGTCATGACATTCCTATACCTAGGTGATGGAATTCACACAGACACAGACAGACACACATAAAACAGAACAGAACTTTGACTGATAGTGGTAAGCATGTTCACAACACACAGATTTTAAATGAAATTGTACCTTGTAGTATTTTGCACAGTTGATGAATATGAGCCTCACGTCTGACACGAAACCCTCAGGACAGGTGTAACACTCGCTGTCACTGGACTTGGCCTCCAGCCTCTTCTTCACAATCGACAAATCCATCGGTGTTGTGATGAGTTCCTTGTATTTTTTACTTTCCTAAAAACAACAACAAAAAACCAACAGGCTTTAGTACTAGAATATTCATTAGAGATGGGACAAGACACAATTCCCAAAAGATGAGACGCAAGACAGGGTCCATGAGATTGAGACAGATTTTGACATTGATCAATTTTGCTGTTTACTGAGTTATTTTATTATATTTTTACTATCATTGTAGCATTGCTTTTTTTTCCTCAAAAAAAAAAATCTCAAAAGGGTAACTCATCAGCATTTATTTTCTCCAATCCAAATGTAAACACATGGGGAAAAAATCTCACAAGATAATTTTCCTCATGCGATCTTGTGAGCTCTTGTCCCATCTTGAATCACCGTTACAAATGTACACTACTGGTCAAAAATTTTAGAACACCCTAATTTTTCCAGTTATTTATTGCAATTCAAGTCGTACAAATCCAGTGAAGAGCTTGAAATGGTACAAAGGTAAGTACTGAACAGCCAGAGGTTAAAAAAAGATAAAAGATAACAAAACTCAAAGCTCAAAGATAGTGTCCAACACAGTCTCCAGACTTAAACCCCATCGTGCTGGTTTTGGGATGAACTGGACAGAAGAGTGAAAGACAAGGAACCTACAAGTGCCACACATTTATGGGAACTTCTGCAACAGACTTGGGAAGAACTTTCTGAAGAATATTTGCTTTCTATTGTAAAAAGAACTAGCCACAAGTGTGTTCAGCTGTTACATCAAAGGTGGACACTTTCATGAATCAAAAGTTTAAAATATGTTTTGGTCAACAGTAAATAGTAAAAAACTGGAAAAGGTGTGTTTTCGTTTTTTTTTGTTTTTTTTTTTACTTTTCACCGGTAATATATGTACACTTCAAATACTCCGATAGTTACCGCTGGGGAGGCAGGTTGCTGGAAGTCCGTGCTTATGTCATTGCAGAACATTCGCAGTAGTAGCCGCTCACATTTCTGAAAAACAAAGATTTAAGTATTCAATATAAACATTCACAGAGCAGGGCTGCAGCAAATAAATGATCATACCAGAGATGAATCAAATTATGAATGGATGCAGTTAGCTCACAAAGGCTGCAATATTTTAAAGTACTATAATTTCCTCCACAAACAACAAAATATCCTGTCTTCTTCTGCATAAAAACTGCTAATCCTGTAGTTCAAATCTGTACAAACATGTTCTGAAATGTGATGCTTGTATTAGTTTTACAGTTCAAATTTCAGTCTTTTTATCAATTTTTCTGAATGAATTTAAAGTGTGCACTCTGAACAGGATGCTCACAATTAGATAATCTTCCAAACCATGATGCTGATGTTTGATGTTTCAGTCCAAGGTCAAAAAATGTGAGATGACAGAGTGAATGTCCTTTTGTGTTAATTAATAAGTCCTTAATATTGTCACATAAATAAGTTTCTACAGATTCATTAAATTTGAACCATTAAAGTTTTTTGTGCGAAAAGGGGAGCAGATATTACAAGTCTATACTTTCTACTCCTTTTCATTCCCATCGATATATGTAATATTATTATTTTTTCCGTGCATTGTGTAACTTTTCTGGTGGAGGTCTATCAAATGCTTTTCTGGAAATGTTATTGTTTTGTCTGGAATGTTTCACAGTATGGCATTAAACCTTTCTATCATCATGGAGACCAAACCAGACCATGTTAAATGTCTGATCAATCGGAATACCTGTTTTTGAGTTATAAAACCACCTGTAATTGAATAAATGTAAGGTTGATCTGTTTAATGTCCTTCAAAACAAGCAAGTGATGAACCCTCCACCAAAAAGTTGCATAGTGCATCTTTAAAAGAATTAAAAAAAAAAAAAAAAATGAAATTCAGTCATAGATCATACCCTCCTGTCAACAATGGGGAATTTCTCAGTCCCGGGATCGTCTTTCCGGTCAGAGACGTACTCCATTTCAGGAGCCTCCAAATTTCGGCAGAGAGAGCAGTACCACTCACCACTGTAGAGAGAAATACAAAATAAAGTACATTTTACCTTATATCAGGCATTTGTGTACGTTCATATTCATATAATCATCTTAAAATGCTCATTATATTCACTGATGTCACATTGTTGTAGTTAATCTTGTATTGAACGTTAAGAAGTTAGTGCCTCCTTGTGGTCAAATCTTTTAACAACAGTTAGATTAGAGCAAGAAATTTGGTAATAGTCTAATATTTCTTCATGACCAATTCAACTTTAAAAGCTTTACGACTGTATAGAAAATCATAACATTATACATTATTTGATAGTAAATATATACATACATTAAAAATGGTGTGCAATCCAGCCCACTCTTTTACATGTAAATAGATTTAGTCTTACATTACCGGTTTCTATAATAATATATTTTTTTCTTTTTCATCTTGTGGGAGTACTTTAATTTTTATATAGAATCATTATTTTAAAAAAGAATAAATTTGATCAAACTTCCCAATTTACATAATTTGCACATAAAGCAAATTAGCAATTTTCACAGAGACAAATATTAAAAAAAAACAGAAACACCAGTACATACATGGCACTGCAAATAGGCTGGTTTCATGAGACAAAACTTTCTAGAAACCCTTTAGTTTAACACTGAGCTAAGGACAGGTCAGACTTTGCTATTCAAGTGTCAGATTGCAGATTTGTTGACCTGCTTTATGGTTAATATTTCTGTAATATCTATAAATTGGCACAAAGTTCAACGTATTCACTGTTAGAAAAAATAAATAAAAGTTATATGTTTCCAACCCAAATAGCCTCAGATAGTCGTGTCTGGGGACTGCAGTTAAAAACTAGCTGTACAGCCAATAGTGGCATATTTATCTAAGTGAATGTGCATTTTTCCCAATCAAATAACTAATAAAAAAATAAATATTTTTCAACTCTTGAGGTGTTACTGTTATCAGTCGAAAGGACTTTGAGTCATAAGACTAAGACAGGATGTTTATGGTTCCATGAGATAAACATAGCAGGTTTGTGAACACAGTTCCTAACGAATAAAGCTAAAGTTAAATGTTTGATTTCAGCTCAACATATTGATTTTGGTTAAATTACTCCCAATGAGGCCAGCAACAACAGGTAATCACTGTATTTAATTCAAGGTTCTATATTAAGGAAAACTGATTAATGTAAGGCATGTTAGAGTAGTTGTTACCTCAAAAACATATCTGGAGTTGTGTTTAGTTTCATTCACACATTCACACATACTACATTATTGGTCTGTCTACAAAGCTCAAAATGGTCTGTTCCACCTTGTGTTAACAGCAACCTTTTACCTTTTGTTCAGTAGACATTGGAAATTCCAGGTCTGAAATCATCCAAATTATTGTAGTGAAGGTGCATGGGGATTAAAAACACAGTGGAGCACTTCCTTTAAAAGTCTAAATTTGCAGGCTTTGTGTGTTAAACATGTGTGAATGAAACAAAACACAACTCCAAGTTTGTTTGTGATAAGGAAACAACATTAGATGATAACATAGATCAGAAGATAGCGTAATATGGGCCCTTTTAACCTTACAGGGACATTGGTGGTACTAATGGGAGACCTCCTTGTTACCTTGGCGACTCGTTAAGCGTTGGGATGTGGCAGTTGAGGTGAAACACTTTGGGGCATTTGTCGCAACAGAGCAGTTCCCCTCCGTTCTGACAGACGGCGCACCAGTCCTCGTTGGGGTCGTCCTCTGGCTCGGCCCCCTTCTCGGTTTGGGGCGTGGCCTTCTCAGAGGGTTTGCTGGACACTGGGATAGTCACCTTCACCGAGGGACAGGTCTTCTGCGGAGGGCGAGGTTTGGACTTCGCTGGCGTGCTGCTGTCAGGAAGACTGGAGCCTACACTGGACTGAACCTACAGAACAATGAGAAGATATGAAGTCAATAACAGTGCATGCCAAATATTTTCTAGGAGAATGTTTAAAAAGATGCATTATGTAATTTTTCTGGTGAAAGCTCTGTCACCTTCTAGACTCCATAAAGATGTTAGTTTTTGCCTGGAATGTTCCACAGTATAACTTAACTTACCATTTTCACAATTCTCCCCTTTTGCTACTTACATAGGAGAGTTATTTCATTTTTTTTTCTTTGCTACATCATCCCATATTTATTACTTCATATATTTGATGTCTTCTGTATGCATATAAAATGTTGCAAATAGTAAAAAAACTAAAATATGGTGTGTCCAAAACTTTTCACTGGTAGTGTAAAACCACAAATTTACCATATTAATCTTGCCAGTCTGTCATTTGTTTTATAAAAAATGTTCATGCAAAAACTTCATACAATCCACTTTTCATCTCTCTGCTTATCAAGACAAAGTGGATGCGAACACAGGCTTTGGGGTATTTAAAACTGTAATGCGTGTATAAAAAAGTGAAATATTGAGAAAGGTATTTGTGGAAAAGATAAAGCTTTATATAAAGTTGCAGCATATACTGAGTAATTGAAATGACAATTCTAGAAAAATGAATCTTACAAAGCTGACTTCATCCTCGTCTTCTGGCTCGTCCTTGATGACGATGATTGGTCCAGGGGATAATCTCCTTCGACGTTTTGCAGCAGGAGAAGTCTCAGACGGAGGCTTCCACGATACTGTTCTGTGGTGACAAGTAGGAATATGTTTAAAACTGTGGCAGAAGATGTTAAAATAACAACAAATATTATAATTGTTTCAATTTGTAGGGAAATCCATCTCCATTTTATGAATGAGCCAAAACAGACTAATCCTAACAGCGCGCAGATGTGGGTCACTAACATCAGAGCAGTCAAAGCTGTCCTGTGCTAAACTCCTTCCTTTTCTCTTCTCAGTGACTCAAGTGACTCAGTGATACAAGAAAGAAGAGCACATCACCTGTAAAACACTGCTCCCTGTGACTGCAGTGAACAGCCTTTCTTACATTTTCAGTGTAAGAAAGTGGTGGAAATAAAATTTCTTCCAAACAAATCAATTTAAACTTAAAATTCAATGAATCTATTTTTTTCCCAGCCCTACTTGGTGCTATACTAGAAATAAAAATAAAGCATGTTTCTTACCCTGTTTGCCGGTCTGTTGTAGAGGGCTTGATCAGTGAGGAACTCTGCATTGCCTGAACTACAGAGAAATGAACATGTTTTAATAAGACAAACATCTCTCATTATTAATATGTGTTTATAGATGGGGTAACAGATTTAATAGGTACCTGTGTTGAGGGTGGTTGTATTCAAGGCCTGGGCTGTTAAGACGCTGGGTTTGGGGACTGATATGGTTACAGAAGGAAGGGAAGCACCTGGCTCACTCCTTCTCAGAAAGTCTGGTTGCCCTCGCTAGAAAACCCGCATAAAGTTACAGTGTAAACAAATTAAATCTTACAAGAAAAACTAATTCTTCATTAGGCACTTGCTCAGCTCTTGGTACTGTTCTGTGTTACAAGTGGATCTGTTGATGCACCAACTTGTATCTGAATCTGACCTTGGCATTTCTCTGTATAAAAGTCAAATTTCGAAGAAGCCCTGAATGATCTCTGTACCATTCTATGTTCCCCCCTTTTGCAAAACATTAAAATCCACCACAAAGGTAACGCTTTGACTCAGATCTTCATTTGTATGTAGAAATATTAATCAAATGGTTAATCCTCCTACATTATACATATTTTTAATTAATTTGTTCTATTTTTTAAGGATAGTGGGGATAATAACTAACTAATATTACTGCCATCATTATGTATATTATTGTGTGTGACTTTCTGCATATGGTTTTTGAGATGTTTTTGTATGCTTTCTCTTAAAGCTTAAAACATAAAGTATAAACAAAAGATCTTCATTTCATTCAGTGGTTAAACAACATTTTTCCACATCAACGTTTGAACTCAAAACTTGTAAAGATGACCAGTAAACGTTGGCGTACCTGCTGTAGCGAAGCCTGTGTAACTGTTCCAGGCTGGAGTGGCTGTGTGTACCGGGGAACGCTCTGAAAACAGAACAATAGTTTGGTATTTGCAGGTATTTGCATAAGAGCTCTCAAGGACTGCATGTGAATAAAGTCCAAACATCCAATATGATTCAAGATTCAAGAACACACAAATTCATTCATTACCCCCGTGAGGTGGAAGTAAAATATAAAATATGTAAAAGTAAGTGTGTGTAAGTAAAAGGCTAAAAGAAGTTGAAGATCTATAGGTCTGAGTACCATTAGATTTTTTTCAATAGCAGTACTTTAATGATATCTGCTTTTCGATGTCTGAACGGTTCTTTTTTCTTTTTGGAATTAACACAGGATAGATAATGACTAAAAAGCAAATTACACATATTTAGATGAGTAAATATTCTGGACAGGATAGCAAAAGAAAAAGCTTTTTATGTCAACTGGACAAATGTTTTTGCCCCTCATCCAAGCAGCTTCAATTCTGGTCAGATTGCCAATCCAATCCACTTTATTTTTACAGCACATTACATAAACAAAGAAATGTAATAAAATCAAAACATAATAAAAACAACTAAAAACAACAAATAAGTAAAACAGTGAAAAAGACCCCAAGGTTCCCATTCTTTTTCACTGACAAAATTTCTAAACTTTTCCATTACTTTTTCACGACCTAAAGTAAATCTTCCATGACTTTAAGGCACCCTACATGTATAGAATTGATCATACTTTTAGGGATAAATATGATATGTTAACCCTTTCCACTCACCTCATGGTTTGGTATTATAGTTTTAACATTCAAAATACACAAAAGGTAAATTAAATTAAATTAAAGTAAACAAAAGGTGCATACGTTCCGAAATACTCATAATAGCCTAATGATAACTTAAGAGAACACTGTAGTTGCGTAAAAGAGATACTTTTCTAGGCCTGGGAAATTACTATTTCAATTTCCTTGACCCTGTGAACCCTGAGACCCATAAGACACTGCCTTATATCTATCTGAAGGGAGGAGCCAATTACACTGAAACTAACAGACCTATTTGATTAAAGTTTCTGTTTGTACATTACATAAGAGTGAACTGTGCTGCAGTCATATTAATATAATGATCTAGGCCCCTGATGGGTGCGCTTACACCTCTCAGCATACTGGCTTTTACTACTGTTTACCCTGTTTTGCTTTAGGTCAGAGAACGGAGTTACAAACAGAAGATCGATGACGTCTAAGCCCCCCTGTTCCTGTTCAAAGATGAAGTGTCCTTTCTTACAAAAATTACACTTTGCCTCCCCTCTCAAAACATTTCCTTTCTCTGGCTAAGATCTGTACCTCACTACCTTCAAAGGAGAGGTTAGTGGCTTTGAGATGTTTCAGATAATGCACAGGTCATTATCTGAAACAAACCTGTGCTCACGTATGCACTTACCTGAGGAGGAGGAAAACTGTTGCTGTTGAACATGGTGGACGTGGGGCTCCTTGTCGCGGTCTGAGCGCTCCCATACCTCCGTCCCATCTGAACTAAAGTGGGAGCTGCTCCGGACTGGGACGGGGAAGAGCCTCCGTGGACAGGCCTCGTGTTTGGAGAGCCAAGGGGTCCCGGGAGGCGCATATTTTGATACCACGGCCATTGGTTTGGAGCAGGCTGCCTAGGGGGCTGTTGGGAGATTTTGTCCACCTTACACATAGGAATAGGAGACGTTGTATTTGCGAAATGTGCAGGAAACCTTAAGAGTGCTTTGTCTCAAGTAGGGCTGCACAATATACCACAATAGTATCAAAACTGCAATTTGAGTTGCCGCATTTATCAAATCCGAAAGCCTGCAAATATTTAGATAATAGAAAGTCTGTAGTTTAGACCCATACAAACATTTTCTGAAATTCATAAGACTCTTGTATTCATAGTTCATATTTCTACGTATTTCAGTCTCCTCTCAAATGTTAAAGGGCCTATATTAGGCAAAATTGTCTCTTATAAGCTTTAAGCCATGTTACCTCATCAAAAACAGACCTGGAGTTGTGTTTTGTTTCATTCACATCTTTGAGTAATCCTTTATTATTACTCTGTCTACATCTTCAAAGCTGAAAATACTCTGTTCCACCTTGTGATGTCATGTAGTGGTAGTTTTCAAGTTAACAGCGCCTTTTACCTTTTGTTTAGAAGAGACTGGAAATCGTCTAAATGATTCTAGTAAAGATGTATGGAGTTTAAAAACACAGTGGAGCATTTCCTGTATTATAACATGACATCCCAAGGTGGAACAGAGTGTTTTCTGTTTGATAAAAAAAACTCAGCCTAAATATGCAGGATTTGTGTGAATGAAACAAAACGCAGCTCATGTTTTTGATGAGGAAACAACATTATAACATAGATCAGAAAATAGAGTTATATGCATGTTTGCGCACTCAGAAGAGAATGTTACTTGTAAAACATATCACAAATCTGAACTTAATCGCAGTACATATCCGAAAAATTGCAAGTGATTTTTTCCCCCCAAAATCGTGCAGCCCTAGTCCCAAGAAAGGCCAGTATTCCAAAAGTAGACTTGTACCTGCATCTGGAGCTGAGCTAGTGTAGTCTGACGTTGCTGAGCTGACATTGTAAGTCCACTTGGGGGCGCCTCGATTCTGGGGCCGACTGTTGGGTTTGTCAGAGGGGGGCGAGCCGTACCCCTCTCCACAACCAGAGTACCTGAAAAACAGTATAGTGTTTTAGACGGCATCATAGTCATTCTACAAGGTGAGTCTGATCAGGGGCAATTCTCATTAATTCTAATTTGAATCTAAGATCTGACAAAAAATGAATTTAAATAACAGAGCCTGTGATCAATACAAGTGTTCATTGACCTGTTTAGGTGTTTCATTTTCAATAAAAAGGTGAGCGTGCCAAACTGAAAAAACTGCTGGCTAACGTAATTTTATGTGTGAGAAACATTTTAAACAGCACAAATTAACTCAACCATTGTAGTTCCAACCAAGTCAACTCTTTCTGGTCAGATTGTGTTAAACTAAGGCTCATCTTAAAGCCTAGCAAAGATTCAGACAGAGCAGAGTCTAGAGTTACCATCACACCCCCAAGTAATGTTGATGATGTTTGCGGCAACGTCTCAACTGTAAATGTGACATCAACCTGCAAGAGGAAAGTAATATTTTTTGCTAAAACCTGGCACATAACATTTTGTTTTTTTGATAAGGGGAATGTCTTTGGTGCATTGTCTCTGCTCAAATAAATGAATTCAAAAGGTTTATGAACGAAGCCAAAATAGACAGATCTAATTTGACCCAATCACAAAAAAATTATGTGTATGTAATAGGGATGGGCATGATTAGTCGATTAATCATTAAGAATTTCAACGATTACGTTCAATTTAATCGACAAACCAAATGTAAGTTGCTGTGCGTAGCGTGACCAAACAGGGGTCTGTACATGTAGCTCTCTGCACTCAGAAGGAGCGAGACACAAACAGTCAGTCAGCCTGCAACGTACTGAAGTGCATAGATGACTTGTACAAGAAATTCCACGCTTTCTGTTCCGGTCGGGACAAGTGGGAGGCCATGTGCACAGTGTACAAAGCAGCACATATGTTTCGTTGTTCAGTGGGAAAAAGTGTTGCCAGGTGAGAGTCGCGCAATGTCGATGACGAGTCCCCACCTCCCACCCCCCGTACGGTGTCCTGGTTTTGACAAATGCAAATATGGTCACACTAACCTGTATTCCACTGAGTCATGTCTTTTAATCCGACAGAAGTTGATGGCATCAGCGCACAAGAGCTGTATTTTTATCTTTGCTTACTTTATGCAAATTAGCCATGAAGTTTTAGTTTCTGTGAGAGTTGCGCAAAACTGAATTAAACACATTATAATGTCAAACGGGCTGATGTGGCTCTAGAGTGGTTACGGTTTATATGTCGAAAAGTTGAATTTATTCATGCAGATTAGTAGTGCAGATAGTAATAATAATGATGATCATTTTAATATAAAAATGTTGATGATTAATCGCTAATCGATCGTTAATTCTTCAGACGATCGATTAAGAAAATTTCATCGAATGCCCATCCCTAGTATGTAATGTGTAATCTATTGGTTTATTTTAAAATGGGTTTTTACAGTCACTTGTTGAGTCACTGTCACACACGTGATACTGTGGAGAGACCAAGATTATGGAAAAGAATGTCATAATAAAATGTGTGATTATAAATTCTAGGCTAGGAGAAGATAAATTTATCAGAACAAGATGGCAAAATATAAATGTACAAGTAAGAATACACCATCTCAGATAACGAGATAAAGTAGGGCATGAGAATGAGGTCATTTTTGCTCTTCAGTAAAAACTATTCATATGAAGCACCATCTTCCATAAATAAGGCCCAAATCCAGAAGTGGGTAGAGTAGCCAAAAACTACTTAAGCAAGAGTATTGTTTCTTCAAAATAACATTACTCAAGTAGAAGTAAAAGGTAGTGATCAAAGGAATTACTTAAGTAAGTGTAAAAAAGGAAAATTTGGAAAAGGTCCTACTTAAGTAAGAGTAACTTAAAGAGTAACTGTTGTGACGTAATATCTGTTTTATAATTAAAGTGTTGTGTGTTGTTTGTTGTTTCATGTCGTTAAGGCTTTTTATCTGCAAAAGCATTAGCTCTGTCTGTGTCTGACATGTAAACAAACAGTGCTGTTGATGCTTAGCACAGTGCAGGTGTGAGTGACATGAGGGCTGGGTGCTCACTGTGCTTGGCTGAAATATTGGTGTTGTTACCTTACTAAAAAACAAGAGATTTTGCTTCCGCATCTTTTTACACTTTTTAAACGGTAAAAAACAAGGAAAAGCATCTTTATGAGACAATGGTGTACTAAACTATGCGACCAACTGGCAGTTCAATAAGCCAAATGCAAGAGCTGACCGGATAGAATAATAAAGATAATGCATTAGTCTTATACAGTCCCTGACAAAAGTCTTGTCGCTTATCCATTTTGTAGAAACAAAAGCTTATAACTTGACTTTAAATTAATTGATTGGTTTTAGAAATGTCTCATATGAAAGCTAAAACCCTCCCAAATTATGCTCAATATACAAAAAAAAATTGCTTCAAAAGATCGATCATTTAATGAACACAGAAAGGTCAGATTTTGGCAAGACAAAAGTCTTGTCGCCTTGTCATATGATGCACCCAATCCTAGATTACAGCCTCACCTGTGGTCAGTTACTGATCAATCAATTAGTGGGTGTGTATAAAAAAGACCCCCAGCACACCAGACCTTCACATCAACTGCAACTTGACCTCTGACAACATGACTAAGATCCACCCTGAGACCAAAGCGTTAATTATCAAGAGGCTGAAGACCAGATCCACTGCTGAGGTGGTTGACACCTTCAATGTGTCTCAGCGTCAAGTACAAAGAATAAGAAAAAGATCTGAAATGACTGGAGATGTTTTTGACAAGCCCAGGTCCAGCAGACCCCGCAAGACAACTGCTCCGGAGGACCGTTTGTTGATTCGAAAATCCAAGGCCAGCCCCTTTTCCAATGCAGCAGAGCTCCACCAGGCCTGGTCACCTCAAGTCCCTGTGTCAACCACAACAGTTTGTAGAATTCTGTCTCGAAATGGCCTCCATGGTTGAATCAGTGCACAGAAACCAGCACTAAACAAAAGGCAATTAAAAAACCATGTGGCATTTGCCAAGGCCCACAGCCTGCTAAAAGGATGGACACTGGAAAAGTGGCAGAAGGTGGATTTCTCAGATGAATCCTCGGTTGAATTACATCACAGCCGCCGCAAATATTGCAGGAGACCTACTGGAGCCCGCATGGATCCAAGATTCACCCAGAAAACAGTTAAGTTTGGTGGCAGAAAAATAATGGCCTGGGGTTACATCCAGTATGGGGATGTGCGAGACATTTGCAGGGTGGAAAGCAATATTAATAGCCTTAAATATCAAGTAGTATTAGCTATCTCTTACATTCCCAACCATAAAAGGGGTCAAATTTTGCAGCAGGATGGTGCTCCATCGCATACTTCTATCTCTACATCAAAGTTTCTCAAGGAGAAGAAGATCAAGGTGCTCCAGGACTGGCCAGCCCAGTCACCAGACATGAACATCATTGAGCATGTCTGGGGTAGAATGAAAGAGGAAGCATGGAAGGCAAAACCAAAGAATCTTGATGAACTCTGGGAAGCATGTAAGACTGATTTCTTTGCTATTCCTGATGACTTCATCAACAAATTGTATGAATCATTGTCAAATTGCATGGATGCGTCCTTCAAGCTCATGGAAGTCATACAAGATATTAAATATGGATCTCACAGCACCACTACTTAATTCACTGACGTTATGCAACATATTTTTGTATTTGAAGTAAATTATTTGTTCAATTTTCTGTAGGCGACAAAATTTTTGTCTTGCCAAAATCTGACCTTTCTGTGTTCATTAAATTATCAATCTTTTTTCAGTGAAGCAAATTTATTTTAGTTTATTGAGCATAATTTGGGAGGGTTTTAGCTTTCATATGAGACATTTCTAAAACCAATCGATTAATTTAAAGTTAAGTTATAAGCTTTTGTTTCTACAAAATGGATAAGCGACAAGACTTTTGTCAGGGACTGTATATTTCTTTATTCTCCAGATGGTCGGAATCGCTTTACAGCTTGGTGCATTATTCCTTCATTCCATATCTGGTGGTGGTAAAATACAATTGTAGTCACAGCTGCCCTGAGGCAGACTGATGGAAGAGGCTGCAAATCTGCACCATCGGCCCCTCCGACCACCACCACATTACTTTCATATTAGGCAATGAGTGTTTTGTCCATTCATATACAAACCAGGCCTGACCTTGCTTAGCTTCTGAAATCTGACGAGGACAAGCTTTGACAAGGAGGTTTGGCTTTTTATGGTATTATCCTTATTTACTTTAAGTGTTCGAGGCTTAAGAAATGGCACTAAGCGTAAGTTAATTTTTACGACACAACCAACAAAGTAAACAGTTTTTTTTCTTCCAAGAGACACACTTTACTAATGACGATATACATTTTTTGGAAAACGCAATGGGGGAGTAGAAATACGTTTTTCTCTCATGGTACATCTCACTCAGCTGGTGTTGCAATTTTCCTTAAATCAATTTGAGAGTAAAGTTCAAGATAAAAAAAGTGATAATGAAGGACATTGGTTAATGATAAAAAAAAAGCAAATATATACTGGGAAATGTCTATGGGTTTAATAACAGGACAAAAAATAAAAGGTTATTTACTAATCTACAGCAGATGACAGAAGACTGGAAAATTGCTTATAATATAAATTTTATTTAATTGATAAAATTATTGTAGCGGGAGATTTTAACGAACAATGTTCCTGTACAGCATAACTCATTGAGCTCAAACTGTGTAGCTACAAACGTCGCTAACCCTCTCGACCTTATTGACGTTTGAAGAACTTTTACTTCAAACAAAATCCAGTACACATGGAACATTTGGAATGCTCCAGAATCAATTGTTGGCTAGTTATCTATGAGATTCTACCTTCCCCTCTTACTGACTGCTGTGCCACTACTCTTAATAATAGATCTGACAACACAATTCAGGAGCCAAGAGTATTTCACTGTTATTAGAAGCCTCTAAAGAGTGCAAACAGATCTCACCATGAAGAGAGGAATTATTTCCTTATTACTAAAGTCAAATTAAGACAAGTTACTTCTTGACAATTGGAGGCCTAATGCAGTCCTATGATTACAAACTAATTTGCTCACTTATATCCAAACAGACAAAACACTGGAATAAGCCTGATAACTGCTGAGACACAATCAATTTTTATAAAAGGACGACATCAGTATCTTTAAGGCTTTTGACTTTTTATAGCATCCCTTTCTCTTTAGGACAGTGTGACATTTAACAGCTCAATTTTACATTTATTAAATTACAGGTGGTTTTATATCTCAAAAGTACATATAAATAACAGGGATTCTGACTGTGAGCGAGATTGTCTCTCCACAGATCTGATCTGTAACTTGGTCTGGTTTGGTCTCCGTGAAGATAGAAAGGCTTAATGCCATACTGTGAAACATTCCAGACAAAGCAAAAGTATCTCCACAGAGAAAAGCATTTGACGGACCCTCCACCAGAAACACAATGATAAATAAAATGAAGAGTTATTACAGGTGCTGGAACCTGCCGGAGCAAGAGGGTGAGAACATTAAGCACTGCATGATTGACTTCTGTCACACTGTCATGCCAGAGCAGAGGGATTGCTCTACCACATCAGCGCGAGTCACAGGGTCACTCAGTCAAAGAGTGGAAAAGAAAATCTGCCCGGTGATTCATTGCCAGATACACAGGGGATGCAGTATGAAGAGAATCAAAGAATAACAACTTTATTTGTGCCCTGAAGCTCAAGTTTGGATACGACTTGTCAAAAAAAAGAAAAAGAGATGGGCATTAGACTCTGGCCAATGGTTGATGAAGCTCATAAGCAGGTAAACGGGCCTTCTTTGGGGGGCACGGACTATCATTGAAGGCAAAGAGGTCAAAGAGGTAAAGCCTAATCGAAAGCTAAGTTTAGGCCTTTAAAAGTACACTTTTAATTAATTAAAAACAATCTACTACTACCAACAACTTTTCTTTTAATTAATTGTACTGTATTTCAATTTGTTGTATTTTTATTTGTATTATTTATATTTATTTGTCTTTATGTCTTTGCTCTTTAGCTGCTCATGTGATAGACTGTAAGCTGAAGACATTTGTCACAGTGACGGACAGGAGAACACTGGACAAACTGCTCTCCATCATAGACACTCCTACTGACCCATTGCACCAAACTATAGAGGGACAGATAATACTCCCTACAACTGTACAACAACTCACTCCCTGCACCAGACTAAAGAGGGACAGAGGAGCTCATTCTCCAACAGGCAGCTCCACTCAAACAGTGAGAAATACAGGACTACATTCATACTATAATACTCCCCACAACTGTGAAACAACTCACAATTATTTAACGGATAATAGTCTCTATATACAAATTTATATTACTATATTTCTAGTTTTACTTTACTTGTACACATACATTTATATATTTATGCCTCATTTGACACCATTCGCTTGCTATTTTTATTGCTACTTATTCAGAATTTACTATGACCTTTTTATATTTGTTTTTTACTCTTTGTTTTTGTAATATAATGTGATGTGTGTGGTACCGTCTCCAAGCAATTTCTCTTATTTCTTTTCTCTTATTTCTCAATTTCTCTTATTTCTCTTGTATTATACATTTTGTCCAAGTCTAAATCTAAGTTAAGAGGAAGACTGTTTTCTTGTACTGTAAAAGCTTTAAAATTAACTTTTATTGCAGGTGTGAGCAGCCATAGACCCTTGTACAGTAGCACGGTTCTAAAGTCCTAGTGTGAGTGTGCCTTTAATCACAGTGGGAGGAGTACACAGTAAAAATAAGGTTAAAATGACCCAACTGGTAAATATGCACTGGATCACTATTGGACAAACAAGACTCTGGGGCATTCTGACCCAGTAATTTGGATTATTGTTTTTTCTATTTTGTATATTGGTTATGTTTATAATGACCATCCTGCTTTGTTTCAGTGGCAAAAAGTGAGTTCAAGTAAGAAAGTAGGTGTATATAGATATTTCTCTGTAGCAATACTGCATAATACGGTTTAAAAAGTGTTATTGTGACAGATATAACTGCACTTTCACACCAACAGTCTCACGCCAACCCAGCCATTAGGTAGAAAAATCATCAAAAATAACAACATCACATAATTTTTTAGGGTATTGTTATAAAAAATATTAAGTAGAAGTAAAAGTGAATTTAGATCTCAAGTAAATGTAAGTGAGTGAATGTGACTGAGTACTACCCATCTCTGCTCAATATAGATGGGACAAAAAACAATAATCATTTGTGGGATATTTTACATAATCGTGAGAACCTGAAATGAACTGTGTCGGAAGGGAATACGAATAATTCAACAGAAAAAATAAAATAGAATAGCAAAACTAAGTGACTTGACAAGATCAAGGAGGAGGCGGCAGAATGTATCACAATTGTGTATGTATCTAGATATATTTTTGATGGGGGAACAACATTTCACATCAACAAGTGAATTAAGCAGAATATAGTGCCTTTAAATAGGAATGAAAACATTATTAACATTCTAACTGTAACAAACACAGTTAACTAGTCATGGGACGAGACTCAATTTCCACAAGACGAGATGAGATACGAGATTGGATTTACGAGAACGAGACAAAATGAGATTTTTATACATTTTGCGATGGCTGTTTCCAATTTTGTCCTCACAATTTTTTTTATTTTTTTTAATTCATATTTTGTTGCTATTCTAGTCCTGCATTTTGGGACTATAAGAGATGTAACTCACAAACACTTAACCCCTTTTTGTCCAATCTAAATATAAACACATGGAATCTTGTGGCAATTTTATCTCAAGTGATCTTGTGACAAAATCTCTAAAGTCCTTAAAGTTAACACATTAGTATTCAAAACTTTCTTACCAAGGTCTACATTTGTAGCCCAAAATCCAGAGCGGCACTGGAATCGAACTGAACTCTGAGGGATTAACGACGGGCTGCAGTTGGAACGCATCAAGTAATGAATCTGATACAAGATCTGGGGAAGGATAGGAAGAAAGGTTAAACCTGTGACTTTAAGGTCCTACATTACACAAAATTGACTCCTGTAAGCTTTAAGTCATGTTATAATGTCCTACTCAAAACATAACTGGAGTTATGTTTTGTTTCATTCACACATGTTTGACTAACTATTTTATTATCAGCCTCCATCTCCAATGCTTAAAATGCTCTGTTCCACCTTGCAGTAGTTTTCAAGTTAAAAGCTACCTTTTCCTTTAGTTCTGTGCAGATTGGAAACTCCAGAGCTGAAATATTCAAATGATTCTAATGAAAGTGTATATATATAGAGAGAGTTTAAAAACATAGTGGAATGCATGTGAACACTGTACACAAACAATACAAAATAGTATAGTATAGTTACCGTAATACATTTCTTATTATATAGAAATGTATAGAATGAATTTAGACAGGTCTGAGAGATCCAAATAATGACAATTCTTGCTGTTAACTTGAAAACTACCACTTAATGACATTGCAAGGTGGAACAGACCATTTTGAGTTTTGGAGATGTAGACAAACCAATAATAAAGGGTTACATGAAACATATGTGAATGAAACAAACCACAACTCCAGGTATGTTTTGATGAGGTAACAGGATGGTTTAAAAATCACAAGAGTCAATTTTGTGTAATATAGTACTTTAAAAACTAACTTGTTCTACATTGTGTACAATTTCCAATAATGTCTCAGTTATTTTTAGTTTATTTTGCAGTCGTTTAGTGTCTTTTTCTTGCCTTTGTAAACCGTATATGACTTTCTTTTTAAAAGCGCTGATTAGAACTCATGCATAAATGTATTTTTATTATTATTTTAAACATTTCACAATTGGAAGAGTACTGTAGCAAGTCTTACCAATCTTTTGCAGTAAAGAAGAGCTGTTCCGCTGTGACTGGCTGTGGCCCATTTAGTAAACCTGATAACATGGTCCAAATGTTTGCTTAAAGAGCTCACATCATCCTGCTGCTTTTTCAAACCCAGCTCATGATCCTTGGTTAGTGCCTGAGGGTAAAAGTACAAAAATATCAATGTACAAATACTTAGTCTATTATTATTATTATTATATTATGAATTTCCAATTATGTTTCCAATGTGAACATACCTCAAGCTGGTTAATGAGTATCTTGCCTTTTCGGTTTATCTCCATTATGAGGTTACAGATAGATTTTTTTATTTCATTCGTGACGCCCTTTCGATTTTCTTCAACCTGTTGAAGTCTACAAAGGGAAAAAAATGCATAGATACCAGTATTTAAAAGGGCACATACAATGCTATTCTATGATCTATGTTATGTTGTCTAGTCATCACAAATATACCTGAAATTGTGTTTTGTTTCATTCACACATATTTAACACACAAACCCTGCATAATTAGGCTGTGATCTTCTTGACACTTAACCTGCATACATCTTTACTAGAATCATTTGGATAATTTCTGACAATCTCTACTGAACTAAATGCAGCTGTTAAATGAAAAACTACCACTTCATGACAGCACAAGGTGGAAGACAGCATTTTGAGATTTGGAGATGCAGATAGACTAATAATAAAGGGTTACTCAAACATGTGTGAATGAAACAAAACACTACTCAGGTATGTTTTTCAGCAGGAAACATTATAACATGACTTAAAGCTTACGAGAGTCCGTTTTGTGTAATATAGGACCTTTAATCAATGGAGATAACATCCACACTTTTATCATCATTATCATTACCATTATAATAATTGATCTTACCCATTTGTGATGTAGTTGGACACTTCCTCAATAGTTTTTCTTTTCTCTTGTAACTGCTGTGTCATATGTTCAAGATACTGCTTGTGGTTTCTGTATGCATCTTCTAGAAACTGGTAGCTAAAGGTAAAGACATAGTAATTAATAATACAGTTTCAAATATATTTAGAAAATGTGCATAAAGCATTTCCCTCAGAGCTTAAAGAAGTAGTGAAGTAGTCCTACACTGAAGTTGCATCTGTTGGTAAAACAGCTTGAGCAACTTTTACTAAGACTGCATTCACACCAAAATGAGACCAAACTGGCATCCAACCTGTAACTTAACCCAGGACTAGACCATGACTAAATGAAAACAACTAGAGTAAGACTAAACCAAGTCTACCTTAATACTAAACTGGACTTGAATAAAGACAAAACTTGGAAAAGAGTTTCTGAACCCCTGTGAAATCCTTGTGGTTGCTGCTCCACAAAATGGTGAACATCACAAAGAACTTCCATTTAATTCAAATGTGCAAACAAACTAATTGCACTACTGACATCAGACAAAAACACCCATCCACAGTTTTTCTCTTACTTGTGATCCTTGTGTCTGAGGAGCTGACAGTCTCGACACGTGAGCCGGTCACATGTTTCACAGAAGAGTTTGAGAGGTTCCTGTTTATGAATATCACAGAACACAGGTCGCTGTGTGGAGATGTCTAATGATTCTGGAAAAAAATGATGTATAGGTTTTTAATTATTACATCTTGAAAAACACACAACATAAAAAACATTAGAAACACGCTACCTGGAGACATGTCTTGCTTCTGGCGAATTGTGTGATCTCTTGTAAACTTGACTCTTTGATGAGCCTCAATGCATGTAACGCACAGAAACTCCACACACTCAATGCAGTAACCAGTCGCTTCTGTGTTGTCTTCACAGCTCATGCACACCTATTCACAAGGCAAGGTTATTTGAATAACATAATTCGTACACAAGGTAATTCAAAAAAGTGAAAGTGAAGTCCTAGATTATGCAAATTTGATTCTTGTGCATAATAAACACACAAGAATCAAATTTGCATACTGCATAAATTTGCAACTGATCTGAATTTTGCCCTCCATTTCCATTGGATTTTACTGAATGTAGTTCTCTCATCTGAAAACTAAAAACACTGATTACAGGGAGGAAGGCAAGAGATGAGACAATGCACCAACCTGGCTGTTTTTTTCCATTGTGCTGCTTGGGGCTTCCGCAGAGTCTTTGACAAAGAAGTTATCCAACACATCTAGTTCCCAGCACTCCTGCTTGCATACAGGACATAGGATTGCACCCACTGAAACATGATAATACAAAAAGATATAGTTTGCAACCGAGATGGACTATACCCTTTTAAACACAAACTTAAATATAACTACACAGACTAATCTAATGCAAACAGAAGTCTGGAAGTGTTTCATGCTTTGATTTCAAACATATCTTTATATGCAATATTGCTTAAGGACACTATTATAATACCCAACTTTTATATTATACTAAATTATCCTCACCTAAAAAAAATACCATAAAATCATAAGATTCCAGATTCATACTGGTTTCCTATTGATTACACCGTTCTTTGCCATGAAATATCCAAAAGGTAAATTCACAAATGATGAACCTGATAATTAATTTAAGTGCCTAGACCCAAGAAAGAAAAGCTGCATTTTATTCGCCGATAGAAAGTCGTTATACCAACTGAAAAACTACAGTGTTTAGCTCACTAGCTTTCTCCATTCGTCAAATTTCTGACAATAATTATTTCTCACGTGGTTTGGCATTATCAGGATGCGTCTGCAGGTCCCTCCTCGGCTCTGCGCTCCTGTACGGAGCTGGAAGACATCTTTTGCAGAAGGAGTGAAGACACGGGAGGAGTTTAGGCTCTCTGTTGTGGAAACTCAGTTTGCAGATGGGACAAGTGTCCATTAGACCAAAGGCCCCTTGTTGCTTGAGCCTCTCCTCCTCTGCTGGCAAACTCTCCGCTTCATTCTCCACAATGATCACAATGTCGTCGTTGTCAACATTCTCAGTTTTTGCTTCCATGTTTGTAAGGTCCCAAGGGTTCTTCAGCTTTCACACAATTAAACCGATTCTCGGGATATCTGTCCGAGCAAACGCGTCAGGCAGCGGCTTTTGTGATTGCCATTACATAGTACATGATTTCTTGACTACTTTATCACGAAATGTGAGCTTCAAAGTAACAGCTGGATGTTTTCCTCTCAAAGCTAAAGTAGCCGCTAGCTCAGCCAATTTACATAGATCTTATTTAAGAACAATGGGTTATCCTCTCGGAACTCTTTGACGATACATATTTACAACAAGGTTAACCTTTACTTCTGAAACTAAAATAAAAATCCTGATTCATTCTACTGTTAATAAACCGTGGTTATTAGCCGAAAACCTAAACAGCTCAAAGCTACATTTGTGTTGTTACCCAAACGACACCGCGGCCTCGGAGCTACGGAATCCCGGACAGACCAAACATTGCACAGGTTAGGCGATTGTGAAAATACGCGAATGGAAAAAATAAGATTACTTTTTTTCTTTTCTTTCTTTTTTTTTTTTTTTTTTTTTAATATGCAATCATTACGTGGTATTAAGAGGTTTATGCTGATAGTTTAGTGTTTAAGATTGCACAGCCATATCAACAGATTAATAAATAGCAACTTGCAAAATCTGGAGGATCACTGAGTTCTTTGCTGTTGTTGTTGATGTTTTTGTTGTTGTTAATATTACCTTTTCAAATTAATGGATGACATGAACCATCAAAAGTATCCTCAAACCATTAATAAAAAAGCGGTCGGACAATGTCCATAATGCAATAGTTTGGTTTGTTCTTGAGCTTTTTTGCAACTATAATTAGGCGACTTATTTACTACACAAAATAACAGCAATTAGTCTTAAAAATACTTATTTTATTTAATGGCATTTGCAGCGTCCAGTGTGGGCCAAGGTCGTGCATGGGGGTGCCTGTGTGTATGTGTGTGTGTGTGTGTGTGTGTGTGTGTGTGTGTGTGTGTGTGTGTGTGTGTGTGTGTGTGTGTGTGTGGTGTGTGTGTGTGTGTGTGTGTGTGTGTGTGTGTGTGTGGCACGGATATGTGGGAGTATATTGGGAGGAGCTATAGACAGAGGAAAATTGTTTTCGAATTGTTTTCTAATGTCTGTTCTTCTCATAGCTTTATCAAGACTGACCACCCAAATTCAGGATTTCACATTAAGCGGACCTGCACTATGGAGTTAACAGCCGAGAGACACTCTATTCCTCTAAGTGATGGAAATAAAATCCCGCTGATTGGACTAGGGACGTACGCGAATCCCCGTCAGGTAGGCTATTGGGTCGTTGCAAGTTCTGCATTTGCAAACATCTATCGTGAATATGTTTATGTGCATTTCCCTTCAGACCCCTAAAGGAACTGCATATAACGCTGTGAAAGTGGCAATTGAAACGGGTTACAGACACATTGATGGAGCTATGGTCTATTTTAATGAGGATGAGGTGGGACAAGCCATAAGGGACAAGATTGCAGATGGGACTGTGAAGCGAGAGGACATTTTTTACTGTGGAAAGGTGCGTTTGAACTTTGACATAGTTGCATAGGGCATTCACTAAACATACGTCTTGCACTTTGAATCTTTGTTTCAGCTCTGGAATACATTTCATCCACCTCATCTTGTTCGTCCAACTTTGGAAAAAACGTTAGAATTGCTGAAGTTGGACTTTGTTGATCTTTATATTGTGGAGATGCCCACTGCTTTCAAGGTTTACTTACATACAATATGTTAATGCAACATTCTAGGCTGTAGGCCTATCTAAATAACCAGTCAAAAGTTTGGACCCACTTTATTTCAATGTTGTTGTTTTTTTACAGATTCTCACTGAAGGCATCAAAACTACAAATGACATACAAGTAATTTAGCAAACAAAGAATAATCTCAAAATGACTCAAAACTTGGTAAATTTTAGATTTCTAAAAATAGCCACCTTTTGCTCTGTCCACTGCTTTGCACATTTCTTAATCCTGTGAAGGCACACCTCTAATGTGAAAACCATTCCAGGCATTTTCATTAAGAAGCTCATTGAGAGAAGGCCAAGGATTTGCATCATTGCTGATAAAGCAAATGGTGACTACTTTGAGGATTTGAATATAAAACATAAACATTAAAGCCATTTAACTTTTCTTTGCTACATAATTCCATATTTCTTGCATCATATGTTTGATGTCTTCAGTGTGTATGTCAAATGTAGAAAGTTGCAAACATAAAGAAAAATGCATTGAAAATGGTCTGTCCAAACATTTACCTCAAAGTGCATAAGTAATGGCTTACATTTTGTTTTGTAGCCTGGAGATACATACTACCCCAAAGATGACAATGGAAAATATTTATATCATGAAACAGACCTACGGGCTACATGGGAGGTGAGTAAATAGTGGGTTAATGCTCCACCACTTAAAACAAGTCCATGTTCAGTCTATGATCCTCAGCAATTGTGCAATTCATTATAGTCTACAACAGAATTGCAGCCAAAGAGCAATTTGACTTGCCTCCATCTCAGTAATATTATGGGCCAAGATGGAGGCAGGGTAGACATGGGTAGGTGTTATTAACATATTAATAATATCGTGAATGAAGTGATGCATAAAGAACGATCAGGTCCACTAGGTATTCTGTTATGATTGTACTGTAGATTCTTATCTACAGGCCTGTCTTTCTTTCATACCGTGACAGTTTTGGCTGCACTCTGCCAAAATTAACAAGGAAATAGCATTATATAATCTTCCAAATGATGCTACAAAGGTTAGATATTTCTGAATGTCATTTCACATTTGTGTGATACTTAAAGGTCCTATATTATGCAAAATTGACTCTTGTGAGCTTTTAATCATGTTATAATGTTGTTAGTTCATCAAAATGTTGCCAACATTCAAGGAATTCTGGCATTCTGGAATGCATATCCAAATCTTAAAATGCTCAGCTCCACCTTGTGATGTCATGGCGTGATAGTTTTCAAGTTCCTTTTTCCTTTTTATTGAGTTGAGATTAGCAATTCCAGGTCTGACGTTATCCAAATGATTCCAGTGAAGATGTGTGGAGTTTAAAAACACAGTGGACCACTTCCTGTATTACTATATGACATCACAGGGTGGAGTGTAACTCCTGGTATGTTTTTGATGAAGAAATAACTTTATAACAGATCAGATAATAGCGTAATATGGGCCCTTTAAACCTCAATTACTACATTTAAAGACATGTTTTAGCACATTTTGTTTGATTGACATACTATTGAATGAATATTGTTACTAGGAAAAATCTATTTTTGTTTTATGTCAGTATTGTCCACCCCTAGAACAAATATGTTGTGATCTGAAACAATCGCTGTTGATAAAATAGTAGGCTATTTTCAAATTAAACTTTAGCCACTTAAGTTTTGACCAGGTTTTTGTTGTAGTGAGAAATAAAAACACCTGTAATTGAATCCATACAAGATTGTTTAATGCTATACTGTGGAACATCCCAGGCAAAGCAAGTAGATGGCTGACCCTCAACCAGAAATGTTAAACAGTATATCTTTAACTAGGCTTGTCAAAAAAAAAAAAAAAAAAACCCAGATAATAATCAACACTAAAACTATTATCAAACCTAATACTAATATTTTAATGATCACTGATACTCAAAAAATACAGATGGGACGTAATTGGATGATGCTTAATTAATTTAAAATTGTCTTTGTCAATAGTCAAACTGATGTAAAATTTTATGGTAGAAAGAAAAACAGATAACTATAACTGAGTGCTGAAATTACATTCTATTATTTAAAAAAAAAAGGGTGAGTATAGGTTATCAAGCCTTTCTTTTATTACTGAAATTGCTTTGGAAATTTTAGTATTAGTATTAGACTGATCATGTTACCAGGATTTGCAAACAAAGGTTTTTCTTTGTTGTGGACTTATATTTCAGCTTGTAAAATGTCCAGTAATCCAGTGTGTGCAGGTCTTTCCCCTTACATATATTAGAATTGTATTTATTAATAGTGAACTGATGTAAAATAATACGGTGAAATTAAAAACTGATAGTGTTATTTATTTATTGTTGAGATTGCATTCTATTGTTAAAAAAAAAGGGTTAGTATAGAATATCAAGCTTTTCTTTTATTACTGAAATTGGGTTGGAAATGTTTGCATTGTGATGACAGAGATTGTGTTACCTGGATTTGCAAACAAAGGTATTTCTTTGTAGTGGGCTTATATTTCTGCTTGTAAAATGTCCCTTTGAATATACAGGCCATGGAGGCATGCAAGGACGCTGGACTGGTGAAATCTCTCGGTGTGTCAAACTTTAACAAGCGGCAGTTGGAGTTAATCCTTACCAAACCTGGTCTTAAGCACAGGCCAGTGTTAAATCAGGTAAGCAAAAATGTAATTAACCTATTGTGAAAGGTACACTTTGTAATTTTTTAGCTCAAAAACCCAGAGAAAAACAGGCATTCTGACTGTGAATGGGGTTGCATCTTAAGGATTTGACCTGTAACTTGGTTTGGTTTGGTCTCCATGAAGATAGAAAGGTTTAATGCCATACAGTATTGTGAAACTTTCCAGACAAAGCTATGGAGAAAAGCATTTGATGAATCCTCCACCAGAAAAATTACGCAATGCACATTTAAATACTGCACTGTTGCACTGAGTAACATAGGGTCACAAGAAAAAACTCCAATTTATTTTAAATTTATTTTCTGATCTAAATTATAATGTTATTTCCACATCAAAACATACCAGAGCTGTGTTTTGTTTCATTTACATGTTGAACATACAAACCCTACATATTTAGGCTGTTTATTTGTTTATTCATTAGGATCCCCATTAGCTGTACCCAAGGGCCAGCTAATCCTCCTGTGGTCCATTATTTAAAAACACTTTACAGTTTAAAATTCATGAGCACATGTCTTAAAAATGGAATAGTATAGTATGAATTAATTTACCTTATATCCTTACATAATTGCATGATTACATAAAAATTATTTAATAAATTTTATCTAAATTTCAAGTAAAATTAACAAGCATTGTATTCCTATTAGTATAATTATAAACACGACATGCAAGAGTTATATTGGGATATTGGGATGAGAGCATTCATTTGGTATATAGCTCTATCTGATTTTGTTGAAGAAAGTTAGACTGGGCTCTTGGAATGCATTAACCCGTCGTGTGTCTATGTGATTCTGAATTCTGTTTTAAATGATCATACATGAATTTAGGGTAGCCCTTTAGTCTACTCTTCTCCAGAGACTTTAGTTCCTCCTTCAGCAGTTTATTCAGTCTGCCGGAAGAGAAGACAGCTGTGTACACTGATGTGCCATCTGAGCAAATGACTAGTTTTTTCAGGGCCAGAGGTCATTTGTAAAAATGTAATACATTAATGGGCCGAGGTAGCTTTCCTGCAGAATACCACACTCCAGCTCCAAAGCATCTGAGAAGCTTCCATTAAAGAAAACTTTTCCATTGCAGTCTCCGTATCCTCAAGTAACGCACTGTCCCAGTTTAATTTCTGAATGTTGTTGATAAATGCTTCATTTGTGTAATTCTAGGGCGTGTTTTGGGTGCGGTCACATTTTTGACAATTTGCACAATGTTGTGGTCACTGCATCCAGTGGGTAAATGCAGCTTTGTGTAGAGATTGGATTCAGATACATAGACTGCTTCATTAGACTGGCTCCAGTCTAATGAAACTCGTGATGCCAGCAGTTACAGGGGCAAATTTGGAGTCAGGCTCTATATTATGAATATGAATGGATCATGTAGCGCAGATTGACATGAACATTTTAAGACCAAAATGTATAGATGCAGCTTTGGTGGAGAGATTGGGTTCAGATACATAGATATGATCAATGCAGGTTGAAGCGCCACCACGACCCATGTAATGTTTGCCCAGTCTGGTAGGTTCTGTCACCATTTGTTTCAAATGACATATGTTGGTAATTGTAGTCAGCATTTATTTAACAGGGCACTTTTTGTTTAGCCATATTTGAATCTCTTGCAAACACAATTTTCAGTTTTGTTTCACATATATTATCAAGCATTATATCAATATTTTCTAACTTGCAATAATTTGAATTTGTGGGTCTGTAACAGCCCTTACACAAAACCTTTTGTGTGAGTGATGTTAACTTGAAACTTCTGTTTCATTAGACATCCAGTCTTTTGTTTTGGACATAAAAAGCTACACCTCTCCCGTATTTTGATCTCTACTTTCTGTGTAAGCCATAGCCCTGGATATTTAGAATTCCATTTTCTGTTTCATCACCTAGATGGGTTTCAGATAATGCACAAATACCGATTTAATTTCAGTACAGGTCTTCAATTCAATTCACCTTATTCCTTAAACAGCATATATTGAGGTGTACAAACTTAATACAGCAGAGATAGACATTAGCTATATCAGAAAAAATAATAATATAAAAATAATTTGAGCTTTGGATATATAGACTAATAAAGGATTACTCAAACCTGTGTGAATGAAACAAAAAACAAAAAACAAAAACACAATTCCTGGTATGTTTCTGATAAGGTAATAACAAGCACAAAGTGTGCTTAAGCACAAAGGTAGAGAACACTCCGATATGTGCTTAAGGGAGTGTTTTGTACTTTTGATCATATCATATCAACAGAGCGAGAACTTATAATCCCAGTTTTAATAATGCATGTTTCATTTTGGGAACAGGTTGAATGCCATCCCTATTTTACTCAGCCAAAGTTACTGGAGTACTGTCGTCAAAACAGTATTGTGATAGTGGGATACAGCCCTCTGGGGACATCCAGAGACCCAGCATGGTAAGACAACATTTTAAACAAGTTATAAATGAAGATTTTGATCATCTGTGATTGGCTCAGAATAATAAATGACAGAAAAATGGTGAAGTTAGGTGGTCAGTCATACCCTAACCTAGATGTATCTGTCTAAAGTCATAATTATTACACTTCAAGCAACTATAACATATGTTTTGTAATATAATGTGACTGGTGGAGAGTGCAGGTGACATGCACACGGATTATTTGTTGCATCAGATTTTAAATTTTAAATGCCACAGAATCTTTCGTTTTAAATTTTTTCAGGTTTTAACTAATTTCATTTTGAACTTCAGTTGTTGAATTTTTAGGTTTACATTTTGAGTGAGTTTAAAAATTTTATATTTCACCTTTTAAATATTCAACACAAATATTTTCAAGCCCTCAAATACAGTTGTCTGAATTCATAATCATTCCTTGACCTTTTGAATCTTTGCTAGGAATTTTTTCACTGCAAAGTTTAAACTCTGAATTGTTTGAATTTGAATTTATTTGTTTGGAGGATAAGCCCTTTGAGATGTGTCACCATCTCGTTTTCAACGGGGTCCTCTTGTTAAACCAGTGTGACATTGTAAATAAGATTTGGCCTGGTAAATAACAATGGTTTCTCACAGGGTAAATCTCAAATGCCCCCCAATGTTGGAGGATGAAGTGCTTGTATCTATTGCTAAAAAGCACAATAAGACCACAGCTCAGGTGGCCTTGAGGTTCAATGTCCAAAGAGGAGTAGTGGTCATCCCCAAAAGTTTCAACACTGCTCGAATAAAAGAAAACTTTGAGGTTTGTGGGTCACATTTGACTTATCAATATGTTGCTAAATTAACATTTTGTCATCACTCTGACAGATATTTGATTTCTGTCTTTCTGAGGATGAGATGAAGACGATAGAGGGCCTGAACAAGAACATACGTTTTGTTGAGCTGCTCATGTAAGTACAAACCTTTTGTTTTTCCACAATCTCTTTCAACCTCAGAGTTCATGTTTTTATTACTTGAAATTGATCAACACAGGTGGGCTGACCATCCAGAGTATCCATTTCATGATGACTACTGAGCTCTAGTCCATGATGTCCTCTTTGCACCAATTTGATTCCTGCCAGAAATGTAAAGGGATTTTATTTACAACTGTCATTATTGAAAAAATACAATATATAATATACTTTTTCATGTATATATATTGCAATTGTATTGTTACAATTGTGAGACAAAATTATGCATTTTTTAATATTATTCACTGTGAAATACTTTATGAACATGTCTGATTCCCATTGGTCAGTTAAAAAAGGATTTTAATGTAGGTTGAATTTTTTTTGTTATTTCAATCAATAGTTATTTTTAGTTGTTATTTTGTGATCTAAATAATCATCCCAAACCAATGGGAACTCTGGAACTCTATATTGTCATATTTCTAATAAAAAGAAAATACAAAATCTAAATAACATTTTGTTTTAATACAAAACAAATGTAGTGGTGTTAGCCAAATATAAGTAGGCCTTATCAATGGTAGGAACATAGATGAGGGCAGTACAGCTGCATTTGCTCTGGCAGTCTACAAAGAGGTAACAAATGTAGAGGTGGAGGAGTTTAATTATCTCGGGGTCTTGTCCTCAAGTGGAGTGGATGGAGCGTATGCAGAGATGCTGTCGCTTTATTGGACGGTGGTGGTTAAGAAGGACCTGAGTCGAAAGGCAAAGCGCTTGATTTGCTGGTCATTTTACATTCTTTCTCTTACAAGCTTTGGGTAAAGACCGAAAGGACAAGAACTTAGTCACACTCAGAGCTCAGAGTAGAGCCAATGCTCCAGGTTGAGAAGAGCTAGGCCTTTTGTTCTGGACATATTACTCCCACACAGTCAGTGGTCACACCAGAGGAGACCCCAGGAAAGATCATACAGTCTCCTCTGCTCGTTTATGCAAAACAGCAAAAACTGTGTAAAAACGTATTTAACTGGCTCTAAAAATTGTTGTTATCGTGTTATACATTTAAATGTTTAATTAAGTTTGTATTTTGTTCAATTCGTGACAGTATAACAACGTTTTTCAATGTTATAATTATGTTTTGTTGAATTACCGGAGGTACTCTGAAGGTGTCACAACAGCCCTTCTCTCCCATTGGTCACCTTCGGCTAACGCTAGAGCTAACCAGCTAACGCAGTAAAATGAACATGATGCGACGGCTGAACACTCAAATCTACTTTGGCCAACCTGAATCAAGAATTGCCACAGCCTTTATATAACCACGGTAAAATAAGCGACATACTGTTGAAGATCCCATGACGGCATCTACTAAAGTCAGCGCTGGTGCGAAAAGAGAAGTAGCTAAGCTAATTGTAGCCCAAACTAGCTAACCTAAAGGCTAATGTCAACGCCGCGCTTGAATGGGTGTGTTGTGTGTGTAAAGAGTTTATCATCAACAATGCACGGCTGCTTCTTGTCTCGTACATGGGTCCCGACCAACCGAACCACAAAAGTGTAATTAATTTGCCGAAACATGAGCTTTGTCAGCCAGGACAGTGTGTCTTGACCAGTCTACTCTGCAGCTAACCCGGAGGTTCATCTGTTGTGATTGCGATCCCTCATCTCGACCCTGAGTGAGCTATCTATCGCTATGGTCCAGTTAATTCCATCTAAACCAATGTTTTTGTTTTGTATGGCTAAACTTTGACAATTTGGGACTTTCTGCTGTATTTGAAGAGGACAACATCCAACAGTCCCAAACGTGGATGCAGGGGAGAGGTGGCGAGGCTCTCATTTCTGCCATTCATTTCAACAGCGTCCATCTAAAAACTACTCGTGTTTTGATTTTGAGTCGCTGCTGTAAATCACTGACTGCCCCTGTGAAGATTTGGTGGATGGATTTGCGGTCAGTACTTCACAAGGATCATTCTGGACGGGGAAAATCTTGCCCTGTAACGAGACTAAAAACATATGGACAAAACGTACCGGAAATGATAATGGATTTTTAAACCTGACCAGCTGTCTCTACACAAAACCACCCGTGCATCATGTCTGCTTTCTCTGAGTTTGTGCCTCCTCCTGAGTGCCCTGTCTTTGAACCCAGCTGGGAGGAATTTTCAGATCCGCTGGGTTTTATCAATAAGATCAGACCTATTGCTGAGAAAACTGGAATCTGCAAAATACGCCCCCCAGAGGTAAGACTAATGAAACAGCCCTTCATCTGTGTACAGCTAAACAGAGATGTGTGTGCATACAGTATATTGCTGAATGCTTAGTAAACAGTAGTAAATACATATTATATGCCCACAATATTTCCTTCCTCTTACATGTAGGGTGACCATGTCAAATTGTTGAAAAAGAGGGACATATAGAATTTGGTCATGGAGTGACAGTCTCTGGAATTTTAAGCTCATGGATAATAACCGTAATAACATCCTATGAGTTTGTTATGAATTTTCATCAAAGAACATGGGAATAGATATAGATGCCAATATATTACACTGTAGATCCCAAATGTGTTGATTTCTTAGCTAAATCTCACTTTCAATTCACTTATAATTCTACATTCTCTAAATAAGTGGCCTTAGGGGCAGGACCTTGTGCATTCATGTAGGCAAGGTAATTTTATATGTATAGAACAATTTATAGAGTGCTTTGTAAAGTGCTTTACAGGATAAGAAAGACATTAACATTAACATCACAATACAAACTAATTAAAATATAAATAATCATCATAAAATTAACATTAAAAGAGAAGAGTACAGAATAAAAAAAACTTTTGGTCATATGCACAGCCAAACGGAGCCATTTTGAGCCTGGATGTATCCTAGTTTGGTCTTAGTCTGAGCCCAGTTTAGACCTGATGTGAATGTAGTTTAGTCCATTTTTTAGTCCTGGTCCATTAGAGTTGCCAAAAGTATCAAAAATCATATACTAATCAATACTAAAATTAGTATCAAAATTAGATACTCATTTGAGCAGGTATCGATACTAAAAAATCATATTCACAGGATAGAAATGAACCTTTCCTGAATAGCTTTGGAATGATCTTGAGCTGTATGAGAACAAGTATAAGAACGCATAGACTAGTATACGCATATGGACCACTGTGGGAACTACCTGAGTAATGGAGGGATTACACAGATAAAGATAAAACCACATGGTAAAAAGTTGAAAATCACATTCTCAATCAATTTTGATGCGCTTGATGCCCAATATCAAGCTTGAAATTTTAGTATGGTGTAGTCAAGGTTTAGTTCCAGATTTAGTCCCAGATTTAGTGGTGTGAAATGAAGTGTGCAGAGCAACCAAGAACAGGACAGGTGGTCACCCTACTCACGTGATGATGATAATAATACAACCTGTTTTGCAAATTTTCCTATATAATCACTTACTCATGATCATTACTCAAGCAAACATGATGAAGTGATTATTCAAGCGTGTGATTGTTTTGTTTTCTTTCAACCAGGACTGGCAGCCTCCTTTCGCTTGTGATGTGCGCAACTTTCGATTCACTCCAAGAGTTCAGCGACTCAATGAACTTGAAGTGAGTTGCATGTCTGCATAACTGTTGATAATTGTGTAATATTCAATTTGTCTATGTAAAATATGAGACAAAAATGTGATTCTTCTTAGACCAGATTCCTGCCCAATGATATATGATGAATTTGTCATAGGGATTTAGTACATTGAATTAATTACTTAGGGCTGCTCAATACATTTAAAAAATATCGGCAGTGCAAGAAATTAAATGCAACTGCAACGACACCGCTCTCAATTCAAAATCCACTTTATTTATATAGCACCAAAGTTTCCAAAGTGCTGCTGATTTAAAGATAACATTAAAGGTCCTATATTACACAAAATTGGCTCTTGTGAGATTTAAGCCATGTTATAATGTTGTTACCTCACCAAAAACATATCTGCAGTTTTGTTTTATTTCATTCACACATATAATCCTGCATTACTAGTCTGTCTGTGTCAGCTCTGTTCCATTTTGTCATGTTTTTCCTCAACTACCCTTTATCTTTAGTTCAGTGGACATAGGGAATTCTGAGGCTGAAATTGTCCAAATGATTCTAGATAAGGTGTATGCAGTTGAAAAAACAGCGGAGCACCTGTAGTACCACAAAAGAATCCTAAATATGCAGTGTCTGTGTGTTAGACATGTGTGAATGAAACAAAACACAACACCAGGTATGTCTGTGATGAGGAAACAACATTATAACATAGATCAGATAACAGAGTGATATGGGTCCTTTAAGAACAATAAGAGGTATTAAAAACAACCAGCTCAACTCAACTTAACCTTGTCTGCCCTAAAACACTAAAACCAGGAAAGTCAAACAAAAGCAAACCCATAAAATTGTACAGAAATGAATGTTAAGTGGACAAAAAGATAGATTTTATTCATGATTTTCTTTTTTAAGTCGTACATTAGACTTGGGTTGGTCTTGATTTAGTTTCTGTTAAGTGTTTATTTTAATAAAATTGAACTGTAGCCCTAGTTTGCCTGACAGTATTACCTTTTATTTGGTTTCCACTAATGTAATTTTAACATTATATAACATTTATTTTATAGGCTCTCACTCGTGTTAAGCTCAACTTTTTGGATCAAATCGCTAAATTCTGGGAGTTGCAAGGATCCAAACTTCGATTTCCTCATGTGGAGAGAAAAATCCTGGACTTGTATCAACTCAGCAAGGTACATAAAGAACTGTCTACATCTGTTCACTGCGACAAAGGAAAGAATTACAGACCTCACATTCATGTTATTGCTCTTACAGATCGTATCCTCTGAAGGTGGCTTTGAGACTGTTTGTAAAGAGAAGCTGTGGTCCAAAGTGGCCACTCGGATGGGTTTTCCACCAGGGAAAGGCACTGGGACATTACTGCGCTCCCATTATGAGAGAATCCTTTATCCCTATGAGCTCTTTGAGTCTGGGGCCACTTTAACAGTAAGTCGTATAAATACAATTATACACAACTTATAGAAAACAGAATGTGCACAAGTCAGTCACAGAACACAATTTTATTTTCAAAGATAACAAATTAATACATGTGATTATGGGGCATTCGGTTTTATTGTATAGAGTCTTTATACTGCTTTTAATGGCTTCTGTTGCAAGTTGGTAGCTTTCTGAATCTTTTAAGCAACACTTTTACACACAGAAAATGTTTGTATCTGTACTGTTACCTCAAAATAATTATTAATTACTCAAGAAATGACTCAAGACTCAAATGAGTGTAAGGAGCAACTATGTAAGGTGTGATTTTTAGGAGCAACTATTTTAACTTAAGTTCTGGTTTATGATGATGATGAATGTCATATAATTGGAATGACAATACCCCAAAATGCACAAAAACATTTTCTTCTCCACAGAGGGTTGGAGGAGGGCTCCAAGAAACTTAAATCCTCGAATCATTACATATTGTCAAAATATAGCTCTCACTTATAGACTCACAGAGGCAAGAATAACTAAAGATGTACTCAAGTAACACTGTAAAATATGTCACTCAAGTAGGAGTAAAAGTATAAAATCTGAATTCTACTCTGAGAAGAACAGTGCACTACCAGTCAAAAGTTTGGATACACCCTCTCATTTATTTATTTTTTTATTTATTTTTACTACTTTCTACAGTTTAGATACATACATAAGACATCAAATATATGAAGACAGAAAAATGTAAATGACTCTACTAAATAAAAGCAAAGGGATTTGATTTGATATATTTGAGGTCTTCTGTATGTCTATAAAATGTAGACAGTAGTAAAAATAAAGAAAAAACGGTGTGTTAGTGTAACTGAATACTACCCAGCTTTTACTAACTAACTCAAGTCTTATTCTGGGTACTACACTATGTCTAAATGTTGATTAAATGTTTGATTTTCTATCAGGGCATCCAGCGCTTGTACGAGGAGGGAGATGAGGCTGAGGATGTGGATGAAGGGGTCGGAGAGGAGACTGTGGAGGAAGAAGAGCCGTATGAAGACGAAGACAAAGAGAAGGACAAAGATGGCGGCGATGCAGCTCAAACCAAAGACAGGCCCCCAGCAGAGAGACGCTCCAGGCGCCTGAAGTCTGAGGTCAATGCATGCAACCTTTTGATGCATAAAATTACTGCTTATATTTAGGGTTTCCGCATTTACTATATTGAATCATAATTGAATGCACAAGAGTTGGTCAGTGTTATTTTGGTTCAATTATTTAAAGGTCCTACATATAACACAAAATTGACTCTTGAACATTAAGCCATGTTATAATGTTGTTAACTCCTCCTCAGAAACATACCTGGAGTTGTGTTTTGTTTCATTCACACATGTTTGAGTAATCCATTATTATTCATCTTTCAACACATCAAAAGCTCAAACAATGCTTACCTTTTGCATTCTGACTGTGAACAGGGTCGCCTCTCCACAGATCTGACCTGGAACTTGGTCTGGTTTGGTCTCCATGAAGATAGAAAGGCTTAATCATACTGTGAAACATTCCAGACAAAGAAATAACATCTTGGGGAAAAGCATTTGACCGACCCTCCTCCAGAAAAGTTTCACAAGACACATATTTGATTACTGTATCAACCTATTGTTCAGTATATGATAGATGAAACAGTAATTTGTGGGTTTGAGTATTTCTAGTGTGTGTATCTTTTCTTTGCACTGGTGGGAAATTTTGGGATGTTTTTCACAATTTGATAAGATTTCAACTGTAGAACTTCTGTGACTTACTGTAGATACAAACTAACTACTAAAATGTTTCATTCTGGTATTTTAATTATTGCAGCTGATGTTTAGTTTAACCATATTGTACATTTAGAATACTTTTTGGGGGCATAATTCTGCTTTATCATTTGGTTTCAGTATTATCATCTATATTTACTTATACTTATATTTACTTCATCAATATATCACACTTCAGAGTTTGTTTTCATGACAGACCTAGTTTTACATGACCTGATTATTTTTATATTGACTTTTGGCTGTTGGTTTTACAGAGAGAAAACAAAGATCCCAAAGGCATCAAGCTTTTTGGTTCAAGTCCCAAGATGGTCGGCTTGGAAATTGTTTCCACTGGTAAGATTCATTAATACAATATTAACCTGTTTCTCTTTCATGTTTTGCATTATTTATATCAGGAATCGTCAACCTTTTTCCTCTTGATGAGCTCCTTTACAAATTGTAAATGCAAGAGAGCTACTCATTTTAACAGTCACAAGAAATTGAGAAAGTATAAGAGCAATAGCAAGCCTTAGACAGGGCACAGTTAGATGCTTATGAAACATTATTTGTTTATTAGTGCACCAGTGTGGTAAATAATTAGATTTTAGTTATTAAGCTCAAAAGTTATAATTCAGAAATCCCTTGGCGAGCTACTTGGAAGAAGGTGGAGAGCAACTTGTTGGAGATCCCTGATTTATACCTTATAATATTTCCATGTTTTTTTAGATGACGGTTACAGCAAAAAACAGCGCTACCTAAAAGCCCAGGCCTTTGCCATCAAAATGAGGCCGCGTAAAGAAACCCTGGAGGTCAACTTTGTAAGTACAAGTTAAATCATACTTTAAAAGGCGCTATGTAACTTTTCTGGTGAAGGGTCCTGCCTGTCTCCATGCAGATGTAATTTCTTTGGAATATTCTGCAGTTTGACATTAAACTTGTCCTGTAACATCTACATTGAAACAAGTAATGACACCACAAGGACACTAAAAATAATTGGCAATCTCTACTAAACAAAAAATAAAAGGTAGCTCTTAACTTGAAAGCTACCACTATATGACATCACAAGGTGGAACAAAGCATTTTGAGCTTTAGAGATATAGACAGACTGTTAATGCCGGATTACTCAAACATGTGAATGAAACAAAACACAGCTCCAGGTCTGTTTTTGATGAGGTAACACCATTATAACATGGCTAAAATCACACAGGAGTCAATATAAGACCTTTAGTATACAATACTTTAAAACAATCCAGGCATTGCAATAACATCTCCATGGAGATGAGCTGAAATGTTACACAGTGCACTTTTTAAGACGATCCGCCTGCTATGTGACTATTAAGATTTGCTCATATTTTCCTCAGATTGACTTGTACCTCTGCCTGGTGTGTGGGCGAGGAGATGAAGAGGACCGCCTCCTGTTGTGTGACGGCTGTGATGACAGTTACCACACGTTCTGCCTCATCCCACCACTACAGGACGTGCCAAAGGGAGACTGGAGGTGCCCAAAATGTGTGGCTGAGGTACAAACTAAAAGATATTGTTGATATTATGGTGGTGGATATTATATTTGAATAATTGTACTTAGAGTATAAATGTCACTTATTACCTGTACTATCTTATCTTTAAGGTAATCCTTTTTGATCAATATAGTTACTTCTCTATGTTTTATATGTCTCACAATAGGGAAATTCAAGTGTTGTAACCCAACAGAATTAAAAAATATGCAATCAAAACTAAAGATAACTATTAAAATAGATTTAAATCTGACCATTTAAGTAGAATATTAAAATATAGTTTAAAAAGAGCTAAGATACAAGAAGGCATTAATCTAACAATACAATACTGTGCAATACAATGTAGAGATAGACCGATATATCAGGCCGATATTTGGACTTTTTAGAGTGTCAGCTATCAGCCTTAGCTCTCCAGCACAGGCCAGTATTTAGTTTTGGTCAATCTGCTTCCTAAGAAATACAGACAAAGCATTATATTAACAGTTTAATATGAAGAGATAGCTGCCGTTAATGTGATTATTCTGCTCTCTTTGTGCTGAAAGGGCTGTGGGTGAGTTTGTAGGAAATTTAAATTACCTAATTTGGGAAAAATATAAAAATCAACCTTCTATAACTGCCCAAGTTCATCGTCATTGGTTGCTTTGTAGTCTAAACATTCATGGCTAATCTGTATCAGCCATGAAAAAAAACAAAAGAAAACTGTGCTTGTGAGAACTATATAAGAACTGCCTTGACATGTGACTCGGTGTTCTTTCTTCTCTCATCTGAATCATGTGTGAATGCTCTTTCTTGTCCCACAGGAGTGCAGTAAACCCAGGGAGGCCTTTGGGTTTGAGCAGGCTGTGAGGGAGTACACTCTGCAGAGCTTTGGGGAGATGGCTGATCAGTTTAAATCAGACTATTTCAACATGCCAGTTCACGTAAGTCATATTTCGTGCAGAGCTGGTGTGGTTCTGTATCTCATGTTTACCCTGTCTTTGAGAATATTGTGTTTGCAATCAGTGCAACAGTGTACACTATCAGTCAAAAGTTTGGACATGCCCTCTCATTCAGTGTTTTTTTATTTTTCCTGTTAAGTATAAGGAGACACACTGCAGCACTTCCAAAACTACTGTTGCACTTTAATTGCCTTTTTAATCTCTGTTTCTATGCTAATGACTATTTTAGCAAAATTTGTGTATTTCTAATATTGTATGTCGTGTCTATATGGTCTTCATTGTATGTTCTGCAGATGTCATCACTTTTTCCTTCTGAGACAATAAAGTATATTTGATTTTATATTTTATATACACACAGAAGACGTCAAATATATGAAGTAAAAGTTCAATACCTGTAGTTAACTTTTTTAAATTTGCAACATAATTTCATATATCTTACTTCATACATTTGAGGTCTTCTGTATGTTTACAAAATGTAGAAAGTAGTAAAAAAAAATAAAAAATACACTGAATGAGATGATGTGTCCAAACCTTTGACTGGTAATTTATAATGAGTATGTATTTCCAGATGGTGCCCACAGAGCTGGTGGAGAAAGAGTTTTGGCGCCTTGTGAGCAGCATCGAGGAGGACGTGATTGTGGAGTACGGAGCGGACATCAGCTCCAAGGATGTGGGCAGTGGGTTTCCAATCAGAGACGGCAAGAGAAGGCTGCTGGGAGATGAAGAGGTAAATACGATAAATACCATATACCACCAACTTGCTCAAAAATAACCGTCAGTTTACATTTGGACTCCATTTTGAACTCTTTTTGTAATTTTGGTTGTATGTTAATTTTTTAGCTGTAGAGATTGAATATGTATGACTCCTTTATATATAACTGTTGTTACAGTTACAAAACTCTGAAGTTTGAAGACAAATTTGGCCCGCAACATAATTATATTTGGCCCGCGAGATCATATCAAATATGTATTAGAGCTGGCCCACCGGCTACAGGCTATAGAGACATTATTTAAAATTTTGTTTTTATTTTATATTATGCTTGTTCTGGATTCAATGTTTAAGCAAAACTATTATTATACATTTATTTTAATAAGAAAAGGTTTAACATTACATATCTCAAAAGAAGAGAAAACACGCAGATGATGTTGAAATTTTTCAATAAATATTTGGCCCACGACTCAGTCCCCGTTTTTAATTTTGGCCCTCTGTGAATTTGAGTTTGACACCTCTGGTCTAAAACAGAACTAGTTCATTTAACTAGTTAATTTCAAAGTTATTCGACACTTACTTTACGCATTCAGAACATTCTAATTACTCACCGTGATGAGTTTGTAAGAGTTTTTCACAAAACTTCAGAGACCAGTGTGGATGATAAACTTTTTATTATTCTTTATATTGGAATTTTCAGCACATTAAAATAGTAGTTTCTCAAATATTACCACATGGTCTTTTGCTAGTTCTCATATACATTTATCCACAAAATCCTTGTCCTTTTTATGTGATTTTTTTTTTTTTTTCCATATTCTGTTTTGACACCTCCTCACTTACTTCACTCATGTTTCTGGGTGTCAGCTGATGTTTGACAGCTGTATCACATTTCGTGATGTGTTTTGACATGTCTGGAGGTTAGGATTAGATGGTAATTCATGTTCTTTCTTAGATGATTAAACAATGTTTTTATTTTCTCTCTCAGGATTATGCCAACTCTGGCTGGAACCTGAACAACATGCCCGTACTGGAGCAGTCAGTCTTGGCACACATCAATGTGGACATATCTGGGATGAAGGTGCCCTGGCTCTATGTGGGCATGTGCTTCTCCTCCTTCTGCTGGCACATCGAGGACCACTGGAGCTATTCTATCAACTTCCTTCACTGGTGAGAACTGGAGATATCATTTCATTTTATAGTTCAAATTTATTATGTGAAGATTTTTTTTCCTTAATATTGAACACAATGCAACATAAACAGTGAGGTGTAACATTTAAGGCATTAACTTGGAAGCACGTATTCAGAGTTGCTGATCAGCTGGAGATCTACTAGACAATATTAATGAAAGTGAATGTGGGAATCCACTATTGTTGTTGCCTGACCAGCCAGTCCCTTCTGCATTCAGTTAAAACCCAGAAGAGTTTCTGGATCCAAACCATAAAGGACCTCAAACCTCCGGCCCAACCTGAAACGGTTTAACCACAGCCTCTAATTTGCATCACTTGCCTCTCAAATAACGAAGACGTCTCTTTTTGAAACTTCTCATATCATTCTGAACAAAATATATAACTTCTTTTACTTGTAGTATAAAATAATAATAGATTAGTGCTTCTTTTGTTGGTTCTGCAGAAATCCATGTGGTTTCTCAGCTAGAGTTATTTTTTTTCTTGTAAGCCGCCTTGTTTGTTTTGATTCTTAACGGTTCATACTTTTCTCTGATTGGCCTGTCAATCACAGCCTCTGGAATCGGGGAGACAGGATATGGTTCCAGATCCACAAATTTTTTGTGAAAATATGTGATTTTGACTGGCTTGGTAACTGTTAAGTTCTGGTTCAGTAATCATGAATTACATTGCAATGATTCCTCCCACATTAAACAATTAATTTTCTTGGTATTTTTGAGCTATAACACCACCTGTAATTGAATAAATCTAAAATACAGCTGTTTAATGTCATACTGTGGAACATTCCATGAAAAACCATGACATAGCCGTAGAAACAAGCAGGTTACATACATTACATTAAACTTTACCCTTATCTGTTTTCCAGGGGTGAGCCAAAGACCTGGTATGGAGTCCCTGCGTCGGCTGCAGAGGAGCTGGAGGCAGTGATGAAGAAACTTGCCCCGGAGCTGTTTGACTCTCAGCCTGACCTCCTGCATCAGCTCGTAACCATCATGAACCCCAACGTCCTCATGGAGCATGGGGTCCCTGTATGTACACCTACACAAAACAGTATGGATAGCATACAGTAACATCATGCTGGGGGTGTTGTACATGCATGTGTATGTCAAAGTGTTGAAGACACAATACACTCATTAAAAAACACTGTCAAAATGTTTTAAGATTGTCTGAAAACTGAAGAAAAAAAATACTAAATGGGTTTAAACAACACATTTTCAGGAACCTGTGAATAATACATATGTTTATGGCTCTGTTTAGGTGTTTCACTTTCAGCCAAAAAGTTGATGGTGACTGACTAAAACTGTTGACTATTGTAATTATTTTATGCTGAGACTGACTTGTTTAACAGAACAAATCAGCTCACCTGTTGAAGTTCCAACTAAGTCAGATTGCACAAATTAAAGATCACTGTCTAATTTGAGTAAGTTTCAGACAGAGCAGTGCCTACTGTTAACACCACACCCCCCAGAGAATGTTAATGGCATCAGCTGGAAAGTATAAGGATACTCAAAACATGCAAACAGCAGAATATCTATTAAAAATTTTAAGCAAATAGAACAAGAATAACAGCCTAAAATCACAGATAATTACATCAAGATAAAAAAAAAATAGATAAACAAATAAAATAAAAAGTGATTAGATGATAGATAAAAAAGTAAAGTCTTAAAAGTGTTTCTAGGATACCTGCATCTGATTACTACATGTTAATTTCATAATTCAGTGTCAGTTGTATCTGTCTCTTATCAAATAAATAAAAGTACAAATTAAAAACTTCAACAGTAGTAGACATACATGAATTGCAAATTTAATCTAGAGACCACATTGCAGTTGTTTAACCTTAATGTATGTTTATATTTATTCCAGGTTTATAGGACGAATCAGTGCGCAGGGGAGTTTGTGGTGACTTTTCCCAGGGCGTACCACAGTGGGTTCAACCAGGGCTACAACTTTGCTGAGGCAGTTAACTTTTGCACTGCAGACTGGGTAAGAAAAGTTTTTAAATGCTCCACAACAGTACCAGTAATTATTTCTATTGACCATGTTGTTTTCCCTTGTCCTTAGTTGCCTTTGGGTCGTCAGTGTGTGGCTCATTACAGAAGACTCCATCGCTACTGTGTTTTTTCACACGAGGAGCTGCTGTGTAAAATGGCCGCTGACCCCGAGAGCCTGGATGTTGAATTGGCAGCTGCAGTTTTTAAAGAGTTGGGAGAAATGATGAAAGAGGAGACTCAGCTTCGTCAGGCCGTACAGGAAATGGTTTGTGTTGTTTTGTTTTCTATAGTGTACAGTAACTTAAAGGAGAAACACTATGCTGTTTTCTGATCTACGTTTTAATGTTTTTTCCTCATTATAAACAGACTTGGAGTTGTGTTTTGTGTCATTCACAAATGTTGCATATTTACACACACAAATCCTGCATATTTAGGTTCTTCTCTCAAACTGAAAACAGTCTGTTCCACTTTGGGATGTCATGTGGTAATACAGTATTTGCTCCGCTGTGTTTTTAAACTCCAGACACCTTCATTAGAATCAAACTTGTGAATGAAACAAAAGACAATCTTGGGTATGTTTTTTTATGAGGTAACAGCATTCTAGCATGTAACATTTAAGAGCATTTAACCATATTGTAATTGTTCTCCCTTGTCAATACCAGCTTACTGTAAGTTGTATTTTGAGTAATTCACTGAGTGTTTATTCAAGGCACTGGTGTGCAGAAAAAGTCATTTCTAAGAAGATAATTAAGTTTGTCCAGTTTGAAAAAAGTCAATAGATATACGTTTTTAATTTTGAAACCGCTTTAGATCAATATTGAGGTTTTCAATGAACAGGAAGTAAATTTTAAAAAAATGGCCTACTATGTGTGATATTTTATTGCTAAATACCAGAGAAAGATAACAGTTCTCCTTTAAAAGTAGAATGAAGATTGGCTGTTATTTCACCAGTTTTCTGTCTCTGTACAGGGCGTTTTGTCCTCAGAGCAGGAGGTGTTCGAGCTGCTTCCTGATGATGAGCGTCAGTGCCATAAATGTAAGACCACCTGCTTCCTGTCAGCCCTGACCTGCTCCTGTAGCCCTGATCGACTGGTCTGCCTCCACCACGCCAACGAGCTCTGTGACTGTGCTATGGGCAGCAAATGTCTCAGGTGAATTCTGCCTCTGTTAGAATGTTTAATAAATCCATACTGTTGATAGTTTTAATAGATGTTTTTAAACTGTTGCTTCAAACAAGGGTGATTTTGCTTTTAACAGTATTTGTAGTAGCAGTAGTAGTTGTAGTTTTGATAATCCATACAGGACTCTATTTCATGAACATACAGTATGCGGTTTTGTTAGCTCTTAGGTCTAGTGTGTTGCTTTGGTCTTTTAGTTTCATAACTTTTTGTGTTTTGTCCATGATTTATTTCAGATATCGCTATGACCTGGAGGAGTTTCCTAATATGCTCTATGGGGTCAAAATGCGAGCCCAGTCCTACGATACCTGGGCAAAGAGAGTCACAGAGGCGTTAGGAGCCGATCAGAAGAACAAGAAAGGTAATCTGCTTTTATGGTCACTGTTGTAAAGCAGACATATTATGCAAAATCGACTTTTCTTAACCATATTAGAGGTGTTTACTCTCTATATCTCTGATTTGAAGTGATTTGTTCATGGTTGAGCAATCTTCACTTATTTTCATGTGTGCCATGTATATAACTACATAGCAGACTCAAGCACAATATTTTGTTAAGTTTTGTAATATTTCTTATATTAAAAGAAAACATTTTTTGTAGTAACAGGATTTGGCTCTCTGCTCTTGTTCTTTTCCTTTGTATTTATTTCTACCAGAGAAAATATTTACTTTTTACAGGACATTTTTCTGTATCTAGAGGTATTTCGTTAGGTATATCAAATAGACAGTATCGTAATTGTTGTTTTGGCGATATGCAAAATTTCAATATAGAGTATATTGCAGCTATTAAAAAAGAAAAAAGTGACAGACATGTCTAGTGTAATCTCCCAGACAAGGGTTTAAAGTGATCAAAAACCCACACCTCTCTGCACTTACTTAACTGTCTACAATCACATTTTTGTATTTAGTTTCACCTTAACTTATTTGTTTATTCCTGTCTTTTAGATCTGATTGAGCTGAAAGTTTTGCTGGAGGATGCAGAGGACAGGAAGTACCCAGAGAACATGCTGTTTCGTCGTTTGAGGGAAATGGTCAAAGAGGCGGAGACCTGCTCCTCTGTTGCTCAGCTGCTGCTCGGGCGAAAACAGAGGCACAGGTCAGTGGAGGGCCATCAAGTTTTTAACCAAGATGCAGAAAAATACACTGTGATGCAAAAAGATACTGTCTATACTGTTGTTTTCAGATGCTAGCACTCTGATTGTTTTAAATAGTATTTTCACAACAACCATCCAAATAGGAAAATTGATCCTATCCTTTATATTGGAGACTTGGCCTATGATCTCACTGAATTACATGAAAAATCAGCACATTAACAAAAGATATTATGGGCCTATAAAAGGTCATCTGAAACCTTGCTTAGCAATAAATTACACACTGTAATGATGTTCTGATTCCCACCATTACTTAACCAATAATGTCAACACTGTATATAGTATAATATTGTGTTGCAATAATTTCCTAATTTTTCCATTGGTTTTGTATTTGTGTTTCTTTTCAGCACTCGTTTGCGCTCGGAAAGTAGCAAAAACCGCACAAAACTGACAGTAGATGAACTTAAAGCTTTTGTCGACCAGCTTTATCGCCTGCCCTGCATCATCAGCCAGATCAGACAAGTCAAGGTAAAGCTACACAATTCCGTATTATAGCTGCACATAATAATTGACATAACATTTTTTACTTATATTTTATTAAGTGTTTTGGCAGCAAGAAAACATATCAACTTAAAATAAACATCTTTCCTTATACAATGCCAATTATACAGTATGTTCAACCACAATATTAAAGAAGATAGTTAGTGCTTCTGGACTGTCACACTATCTAAACAAAGCAAAGAATTTGACCATTATATGAATTATTACAACCTCAACAGATCGCTATGACATAATTCAAATGTTTGTTTCAGGAGTTGTTGGAGAATGTGGAGGACTTCCATGAGCGTGCACAGGTGGCGCTGTCGGACGAGATGCCTGACTCGTCAAAGCTACAGAGTCTGTTGGACCTGGGCAGTGGTCTGGATGTAGAACTGCCAGAACTGCCTCGACTCAAACAGGAGCTACAGCAGGCCCGCTGGCTCGATGAGGTGAAGACTGATGCTAAAATGACTTTCTAAAATGGCTAGTTTAGGGCTTAGACATTTAGGATACATATCTAAGTCCAATATTTCTGAAATGCACTGTTATTGGGCTTACTAGAGCTCTCAAAATTACTCAAACACTGGGAAACAGCACCTTCATATCTAAAAAGACTGATAACACTGTGCAGTCTCTCCCAAAAGTCTAGCTAACTCCCCTTTTTATCTTGTGTATATAAATACTTTGAATCCTAATAAAATCAATAATTAATCGCCAAATTAAAATATTGGTAGACTAAGACACTATCCATCGATTAAATTAATGGAGTAAAGTTTTCATTTTAAATGTGTAGAGGGGCATTAACCTTTTGAGAAAAGACTGATACAGTACATGAGCAAAGAATCCTATAATTTATGTTTGAGAGGTTTAAATTACAGAGTTAGCAGTTCTTTGTACAAAATAAGAGGATATTTTGTTGTTTGAAATGGGCATTATGTTACTTAAATTAGCTGTTTGTGATATTGTGTAGCTGTATATTCAACACTTAGTGCTGATATCTTGATATAGATAACTAGATAACAGTTGTTCCTATAAATCACAGGTGCGTGTGACCTTGGCTGAGCCCTACAGAGTGACTCTGGAGCTGATGAAGCGGTTGATAGACTCTGGTGTGGGGCTGGCTCCTCATCACGCTGTGGAGAAGGCCATGGCTGAACTCCAGGAGATCCTCACTGTGTCTGAGCGCTGGGAAGACAAGGCCAGAGCCTGTCTTCAGGCCAGGTACAAATAAGCATCCATACAGAAACTTATATATTAGTGTAGCATATATACTGTGCAATATTAATAAAAACTGTTTTGATTTAGACCTCGCCACAGCATGGAGACTTTGGAGAGCATTGTCCTTGAAGCCAGAAATATCCCTGCATACTTGCCTAATATTCTAGCCCTACAGGAGGCCTTACAGAAAGCCAGGGAGTGGACCTTCAAAGTGGATGCCATTCAGGTAGCTGATTAGTGCATTTATTGTTCAATCTCTGTGTATAATGTGTTCATAGAAGTGATTTGTTTCTCACAGAGTGGCAGCAGCTATGCCTACCTGGAGCAGCTGGAGAGCCTGCTGGCCCGTGGTCGCTCCATCCCGGTGAGATTAGACCCTCTGGTCCAGGTGGAGTCTCAGGTGTCTGCGGCCAGAGCCTGGAGAGAGAGGACCGCACGCACTTTCCTCAAGAAGAACTCCACATACACTCTACTACAGGTAGAGCCACGATTGTTTTATTTTATTTCATTTGTTATAGATGAATGATTTTGTCTTTAAATGGGCCTGTTTTCTCTTAGGTCTTGAGTCCAAGAGTAGATATTGGGGTCTATGGCAACAGTAAAAGCAAACGTAAACGTGTTAAAGAGTTGATGGAAAAGGAGCGTGCCGGCTTTGACCCTGAGGCCCTAAGTGATCTGGAGGAAAGCCTCGAGGAGGTCAGAGACCCCTCTACTGTCGTAGCAGCTTTTAAAGCCAAAGAGCAACAAGAAGTGGAGGCCATACATTCTCTCCGAGCGGCAAATTTAGCAAAAATGGCCATGGCCGACCGCATTGAGGAGGTGAAGTTCTGTTTGTGTCGAAAGACTGCCAGCGGCTTCATGCTGCAGTGTGAACTCTGCAAAGACTGGTTTCACGGGGCGTGTGTCCCTCTGCCTAAAACTGGGACACAGAAGAAGCTGGGTGTGGGCTGGCAGAGCAACGGAAAAGACTCAAAGTTCCTGTGCCCACTCTGTCAAAGGTCAAGGAGGCCAAGGCTGGAGACCATTCTGTCACTGTTAGTTTTATTACAGAAGTTACCTGTGCGGCTGCCTGAGGGGGAGGCTCTGCAGTGTCTGACAGAGAGGGCCATGAGCTGGCAGGTACAGATGTACTGTACACTATAACATAAGTGTATCTTACAGTTTAATGATGTCATTTTTAAACTATTGCTTGATTTAATGATGTAATTCTCATCTCACTGATACAGGACAGAGCACGACAGGCTCTGGCCACAGAGGAGCTGTCCTCTGCTCTGGCAAAGCTGTCTGTGCTGAGCCAGCGAATGGTCGAACAAGCAGCCAGAGAGAAAACTGAGAAGATCATCAACGCAGAGCTTCAGAAGGCAGCAGCTAACCCTGATCTTCAGGTATATACACATTAAATGCTGTGTGGTTAATGATACAAATGATGCCTGCAGCCTCAACACACACTGTTCATTCAGTCTAGAGTGAAAATGTGACAGACACCACAGGAGTAATACATTTATATCAGTTGTACTGGGCAGCTCACCTTTTTAGTTAACCGCTGTAAAATAATCTATAGATAATGGACTTTTTTTTGTTATCATTTTAAAAACAATCATGTTTATTTCAGGGTCACATTCAGACGTTCCAGCAGTCGGGCTTCAGCAGAGCCACGTCACCACGTCCGTCTGTCGACTATGACGACGAGGAAACAGACTCTGACGAGGACATCAGAGAGACGTATGGTTACGACATGAAGGTCAGAGAATCTGTTTAGTCCTCCTTTAATCCTAGTTTATACTTTTTTTCTTATTTTTCTTTCACATTTTCTCTTTGGTTTCCATCCAGCATTTATGTATTCCAAACCTATATACCTGTAGTAAAATCTTACCAATGTTTTGTGCATGTGTCTTCTTGTTTAGGACCCTGGGGAGGTGAAGCCGTATCTGTTCTGTGATGAGGAGATCCCAGTTAAATCCGAGGAAGTGGTCAGTCACATGTGGCCGACCACAACACCCTCCTTCTGTGCAGAGCATGCTTACTCCTCAGCCTCCAAGTCCTGTGTCCAGAGTAAGATATTAAATATACTCAAATATACAAGACAAATTAAGTAATCTTGGAACAAGGCAAAACACATCATCCACCTTCCCTGTGTATGAATGTCTGAGTGTGAAAATGATTTGTGGTGGTCAGAGGAGCCTTTGGTACAGATTGGCAGCTTCAATATAGTCCTGTTCATCAGTCCTCTGTTGCATTCACCATATTAACAGATCACCATAACTCACTCACATGACATTCATACAAGGCTAAGGTGGGTGAAGTGCCTTTCCAAAGGACTCAACAAAAGTATGCACAGATATCAGCGGGAATCAGCCCAACCAATAATGTAGGACTTTCAAGATTTATTATTTGGAATTCACAAAGTTGCATTGATAGACCTTAGCCACTCCTCTTTGAACCGTAAATCCTCTGTCTGACCATTTGCAGACGTGAGCACTCCTCGTAAGCAGCCCCGGAAGTCGCCCCTGGTCCCTCGCAGCCTTGAGCCCCCAGTGCTGGAGCTCTCCCCTCAGGCCAAAGCGCAGCTGGAGGAGCTCATGATGCTCGGGGACCTGCTGGAGGTGTCCCTGGACGAGACCCAGCACATCTGGAGGATCCTCCAGGCCACACACCCGCCCTCAGAGGAGAGGTTCCTGCAGGTCATGGAGGTACAGAGGGGGGGTTTATGGACAATATCTTAATGCACAGATGATGACATGCAATCAGATTAGGATAGATTAAAACTGTAAAATCATTCTGTAACATTTTAAATGAAAAAATATATATATTATTACATATCTGACTCATAAATTTGTGATGTTTGACTTTAACATAGTTGTTCTTTTTGTTGTACAGAAATACAAAAATCATCTGAAAATATAAAACACAAACAATTGCTTTCATATTCACAGTCAGGAAAATGTTTTACCCAATTTATGTATTTTAAATTAATTACAAACTTACCCATAGCCCTTTTTTTTATCACAAACCTTTAAGAAGGTATTAATGTAAAGCTGTGTGTGTGTGTGTGTGTGCTGGAGATTTAAGGTCCAGTAACTAATATGCTAAAAAGTTAAACTATTGGCCTGATAATCTCTAGTCCTGACATTTGTGGTTGGCTGACACAGCTTTTGCCAGCAGAGGGCAGGATTACTCAAACACATGCAGTAAATATTTGACAGGCATTAAGCATATTATTGGATCTTTTACAAATCAGAAATTACATAGTCAAACCTTGCTAAATGAACCACTTTTTTACACTCTTGTACTGTACTGTTGTGAATAATATGTCCGTGTCTGTTTCACAGCCCGATGACTCCCTGATGGAAAAACCTCTAAAAATCAAATTGAAGGATTCCGAGAAGAAGAAAAAGAGGAAGCTGGAGAGAGCAGAGCACCACCACATGCTGATGGCTGTTGCTGCCGGTACCTCTGGACTTGGCGAAATGAGACCCCCCAAACCTAAAGACTTCAAACGGGTCGGTCTGGAGCTGGGTCTGGGGGGCAAACCCAAGAAGAAGAAGCTAAAACTCAATCTGGACAAGAACAGAGAGATGAAGCAGCTGGCTAAACGGATAGCCAAGGAGGAGAAGGAGAGGAAGAGGAAAGAGAAGGCAGCGGCCAAAGCAGAAGCAATAAGAGAGGGATTTGAGAAGAGGAAGGAGAAGAAGATACTGGACATCCCGTCAAAGTACGACTGGTCCGGAGCAGAGGACTCCAACGATGAGAATGCCGTGTGTGCAGCCAAGAACTGCCAGAGGCCGTGTAAAGATAAGGTAATGTGCAAAAGGGGCTTTAGTGCAATGATACTCACCCAGTATACCATGTAGGCCAATGGTTAGAAAAATAATTCATAAAACTACTGACTTGAGCGAAATTGTTAATAGTTGTTATTGATGTAATTGTTGAAATGAGTAGAATTTTACAATTAGTGCATCAAGCGACACCTCTACTACTCTACAACTCTATTTTACATTGAAAAAAAAGAAAAGTCATTCATTATTTAAAGGTCCCATATTACACAAAAATTACTCTTGTGAGCGTTAATTCTTGTTATAATGCCGTTACCTCATCAAAAACATAGCCAAAGTTGTTTTCTTTCATTCATTTTGAGTAATTCTTCATGAAGCGATAGTTTTCAAGTTAACAGCTCATTTTACCTTTTTGTTTAGTAGAAATTGGCAATTCCAGGTCTGAAATTATCCAAATGACTCTAGTGAAGGTGTGTGGAGATTAAAAACACAATGGAGCACTTCCTGTATTGCCACATGACGTCACAAACTGGAAGAGAGTGTTTTATGTTTGAGAACTCAGAATAAATATGCAGGGTTTGTGTGTTAAAAATGTGAATGAAACAAAACTCAAGTATGGGTACGTTTTGATGATGAACTTTGATCAGAAAATAGCATAATGCAAGACATTATAGGTAGATAATTTTCTTAATTGGTGATAAATAAGTTGTAATGAAACTGTACCATTGTGTTGAAAAACAAAAATAATTACCAGATATTCAGATACTGCTGTTGAGGTTGCCACAAACGTTTTCTAGGAGCCCATTTAGACCAGACAAGTCCAGTCAAGTTTAGGACAACAATGACACTGAATATTTCAAAGTTAATACCGAACGTTTGTCAAATTGAACATGGAACTTTATTGAATATCAACAGCTGATAACAGCACTGGAACACCTTAAGGAGAGTTACACATAACGTATTAACAGGACTGGCCTATGCAGCTCATTTTCAGGAAAACTGAAAACAAGTGACAAAGTTAACTATTGGCTTGTCCGCTTCCCCTCGGCCTCCATCAGTCAACCAATCAGGGCAGTTCAAGCTGGTCGGACTGGGTGGAGTGGTTTTGAAGGTCCTATATTACACAAAATTAACTCTTGTGACCTTTTAGCCATGTTATAATGTCGTTACCTCATCAAAAACATACCTGGAGTTTTGTTTTGTTTCATTCATACGTAGTAGTTTTCAATTTAACAGCTACCTTTTACCTTTTTGTTCAGTAGAGATTGGCAATTCCAGGACTGAAATCATCCATCCACGATTCCAGTGAAGATGTATAGAGTTTAAAAACACAGTGGAGCTCTTCCTGTATTACTACATGGCATCACAAGGCGGAACAGAGTGTTTTCTGTTTGAAAGAAGAGCTCAGACTAAATATGCAGGGTTTGTGTGTTAAACTTGTGAATGAAACAGAACACAGCTCCAGGCATTTTTTTGAGAAGGAAACAACATTATAACAGAGAAAATAACATGATATAGGACCATTGGTTTACTCTATTGAAGTTTCATTACTTGGTGGTAGTTGTAGTCTATAATTCATATGCACTGTATCTAAGATTTTTGAAGAATGAACACACCGCTGCCACATACCACTACTTTTTTAAACAGATAAACCAAAATTACAAACCTCGCCATAAGCCATTTGGACTTTACCCTTCAATTATTCATAGGAGCAAAAAACAAAGCAATTTTGTCAAACAATTTGATCTGAAACTTCAGCAGTGTCAGATGCTGTGACGCAGTCTTTATTAAAGTCAAAACCTGTAATAATGGGATAATGGGATGAGCAGAATTAGTCTGATTCATCTGACCTCGCAGCATTAGGATTCATTTGCTCGACGGTCTACAACTTCAGGGGGTTTTGCAAACCGTCTAGTGTATTCCAAGTCCTGACCTAGTCGCTGGAGCGAAATGAAATTGAGTGGAGGCAGTAGGTGGTGCCAGCCTGGCTAAAGTAGAATCAGAACAGCTAAAGAACAGACGAGTCCCTCTACCAGCAGATTGTGCAGAAAAAATATACTTACCTATGATGTTCTCCTCTAGATCATTGTTGGTTTCACTCATGAAAAAGTGCAAGTCTAAAACAGTTTAAACACCTAGAGTTGGGCCATATAAATATTTTTATAGTGCCCTGCCCTGTCTTTTTTCCCCCCCTCATTTAGATCGTATTTGATCAATCACATTTTTTTTTTTTTAAGTAGTAAGAGATTTAAAAGTACTACAAACTCACCCACAGGCCTTTTACCATTAACTTAAGAGAGCTATCAAGTCACATTTTGTCACATCTTTTTGCACTTAAGTATTTCAGAATGTGTTTAAAATCTCAAGGGAGAAGCAGGTTACAGCAGTACGGTACATTACAGTTCAGATCTGTGGAGAGTCGCTCCTATTCACAGAGAGAATTTTTGTGAGTTTGAGCAATAGAAACATCCGTAATGAATAAATGCTAGATGGAAATGTTTAATGTCATACCATGGAACATTCCAGGGAAAGCAATAACATGATCATGATGAATCTTGCACTTGTTTTTTGTGTGTCCTTTTTTCATGTGTGATGTTTTTTTGTTTGTTTTTTTTTCCAGGTGGATTGGGTTCAGTGCGACGGCGGTTGCGATGAGTGGTTCCACCAGGTCTGTGTGGGCGTCTCGTGTGAAATGGCCGAAAACGAGGACTACATTTGTGTAGACTGTTCCCAAAAGGTCGCAGGAGCAGAGCTGGGCCTGGAGGGGGCGCTAGCGGTGGAGGAGGTGTCCGGAGAGGAGAGTCTTCTTTTACTGTCCCACGCCGTTTGTAGCAGTATACAGCCCTCCGCGTCAGCATCGTGGTCTGCCCCCAAAATGAGCTCTGTACCGTCACAACAACAGCCGGAGCCTCAGGGCAGTTAGCGCACATACATCTAATTATGTATGGACTCTATTAACTATTGGTACTTTTCATAGGACATTGTGCATTAATCCTTGGCTGGCTAAATTCTGTGGCTACGCTCGAAGTTCAGAAGTTAGATTCAAGTTTTCAGTTTTGTTGTAACACAATCGCACTTACCTGTATGGAGTAAGAAAGCTTTCAGAAATATTTGTGTGCATACGATAGATATCCGTGCATATTTGGCTGTAGTTGAGTATAAAATAAATATTCGTAAATTCTCGAATGAGTCCAGTCGTACAGAAAATGTATTGTGTGTATTTTATCCATCAGAATACGAATTGAAAAGTGTACGATAACGCTTTCTTCAGTACAAATACAAATTCACAGACGCGACTTAACTGTCAAAAATACGTCATCACTTCACAAACATTATGTATTGAGTAAGAAGAAACATCGATCGAAATGCCTGATTTTTGCATCGCATACGGACTGAACCAGGACTAAACCAGGACTGAACTAAGAGGACTAAACCAGTTTTTGTACACTACCAGTCAAAAGCTTTAGAACACCACACGGTAAAAAATAGAAAAACTATTTTTTACCGTTTACTGTTGACCAAAACATATTTTAAACTTTTGATTTGTGAAAGTAGCCGCTTTTGGCAAATGTAACAGCTGAACACACCTGTGGCTCATTCTTTTTGCAATAGAAATCAAATATTCTTCACAAAGTTCTTCCCAAGTCTGTTGCAGAAGTTCCCATAAGTGTGTGGCACTTGTAAGTTGCTTGGCTTTCACTCTTCCGTCCAGTTCATCCCAAAACCAGCTCGATGGGGTTTAAGTCTGGAGACTGTGCTGGACACTTCATGTTCTCAAGCTCAACATCTTGTTTTTTTCCTGAGGTAGTTTTGGCAGAGCTTGGACTTGTGTTTTGGGTCGTTATCTTTTTTTAACCTCTGGCTGTTCAGTACTTAGTTTTACAAGCTCTTCATTGGTCTTGCACAACTTGAATTGCAATAAATAACTGGAAAAATTAGGGTGTTCTAAAACTTTTGCCCAGTCAAGAGTTTACGAATATTTATTTTATGCTCCACTACAGCCAAATATGCACGGATTTCCCAAATATTGCACAGATTTCTATCCTATGCACATGAATATTTCTGAAAGCTTTCTTACTCCATAAACCTGGAGCAAATTTGTCCCTCTCAGATACCATTATAGGCCGCGTCTCATTTCTCTTTCCTCACATCCTTCTCCCAAAGTAGACATGAAGGAGGTTTCAGGAGCAGACATCAGATAAAATAATCAAACTTTATTGGTTTCAGTGAGGAGTGTATATCCTTTCTCCTCCCTGTGTCTCCTCTGTGGGCGAGATTTCCTCACCCATTTCCTGCAGAATCGCTGAGAGGAGAAGGAAGCGAGGAGAGAGAAACGAGACGCGGCTACACAAGCACACATTCGTCAACTTAGTCACTCTGACCTGTATGTATAAAGCCTGACTTTTCAATATGGCAAAAAAGTAGCCATATTTTTTTCCTCATTGAGCAATCTCCATTTTCAGTTATGAAAAACAAACATTAGCATGACTGTTAATTTGAGCACGGACATTAGACTTTTTAATCAACACAAAATGATCAAATTCATTCCTCAAAAGCTTGAACTCTGCCACCAAGTAGCAATGGGCTGATACCAAAATATTTCTATATCAGTACAGATTGAGGTCTTGAAAAGTATTGATTCTCATGCAAAATAATCAATACTTAAATTATCTAAAAATATACATCTATTTTTAGTCAATTTTTTATGTTGTTTTGAAATACATTATTTGTATTTTAGTTTATCTGCACATGTAATTTTCAGATTAGTTCAAACAGGGGTGATGCAAAGTCGCCAACATTTTCCCTCTGGTGAGCTACCTTTACAAAATGAAAATGGAAAGTTAATAATTTTAGCAATCGCAAGAAATTGAGTAAATATAAGAGCTTTTAGTTGAGGTTCAGTTTGATGCCTATAAAACATTTACACAACTATTATCCATTTATTAGTGCACAAAGATTAGGCATTGGCATTTACAGTGGTAATTTAAGTGGCCTTTAACTAAATTAAATTTTAGTTATTCAGCGCAATACTTATGATTCAGAAATCCCTTGACGAGGTATTTGGAATGGGGTGGAGAGCTACTGGTACCTCCCGAGCTACACGTTGGAGACCTTTGCTTTATAGTGAAGGAGTTTCGATAAATTTTTTTCAAAAGTGCTCAATATTGCAAAACTGAAATCACTGGTATTACCCTTTTCTAGGTTACAGACCTCACAAAACATGAACTTTATTCTTCAGTTTTCAAACCATATAAAATCATTTTCTTATACTGATTTGAGTCGTCATGGTAACTATGCCGTCCAATGAAATGCAAAATGTTACTGAAATCTATCAGTAGTGCACAAAACCCTTAGAAACCTTCCTATCACGTGCTCTCGAGGTACGAAACGCGCAAAAAATATTATGATGTGTTGCCAAGAAACACAAAACTCCACATTTTGCTTGGGATAGACACATAGAAGTGCACCAGCTACAACTATTACTACTGTTCTAATAAAAGACATCACCTTTACTGTTGTATGTGCGGCCATTAGAGCAAGACTGTTGAGTTTTTCTGTTTCGTCTCTTCCACTCAAAATTATTGTATTTCATATGTATGGGATTTAATACTAGGGAAAAAACTGACTGTCACGTATGGGTTTGTCCATTTATTTATATTGTACATAATTTTTAATCAATGAAGATGGATTGTGGCGTTTTGTTTTCTCACCTGTATTAAACTATTTCTTTAACTAGTCAAATTATAGTTAAAGGAGCCTACATTTTCTGTCTCATGTGAACTCATTTGAATCTGTATACTAACCGTGAACATTTCTTTATTAGAACTGTCACATTTATGTTTTGCTGTATTTTGCATTAGACTGTCTTCTATAATACTTAAAGGGCTTACATTTTGCTATTTTCTGATCTTTGTTATAATGTCGTTTCCTCATCAAAAATATTCTTTTCTTTTTTGTTTTGTTTCGTTCACATGTTTAACACTGCTCTTCCACCTTGCAGTGTCATGTGTGATTACAGGAAGTGCTAGTTAACTAGAATCATTCAATTAATTTCAGCTTTAGATTTTCCCATCTCTACTCAACTGAAGGTAAAAGGAGCTGTTAATGTTATTAGGTCCTTGTTTCAGACTGAGAGTTAGTTTTTTCATACCTGACAGTTTCAACTGCTCACTAATCTTCCTCAGAGTGGTCACGTGATGTTGCTGTAACGTGTCTGGTCAGCTGATTTAAACAGGTTTTGGCGCTGTCTTTCTACTGGTGAAGGCAGGACGACAGCGCCATCTGCAGTCCGACCTCCTCAGGACAGTGTCCCACGTGTGTGAGAGTAAAAAAGCCCCCTCGTCCCAGTTTATCGTTATGTGAGCACGTTTCCGTATTTCGATTGCTTCTTTAATCGAGCGATGATGTTTGTTTTCCTCTGTCCTAGTGATGTTTGCTCCATCCCAGTCCATAATATAGTTCTCTCTCTCACAGTGGTCAGAGATCGCTGATTTGAGTTGTTGCTGTTCTGTTTTGTCTTTTGTTGCTCGTGTGCACGCCTTCGCTGTTCCCTTCTCGCATTCTGTTCTATGTTTCTTTTTCCGTGTACTGACCGTGTCCCTGTTTTCTGGATGTATGTTTTATTGCAGGACATGCAGGGTATTTCATATATGACATTACATTTATGCTCCAGTTCTATTTTGTCTTTTGGATGGAAAAGTAATTGTTTGAGTTTTCTGTACGATTTCACTGCTGTGTTGATATTGTTTTTTTCTCATTGCCCTCTGCACTTTTTCTGTCATGCTGCCTCCACCAGTAGGATGACAGCACCAAAACTTGTATAAATGAGCTAAGTGGACACGTCACAGGAACATCACCTGACCACTCTGAGGAAGACGGCTAGTTTCGACTGCTCACTGTCAGGTATGAAAACAAATTCTTGGTCTGAAAAAAGAACCTAATAACAAAAAATATCAAAAGACTAAATAAACATCATTGGATTATGGACTAGGTAGCTGTTAACTTGAAAACTACTGCTTCATGACATCACAAGGGGGAACAGAGCATTTTGAGCTTTGGAGTTGTAGAGAGAATAATAAAGGATTATGGTACACAAACGTGTGAATGAAACAAAACACAACTCCAGGTATGTTTTTGATGATGTAAGAAGACTGTATCTTAAAACTCACAAGAATAATTTCTTTTGTAATATAGGACCTTTGCATCTAAAATATTAAATGTAAATTTTATAGTATTTATTGCACAGGCTCATTTCTGGCCCAGCTGTTTGTGCCGAGACGACTCCAGTGTTTTGAAGAAAACTGAATAACTGGTTCTGAAATGTGCGCTGACTTGGAACCATCAAGTCCCTCTCAAATTAGATTACCGTCAGAAGCTATTAGCCAAACCTTTTTCAGTTTTCACACGCACCTAAACAGGAAATTTGTTTAAATTGTTCTTTTTTCTTTTTCAGGCAATTTTCTATCTAGTATTAGGCTACGTTTGTGTGATGACACTCAGAACAGAAAACACAAAAGTGTCTTCACTTTTTATTCCGCGTTTAGGAAATTTGCGTGCATATGGTGACGCAAAACTGATGTTGGATGGCATGCATACCCAGTCGAATTCCACAGTTTGTTTTTGTGTATTGTATGACGTGAACACGTAAATGTCATGAGCAGATCTGACCAGAGTTTTGCGTCTTGGGCAGTGTAGACGGAAACACTACGATGGAGTGTATTCAACTTGTCCACTCTGGAGGGGAGTTTCAGATTTTTGCGTTTTTAAGCCCCAAAAACACTGTCACTGTCTAAACAAAAGGCACTTCCAATGAAATATTTTGTCATTTTTACCCGCAAGCGTTCTTGTGTAAACAGGCCCTTAGTATCTAGTATCTAGTATTGTTATTTCACCATGGTAACTGCTGAATATTCCAACACAGGCATACAGGCAGAAGACCCCAGTGTGATGTGACTGCAAATATCAATACAAGCCAAAATATAGACTAAAAAAGTATTAAATCTAAACTTTTCAACACATAAATATGTATAACTGTAGTGATGTTACCATAGACTGTATATATGATTGGACATAACTAACGCACTAGCCGCCGCTGTGGACTTTGTTCGCCAGGAGGCTCTTCCGGCTTCTTCCGACTCTGGCTCCAATTGACTCACATTGGGATCTTGTCGTTTCTCTCTGTAACTGCTGATGTGAGCCTTGTCATTTTGGTCTTAAAATGTTCCTATTAACCCGCTCTACATGATCCAGATTTTTTTTTTTGTTATTTTGTCCTTCAAAAAGAAAAAATCCTAACATAGAGTCTGGCTCCAGATTCGCTCCTGTAACCATGAGCATTGTGAGCCTCATTTGAGCGGCGCTGAACGCTGTGGGTGACGTCACACTCGCTTAGTCCACTTCTTTTAAACAGTCTATCGATGTTACATATTGTCCTCAGCTCAGGGTCATTTGAAGGATATTTCTATGACATGTGTTGGCTGAAAGGTCAAAGGGCAATCCCAAGTTTAGACTCTGCGTTTTTGCTGTAAATCAGTAGCACCATTAGAAATACGATTACCTAAAGCCTACAACAACATCCTTAAAATATTTGGATAATGTTTCTAAAATTTAAGATGAGAGAATTTTTTTTATCTGTGGATATATATACGGTAATTCAGTAACATCAGTATTTTACACGTCTACACTTCAAAGCATATTAAAGGGACAGTTCAGACATAGGACCTCATTTCTTAGTTAGACAGAGTGAAACACTTTTTTAAATATTCCATCCAGTCCTTGTATTTGCACAGGTCGCTGGTGCTATGCTAGTGCATGTCAGTAGTCATAGTTATCCTGCCACTAAAAACTGTCTTACCCACTCCACAAAACACCTGAAGCAGATCTTTTATTACGCCCCACAAGTCACAGATCTGTGGAGAGGTAACCCTGTTCACAGAATTTGTTTTTCAGTGTATTTTTGAACAGTAAAATACCTGTAAATATATTAATTTTGTTTTTTTGTTTTGTTTTGTTTTTAAATAGTACTTTTCCAAGTGCTTTTTAGCAGCATACTTTTACTCTTCCCACTGTGAGTAAATTTACAAGTGACAAAAGCTTTATGTGACAATATGAAATGATTTGAACATTTATGTTTTTTGCACCACTCCTTTAGACATGATTTAGTTTTTCTCATTTTTGTGTCTGTCCTTTGAAAATATTAGAATTTTTGCATTTTTTTATGTTTTGTCCTTCAAATTACATTAACTTCAAATTATACTTCAAATGTAGTAGGTTTCCCAAATACTTTTTTACTCTTATTTGAGCGATTTCTTTTACCACTGCTTTGTACTTTTACTTTAGTAATATTGTTTTTAAGTCACATTACTCTTATTTGAGCACAAGTTTTAGATACCCACCACTGTATAACATTATTATCACTTCTTCATATATTTTACTGTCTTTCTCTCTCCATGACCTATTGGGAGTTTGAGTCCAGACCAGGACAGGCCCAATCCAGTGTGAACTGACCTTAGCTGCTTTTACCCCTGATGGAGGGAAGAGAGGGAAGAGAGGGAGGAGAGGGGTAAGGGGGGAGGAGGAGGAGGAGGTGAAGAAACCAGATCACAAGGTTCTGGAAGTGTGCACCTAATCTGATGTAATGACATAAGAACCATCGTACTCCTGTTTGGACGTGACACTGCATATTTTAACTTATTACTACACAAACGATTCAGACTTTTGTGGAAATATGCATCCAAAGATATCCTCAAATGTGTGGAAATCAAATTTAATTATTTTTACATATTATCTTACTGTATTTTTTTCTGTTTTTAACATTCAATTATTTTGATTTGCCCCAACAGATGTTTAACGTTTTGGGTAATTGTTCCTTTGCCGGCAGCTGCTGATCTGATTAATGTCTGATTTCTTGACTTTTAATTGACTTAAAGGACTAAACTGCACACTTTGATCCAAGTAATCAGAGATGATCAGAAAGAAGGTGATTTTGCTGTTTACTTTTCAATTTAATAATATTTCAGATCCAAAAATTCTATAATAATCAGGTTTTTGCAGTCAGTGTTTCCTAAAGGGTCAGTCCAAATCATTTATTAATGTATTGCGCGTAACTTCCTTAAAAGCATCTTAACTTTATGTTGTGTCGAATTAAATGGGAATTAATCAACAGACAACACCACATAATCTCCAAACAAAATATTAGTATAATATTATATTTATTACAGTATAAATCCTACATTTGAGACCTGAGTGCTCAAAAAATGTCAGTTTTCACGTACCCCCCTGTTCCCGCCCACAGCCCTATAATTTAGACTTTTTTACACTCTTTCAAACTCATATTATTTAAAAAAAAAAAAGTTCCCATTGAAAAAAAGCACCATAAATTAATGAAAATGTGATGTTTGCTCGTTACAGTAAAATTCCTTCACATAGACTCAGTACAAGCAGCAAAGTATCTGCAGTTTTATTATTATTATAGCGTTTTTAGATCATTATTATTTGGTTGGTGAGTTACAACGAACTAAATGTAATGTATGTGGTATGTTACAGTTAAAAGTAGTAAAGAACTGTACATTACGTATACATTGTATATATGCAGCTGTACTTTTTAAAGAGGATACTTCTTACTTCAGTAAATTTTTAGCTGGATTAAAAAGTAAAAGGTTTTTTTTTTTATTATTACTATTTGAGACCTGCTGAAAAGCCTTATTTTCAAATGTTCTTAATCTGAGCAAAGAAAATATGCAAATAAAAACAGCTAGGCAAAAAAACTATCATTTAATTTGTTTCTGGTGGACAAAATTCAGAGCAAATCTTTATTAAAATGACTACATTTGAACCTTCATTAGACCTCAATATCTGGATCAAATACTTTTAATTTTTACTCTACATTTACCTTAAGCATTTTTTTTCCATGTGATACTTTTATGTGAGTATTTTTGCCCCAATATCTGTATTTTTACTTAAGTAACACAATGTAGTACGGTACTTTTTTCACCACTGGATAAACCATAACATGTCAAAACATCCATAAAATTGTTTCAGCATCTTTCTGAAGTCCTTTTTTTTTTAATGAGGTGATCAGAAAATAGCGTAATATGGACCCTTTAACTTTTTATAAATCCATCTTCATGATGTGGGGAGACCACAGACTGGAGGCTGGCCTAAGTTTAGGATTACCCACCCCACCCCACGGGGCAGTTAAATACTAAAACTCCCACTCTGCCTGGAATATCTCAAGAGACTCTTTGAAGACACTACAAGGAGGGTAGCTTTGCCATGACAGGTAGGTTGAACTCACAATGTTATTTTGCCTTTTGTATGTTTTTTAAACAGTAAAACGTGACATATATTTACACCTGTTTTTCACTTTCCAACATTTTAAAAAGTTTCACCTTTGACTTTTGACCGCTGCAGGAGAAATTGTCAACTCAGGCCAGTCCAATGGGTCCAGTGTGCAGCCGGCTTCTGTGGAGAAGATGGAGGAGAGGGGCCAGTGGAGTAATAAAATTGAGTTTGTGCTGTCTGTAGCTGGGTCCATCATTGGTTTGGGAAACATGTGGCGCTTCCCCTATCTGTGCTACAAAAACGGAGGAGGTATGTGCTTGTCAATTCAATACAACTTTATTTATAGAGCAGCTTGAAAACAACGAAAGACCATAGACTTAGAAAAGCGTTATTGATCAGCAAGGGAAATTACGTCGACACAGTAGCTCACACATCACAATAGATTATAATAATAAAGAGAAAAAATATAAATGTTAATAATAAATAAGCAATAGACATAGCAAGAGACTGGTGTCCAATAAGGCATAATTATATAAATGTTACATGTACAAGTAAAATAAACTGAAATATAGAAATAAAGTAGCCAAAATATGTAGCAGTGTATGTATGTATGTATGTATGTATAGAAAAGGTCTTAAGTTATCGCATTTAAATTAAGATAAATTAAGCCAATTGGAAAACGTGCATTTTTAGACTTGAAATCAGAAAGTTTTGTACATTCATTGTAAAATCTCAGTTACAATGCATGCAAAATGAATTCACTATTTAAGGTAATTTGTCAGACAATCAGAGGTGGCTCTACCATTAGGCAAATGTAGGCGGCTGCTTAGGGCCCCCAAACCTGGAGGGGCCCCCAACCAATTACCCTCAGTGCCTCTAATGGCCAAGGCCTCAGAGCAATTTAATTTTCTCTCAATATGACATTAATAGAGTAGTTTACTTATAAACAATAATCATAGGGAAAAAAATAATAATAATCATATGTAATGGATGTAAACAAAAATGTAATTGTTGTAGCAAAAAAATAAAACTACTTTCAGTTCTGGTGATCTAGTAGGCAACCTAACTAATAAGACAAGTTTTCAATCCACCATAATTCAAATTAATATAGATGTGCGTTTCGCAAGAACAATGGGGAAAAAACAGACAATGAACATATATATAAAAATAAAAAAAAAAACTGAAAAACGGTGCATTATAGTAAAGGCCCCAAACTCAAGTTCGCCTAGGGCCCCCAAATTTCTAACTCTGTCTCTGCAAACAATGGGGTATTTTCATTTTTGCAACCACAGACTGTATAAAGAAGTGGAGTAAGGGAGTGTGACATCACCCACAGTGTTCAGCTCCAGTCAAATGAAGCTCACCGAGGCTTACAAATTGATTTATAGGGGCAAATTTGGAGCAGGGTCTCATATTAGGGTTAGGAATTTATTTTCTGACAAAACAGAGAAATAAAAATACCAGGATCACTTAGAGCGGGTTAATATGAACATTTTAAGACCAAAATGACGAGGCTCACTGCAGCAGTTACAGAGAGAGGTTGGACAGTTTAAATTGGGAAAAATTACAATAACTGGAGTCGATTCAGCTGGAAGTAGTAGATATATAGTCTATTGTTGCAACAGCAAAGTACAATAACTGCTGTATAATAGTATTTTTTTTTAAATGCAGATAAGTAAGGATTCAAAAATAGCCCTTGAAAGTGAGTGTGATGTAGTTGCGCGTAAAATTACCCAATATTATCGATCGCAAAATAATTAAAATTAATAACTAAAAAATAAAGCTTATGGTATTTTTTTTTCCATTTAACTAATTTGCTTTTTGTCATTTTAAAACTACAACAGTCTCCAAATTCTTAATAACTGTCATAACAACTTGTCATAACTGCAGATCAAAATCACAAAAATGCACATTGATAAATACTAATCACTTCTAAATACTACTTATTTTACGGTAAATACTGATCTCTACTGAAAATGTAAACAAAAAAATGTATTCATCTTTTGTCATATTAAAACTACAATTAGAAATATTGGGAGAAATAACTTGTCACTTAGTAAAACTTGCGTCTCCACATTCTTGGTCTAAATGCCTGGTCTAATTATGAGGAGGTGTACTTCATGTTGGCATTTGCTTGGTTAGCTGCTGTTTCTCTTCACGGGGGGGACGTGGGTCAGGACTTGTGTGTTGGGGTCAGACAGCTGTTGTTGCCTTTTTGCTCACAGCATAGAGCCGGAAATCTGACCATTTTAAATACAAACAAGAGACCAAGAACACCAAAAGATCAGACTCAAATGTAGGACACATGGACTGTTTATATACAGTCTGTGGTTGGACATTTTTCTCTGTCTGGAGTAATCATTAATGAGAGCTCGTTTGAGTTGATTAGTGCAGGCAACTGTGTTCAGCAACACAGTGCTCAGTGTCCTTTTAAAACAATAAAGCACTTTTATTACATCAACACAACACATTTGATTATATGAACAGAGTAAATGTCATATTAACAAACAAAAATATTAATATAAATCTTGTGTAACCAAAATATCGTGGTATCGTATCGTCAAAGTTCTAAAAAATAATATTGTGGACCATCACAGTATATCGAATTACAAGACTCTTTGCTTAAATTAAGAGTTATGGTGCAGCAATGCACAACACACAAAAAAGACAGAGGGAACTACATAGACCATGATCCTTTGCTCCATTTCAGTGTAGACTACATGAAGAAATAACAGTTCTAAGCACTTTTAAGTCTTAGTTCTTTGGATTAAGTCTTTTTAAGAGGAAAAAAAACGCATATTCACAGTTTTATTTGCAGCCTCCACAAAATATCACAATAAATATCGTACCGTGAGATGTATATCTTGAAAATATCGTACTGAGAGATTTGGATATTGTTACTTTCCTAATCGTGAGCTTTCCCATCATATCGCAATAAATATCATACCATGATGATATTGTATCATGAGACTTGGATATCGTTACCGCCCTAGTAGTTTAGCAAGTTTCATATTAAAAAAGTTTGCAAGAATAACTAACAACAATAAAAAAAAAAAACATTCAGAGTCAAAATATAAAATTTCTCAAAATAGGAGTTTGCCTCAGTGATGCAGTGCAACATAAAACTATGAATAATAAAACTTAATATAATAATAAAAATCTAGACTAAAATAAAATAAAGGCATGCAAACAACAAAGTGCCCAACACGTCTCATTTACATAGACATCCCTCGCAGTTCTAATGTAAAGACAAGTTAAAATATCACATGATCACAATAAAAATCCATTAAACGTCCATCTCATTGTGAGTAGGCTTGCCTCTGCACAGATCTGACCTGTACCTTGTCCTGTAGTGTCAACTGATTGTCTCTATACTGCCAAATATTCTAGGCAAAATAATAACAGCAGGGGTCAAACTCTCTGTCAGACTGCTGCATACTAGTTGTAGTAGTAGTATTAGTTGTAGTGTAGTAGAGATGCCTGAGCTTATTGTCATTGTGTCCTTTGGCAAGACACTGCTTAGTATGAATGTGGCATATCAGTGACAGGTGAGTGAACTTGAGTGAATGAATAATGCACTGAAAAGTTCTCCGAGTGTCTTGAAAGGTACTTTATAAATCCTTAAAGCCTTTTTTTAGTAATATTATTTTGCCTTTAGGTGCGTTCCTGATCCCGTACCTGATTTTCCTGTTCACGTGTGGAGTCCCCGTCTTTTTCCTGGAAGTGGCTCTGGGTCAGTTCACAAGTGAAGGAGGCATCACGTGCTGGAGGAAAATCAGCCCTCTGTTTGAAGGTCTTTCACTCATTTATAACAGTTTTATATATTTATTTGTAGATTTAAACATATTCACGCTCCCCTCTGTCTCGGCAGGTCTTGGTTATGGCACACAGGTCATTGTGACACTGCTGAACTTCTACTACATCGTTGTTTTGGCCTGGGGCATTTTCTACCTCTACTTCTCCTTCTCGTGGGACCTGCCTTGGTCTTCATGCAACAACACTTGGAACACAGGTGAAGATGTTATTATTGTTATTTTTCTATTTTATTTATTGATTTATTGAAGTGCAGAGGATGTGTTGTCACTTGTCCGGGTTTAGTTTCTGTCAAGACTTTGTGTTTAGTCCCATTTTCGTTCTAATTTCTATTTGGTGTGTATGCAACTTTGAGTGCCTCCTGAAACTATAGATTTCTTTCCTTAAAACTAAATTCACATTTCAGCTATCTATCCTTCAAATAACTACAGAACAGCATTGTGCAAATATTACAAATTCATACATGTATAAAAATACAAAAAAGATGAACAGGGTTTATTTTTTCGTGACTTGGTGGTTTTAGGGGAAACTGGTCACAATAACAGGGTTGACCAAACACTTCTAAAAAGACACTGAATATTATGTTTTTATTTTTTATTTTTCAGCAAACTGTGTGGAGTTCCAGAGAAGAAACTCATCAGCCAGTCAAACCTTCTACATCAACACCACATCTCCAGTCATTGAGTTTTGGGAGTGAGTTTTCATTATTATTTTATTATTAGCTTTTTAGTATTAGTTTATTATTAAGATTCTGTCACCTGTATTTTTTTTAAGTCACCTGCCCTTTCTCTGAAATTATAACAGCAAATTTTAGAGATGAGTTTTTGACTTTTTCTGACCAACGTTGTGATTAGATTTGCAATATGATTCTGAATCTCAATGGGAACTTTTGGTTAAATAAAGTTAAAATAAAAATAAATCAAATGTTCAAAAAGTATAATTAGTTTCAAGGTGTTTAGTCTTTAACATTTGAGAGGAGACTTAAATGTGCATTATGTAACTTTTTGGTTGGGGAGACGGTCACCCTAATGTTCCACAGTATGCCATTAAACTGATCTACCTTACATTTAGTCAATTACTAATTAATAAACTAATACAAGAATCCCATGCATTTCAGATCAGGTTTGTGAAGGTTTAAACAGGATTTTTCTGTTATATTATCTAAATAATTGCAGCCTTTGTGATTTGATAATTGTGTAAACTCAATAGCAATTATTATTTGACTGTGATATATTGTTAGCCTAAAAATGGTCCACTTCTATGTGAATTGTTGTGTTTAATATTTGTTTATCACTTGTGTTTTTGCAGGAGGAGCTCTGAGGATTTCCTCGGGCCTCGACCACATGGGCTCTCTGAACTGGGACCTGGCCCTGTGCCTGCTGGTCGCTTGGATCATGTGCTACTTCTGCATCTGGAAAGGGGTCAAATCCACAGGCAAAGTATGTCCTCCAGATAGTTTGAAAATACAGCTTTCAATCATTCTAGTCCAACGAGGTTCATTTGGTCTTCTGATAATTTATTTTTATTAGGTTCTTTTTACGGACCAAGAGTTTGTTTTCATACCTGATAGTTTCGACTGCTTACTAGCGGTCTTTCTCAGAGTCACGTGATGTTGCTGTGACGAGTCCGATCAGCTGGTTTTGGCGCTGTCTTCCTACCGGTGGAGGCAGAATGACAGCGCCATCTGCAGTCCAACTTTTTCAGGACAGTATTCCAAGTGTGTGAGAGTAAAAAAGCCCCCTCGTCCTGGTTTATAGTCACGTGGGCACATTTCGGTATTTCAATTTCAGCGAACAGCAAAGGCGTGCACACGAGCAACAAAACACAAAGCAGAATAGGAACAAATCAAATTGGACATTTCTGCCCACTGTATAAGAGAGACACACATTAAGGACTGGGACAGAGCAAACATCATTGGGACAGAGGAAAACAGACATCGTCGCTGGATTAAAGAGGCAATCGAAATACAGAAACGTGACCACGGGACTATAAACCGAGACGAGAGGGCTTTTTTACTCTCACACACCTGGGATACTGTCCTGAGGAAGTTGGACTGCAGATGGAGCAGTCGTCTTGCCTCCTCCGGTAGGAAGACAGCACCGAAACCTGTTTAAATCACCTGACAAGACACGTCATAGCAACATCATGTAAGCCTATTCTGCTTTGTGTTTTGTTGCTCGTGTGCACGCCTTTGCTGTTCGCTGAAAAGACCGTTAGTGAGCAGTCGAAACTGTAAGGTATGAAAACAAACCCTTGGTCTGAAAAAAGAACCTAATAATATATAATTTCAGTTCACATTTTCAGTTCAATCAATTATTTAAGAAACATTGTGGAAGTTTGTAGAGGAGGCAGCTGATATATTTACATTTTATGCCATACAGTGGAATATTATAACCAAAGGAATGTTTCTGTGGAACAAGCAAAATAAGGCCACGAGCATTTTCTTCAGTGCAATAACAACATCTAAAAAAAAAAGGAAAATAAAAAAATAAAAAGGAAACAAACTTTTTTGTCTGTTTTTTCAATAAAAAGTGATGAGATGGGGATTTAAAGTGCAGGTATCTATTTTTTCTATCCTTTTTCTTCCCAGGTTGTCTACTTCACAGCCACATTCCCGTATGTGATGCTGATCGTGCTGCTGATCAGAGGACTTACTCTGCCCGGAGCTGCGATTGGGATCCAGTTCTACCTCTATCCAGATCTGGGACGATTGGCCGACCCCCAGGTGCTGTTTTACTTCTCTTGATATTTGAGTTTGAGAGATGTGTTTGCACAAATAAGCACTTCTCTTAAAACACACACAGTCACAAGGCCTTCTCTGACTCTTTACCTCAAAGTACAACAAATCAGTGACCCATAATGTATTCTTCACATGTGCAGGTTTGATGCTTAACCAACGACCAGTCCTAGTATTTTCCATTGACATGAGTCAATAATTAGCATCTTAGTGTGGTAGCATATAGCACGTGAGCTATACAATGTAAACAGAGATTTAAATGTGCTGCTTCTTGGTTTATTTCAGGTTTGGATGGACGCTGGCACTCAAATCTTTTTCTCTTATGCCATCTGTTTGGGTTCTTTGACTGCTCTGGGCAGCTACAACAAGTATAACAATAACTGCTACAGGTAAATACAGGGACATTTGTGATGATTTGATTACTGTCATGGAAACTGTCATCATATTTTTGACTTTTACTACTACAGAAGATTCAACATTTGACATTAAAATATTTTTGAAAGTATATCCATTAGGGGTCTAACGATATCCAAGTCTCACAATACGATATTGTCACGATATGAACCTCACGATACGATATTTATTGAGGGAAAGCTCACAATATGGTGGGGAGGCTCATGATTAGGGATGTAACAATATCCAAATCTCACGGTACAGTATTTATTGTGTTATTCTGTGGAGGCTAACAAAACTGTTATTATGGTACTTTTTCCTTGTAAAATGCCTTGACAAGACTTAATCCAAAGAACTAAGACTTAAAAGTGCTTAGAACTGTTATTTCTTCTTGTAGTACAGTGAAATAGAGCAAAGGATCGTGGATCGTTTTTTAGCTATTGCTGCAACGTAACTTAATTTAAGCAAAGAGACTTGTAATTCAATATATTGTGATGGTCCACGATATTATTGTGAGAACTTTGATGATACGATATCACGATATTTGTTATTATTGTTACATCCCTCATATCCATACTCTGGCCTTAAACCAAAATCTTCAGAATAGGTCTTAATCTTAATAAGCAAAACCTAACCACGCCCTGCGGATTCATTTACAAGACTTTATATAAGTCTGGACAAAACGCGTATGGACAAAACACAAACTTCCACAAATTTCCACAAACTTCCTCACTTCTCATCCCTCTCTCTGCTTCTGCCTCGTCTCTGAAAGCTTCAGAATACAAAGTTCTGAATTTTTGGACATTTAAAGTTATGTTTCTCTCTGACAGTAGCTCAGGTGGTTGAGTGTTTGTTTTCAAATCTGAAGGTTGGAAATTCAAACCCCATTCTCGACTTAAACATCATTGGTTGAACCCAGAGTTTGGCGGTGTGATTCCAAATCCCATAAATGAATGCTGTTGTTGTGTTGTTGGGCAAGATACTTACCCCAATGTTTTGTTAGTTTTAGTTTTTTGTTTTTTGTGGATTTATTAATACAAATATTACCCTTATTAACTGTATTTTAAGTCGCTCCCAGTGTTTGTGAATGTGTGTGTGCATGGGTGAGTGGTTTCTTTATGTAAAACACTTTGAGTGTCTTGAAGGTGGAAAAGTGTTCTATAAAAATCATTATCGTTACTATTATTTATAGATCACAAACGTAACTTCCTACCTACTAATTTAACTGTCCAAATGTCCAAACCATTCCACTGTAAGATTTCTGATACTGACTAAAGACACACTCATGTTTGTGTTTCAGAGACTGTCTGGCCTTGTGCTTTCTGAACAGTGGGACCAGTTTTGTGGCCGGTTTTGCCATTTTCTCAATTCTGGGTTTTATGGCCTTTGAACAAAACGTGCCTATTTCTGAAGTGGCAGAATCTGGTGAGTTGACGTATTTGAAAGCTAATCTGTTTTTGTGTTATTTGTGTGTTGTTATTATAATATCTTGCCTCTTATGTTGTTTTTACAAAGGCCCAGGTCTGGCCTTCATTGCTTATCCTCGAGCTGTGACCATGATGCCTTTCTCTCCACTGTGGGCCACGCTCTTCTTCATCATGATTGTGTTTCTCGGACTGGACAGTCAGGTACACATGAGATTTTAATGTTTAATGAAATATTACAATGGTGCAGTGGGTTAGTGATCACCCTACAACCCCAGGCTTACTGGTTTGAACCTCACATAAATAGTTGTGTGTGTGTGTGTACATGGGTGTGTGTGTCACTGATGGTGCTCATTGGGGCTAATACCTGCGTGTCTCTTTAGTTTGTGTGTGTGGAGAGCCTGGTGACTGCCATTGTTGACATGTATCCGGCCGTGTTTCGACGCAAAAATCGCAGAGAGATTTTCCTGGCATTTGTGGTGCTCGTCTCTTTCTTCATGGGGCTCATTATGTTGATGGAGGTAACACACATTATTAAAGATTATGTATTTTATTGTGTCTTTTTATTACCATAGTATTCCCCTATAATAATTGTATAACATGTGCAAATACTTTAATAATTTATACATTAATAAGACCAAATTTTGTACCTTATAGAGCTCTGGATTGTGTGCCATACCTCATAGAAGTTTTACTTAGCCTGATGTTAAACCATTGTAGATTTTAAGATGCTAAATACCAAACTTAGCATTCATTCAAAACTACATTATGACACTATAGTATATTGTGATGAAAGTATTCAACAGGTTTGTTTACCTTTTTATATTGTTTTACTAATGCATCTCTATGCACATGTGGCGGATTTTACTACATTTTTGTCATTTGATCCTGAGCTCTCTCTTGTTTAAACATAAACACAGCTGACCTGGTTTCACCTCTGCAGAGCAGGACACCTGAGTCCTCTGCAGAGGTGAAACCGGTCCTCATTTTCTAAGAACAAGCAAATCTTGTTGGATAAATTTAAGAGCTGATGTTTAGCCCTCAAAATTATACCATTTCTATCAGTGCAATAATTGCAGCAAAGTCTAATTACACAAACTGTAGCTTGCTTATTTTAAAACACAAACATTACCAGTGAGGTTTAATTGGGTAATCATACATATATTGAGGACTATTGATTATTTCATTGAATTTTACTTCTCTTTTTAGGGTGGCATGTATGTGTTCCAGCTCTTTGATTATTATGCAGCCAGTGGGATGTGTCTCCTCTTCATGTCCATCTTTGAGACTGTGTGCATTGCGTGGGCCTATGGTAAGATCGTTTTATACCAATATAACTACCAGAGGGTGCTGGTGATACAGACATACTGTAGATGTATAGTTGTTGGTCTTTGGAAACAAATTCTGTCTGATATTTGACCATAGCCATTGAAATAGGGAAACGTGGCTAGAGAAGCAATTCAGTAAATGATTCTCATGAATTTTAGTCACGGAGAGGGAAAACATTTTGAGATGCTGTATTTTGTTTCAAGTTCTCAGGCTCTTAATTGAGAAAGATTTTGTGAAAATTATAAGCAACAAAAAGTAGAAATGTGTTAAATTCAACATCCAACACTTTTGTTATGTCAGGAGCCGATCGGTTTTATGACAACATTGAAGACATGATTGGATACAGACCTGGGCCTTACATCAAGTACTGCTGGCTGTTTCTGACCCCTGCCACTTGCATTGTAAGTTTCAAACCAGACCAAGTAAGGCAAATTAGGAGAAAGATGTAAAAATATTGTGTTTTTAACTTAGTAGTATTCTCTTTTTTTTTTCATTGTTGATCCCACATTATTTTCTGATTTGTCTTGCAGGGGACCTTTGCCTTCTCCCTGATCAAATACACTCCTCTGAAGTACAATAACGAGTACGTGTACCCATGGTGGGGCTATGTGATTGGCTGGCTGCTCGCTCTGTCCTCCATGATCTGCATTCCTCTGTGGATGGTGTACAAACTCAGCACCACACAGGGCACCCTGAGAGAGGTCAGTGCTTCACACATCCAGTGTCACTACGATCCAAAGTCACAGTAATAATAAAGATACAGTTACTTTAAACTGCTGCTCCTGTACTGCCCCCCTGTAACTGAACTGCTCCTTGTATATTTTACTGCAGTTTTTCCCAAATTGTAATACAGGTAAAAGTTGGGAATGTGTGGAAAAAAATCTGCAGTCTCCAGTTTTTCATTTGTCATATATCTTTTTGTCAATACTTCTGTACATGCATAAAATGTGAAGTTTGAACTTGTTAACTAATTTCTGTACCTTATTTTATTGAATTTTTTATGTTTTCCTTCAGCGCGTCCAGCTGCTCATCACTCCATCCGATGATTTGCCCAAAACCAAACGAGAACAGGAAAAGTTACTGGTCATTTTTGCTCCCGAAGACGTTGTGTCACAGAATGGATACCTCCCTGTGTCAGAGGCAGACTCAAACTTATAAAAGGTCAGACGTTAAAACTGAAGTCTCTCTCAGCTCTGATCTGCAACACCAGCGACCAGTTAAAAATGACAGCAGCCCATTGAACATATAAACATGGGTGTGACTGTATGAAGAAACCAGACCTGTAATGGTCTGAGCACAGTTGTTGGTGTTTTCAGGGACAAATATCATGTACATACTTTAAAGGTCCTATACATGCATCCCGAATTTCGGACTTCTGGTCATAACGCAATGCCTACCGGGAAGGGCCCTCCGAAAAAGTGAGAATCAAACCGCCATGTTTGATTTCCTAGTGGGATACTTTTATTGTCAAAGCCGATCTTTTGAACCTTATCGCTTTTGTTTCTGGTTCTGATAGTCTCATATTTTAGCAAAATCCCATCTGTCAAGTGAGAGATACAGAAGACAAGCAGGCCGAGCTCACACTTTCTTGTTCTTGTGGCTTTACAGCAACATCACGTCTTGATCCCTTTACAGTGAAAGATGTTTCTTGGAGAACAGCTGGTGCCTTTTGCTTTGGCGTTGACTTTTTAAATTTGTAACCAAGGTTGAGCAAGAGATGTGGATTTTGCTTTGTTGGCGCTCCACATACAAATTGTGTGCTGTAAACTCAGGATGATTTCGTAGGCAGTGAGGTGAGTGAAGGTTACCATTTTCGTCCTGTCTGTGTATCAATACTGCCCATCGCCATTCACTATTTTTCAATTCCGTTAGGAAGGGAAACAGTTTGAATGGAGGTTTGCAGTCACACACATCTGATTCCCTTTTGCAGTTATGGAGTTTGGAAAATTCGGAAGCCCATTTCTAGAGCCGTTTTCCGCTGTTAGGACATCCAACAACCACAGAATTACGATGTCCGAATCCTATAACTAAAAAATCATGACAATATTGGAACCAAAAACAAAAGCGATATGCTTCAAAAGACTTTAAAAGATTGGCTTTGTCAATAGGCACCTCCCACTGGGAAATCAAACATGGCGGTTTAATGCTCACTTTTTCAGAGTACGCATTGCGCGATGACCAGAATTCTGAAATTTGGGATGCATGTATACTAAACAAAATTCACTCTTGTGAGCTTTAAGTCATGTTACAGTGTTGTTACCTTCCTCAAAAACATACGTTGAATTGTTTCTGCATAGCTCAAAATACTGTTTCACCTTGTGATGTCATGAAGTTGTACTTTTCAAGATAACAGCTGTCTTTTACCTTTAGTTCAGTATAAATTGGCATTTTCAGGGTTGAAATTATCCAGATGATTCTAGTGAAGGTGTATGGAGTTTAAAAACACAGTGGAGCACTTCCTGTATTACCACATGACATCACAAGGTGAAACAGAGCGTTTTCAGTTTAAGAGAAGAACTGAAGGATTTGTGTGTTAAACATGTGTGAATGAAACAAAACACAACTCCAGGTCTGTTTGTGATGAGGAATCAACATTAAAACTTAGATCAGAAAATAACATAATATTGTCCCTTTGAAATGTAAATGACCATGTTACTATTTTACTATTATGTAGAAACTGTTATGGGGCCAACAAACCATTTTCCAGAGGGCAGTGCATGTTGGACCTGTTATTTCATACTTTTGTCATATACTTTTTGTACATCGCTGTTTCATATTTTGTAAAACTCAAGTTGAAGATGAAATTGTAAAATAAGTGATTAAAACATGATACACTTTTTAGACTGTAAATTGCACTCTAACATTGCTTTTATATTCTTTAAAAATGACTTGTACAAATGTGATTTATATAAATAAATTCAAAACCACTGATGTTGACAGTTTAAATCTCTACTTCTGACACTACTTATTGTTGTTGTGTTCTTGAGCAAGACACTTCGCTCACCTGGTTTGTGTTTATATTGTAATTATCGGTATAGGCTGACAGCACTTTTCTTCGCTCTACTTTTTGATCAGTTTGCCTTAGGTCATCTGTGGCTTTTTTTCTTTTTTTTTTTTTTTCCAGACCAGTTTTTTGTTTTCATACCTGACATTCACATTCAGTAGCTCATTTATGCATTTGATTTGTTGTTGACCGTCCAGTGTCTAAGTAGCTGTAGTAAATCTACTTTTTTCATCCTACTTTTGCAACATGGACTTTGCCCTGAATGTATGCAGACAGAATTATATTTACCAACACATAGGACTGCCACACACAGTACATAGACAGCAGTGGGCCATGTTTTGGTCTGTTGACATTTTTATCATATTTATTTTATGTATTAATTCATGAATTATTGTGTTAGTCACTGTGTCATAATTGGCTGTGGTTCGTTGAGGATGTCACTCTGAGTTTGAGTGTTTTTCTGAAAGTGTTTATGATGATGTCAGCAGAGCGTGCCGTGTGCAGAGGCTGAGGTGGACCGGGTCAGGCCTCATCAAACCCAGGCTAATGCGTCACCACCCGCTCTTCACTATCATTACCCATGATGCAATGCAAAACTGTCCTCGCACTCACCAGTCACCAAAACACCTGCATGTATTTATACTAATACTATGGCAGACAATGAAAATCAAGTAAAAGTAATTCACTTAAAGGAAAACAAACGGCTTTAGTTTCTGCAGTATTCAACTTCTCGCTTTCACATTTTACATATATCATAATAACTGTAGATTGCAATGCATTATGGGACAGGAAATCATTACAGTTAGTAAGAACGTTTTCTACAGCAGCCTGAAATACAGATAGTTCTTATCTTCATTAAAGTAAAGTACAAACTAAGAAAAAAAGTGATTGTATTTCTGTTAGAGGGGTTAGTGTATGGAATAACCTGAGTGATGATTTTAAAAAGTCTAATACTGTTGAAGCCTTTTAAAAAGAGTATAACGCATTGTTTTGAATGATATAGAGCTCTGGAACGAATGAATTAGGCATTAAATTTAGTTTGTTTTAATTTATATTTTGTCTCTTATATATACAGTAAGTCGTAAGTGAAATTGTAAATGTAAACTTGCTTTCGTACGCTGATAACAAGAGAATATAAAGTAGAAAAAAGCCATGTGGTATTAGAGGCTTTTAATTATTTCCTATGTTTTGAGTGCCTCCGTTTTTTCTACTTTGTATTTGAGACTGGTCCCTGCACTGAAGAGCACCAAAAGGACAATTCTGCACAATTTTTGTATATCCAAGTAGCACTCCTGCCCCCAAAGTTTAACAAAAAAATATATTTCTTATTAATACTGTGATAAGAAATAAATATATAAATAAATATATATACAATTATAGTAAAACAGATCTGGCATAGTATTGAACCCTTTATTGCAGTGTAGCATAAAAAGCATGACATTTTTTTGTACAATTTTATTAGAAAAATATATTACTTTGCTTCACAGACATTACAGCTTTTATTTTACTGTAACTACTCAAATTTACCATCAATAATAATCACATAAGACAACACTTTAACTCACATGTCGAACAAAAGGCACTGTTCATTATTCAAATCAACACTAACATTTACCAACACAGTCGATACGTGCCCGTTTTGTTTAGTTTCATATTTTCACACTTTCTTTATTTCGATGTGGCGTGCACTAGAGGGGCATGAAGACAGGGGGCGTCAGTGCGCTCCTTTTGCCGTACGCAGCCGCTCCCACGTTGGTCGGAGCATAAACGGTCCCGATGGTGTTACTGGAGCGCACCAAGAAGTCCGCGAGCCGCTGGGTGACGCACGTGGCGGTGTTACATTTCCTCTTCTGAAGGGGGTGACTGGAAAATGAACACAATTAGAGACAGCCAAAATGAGCATATAGGAAAATAATAATAATTTTAAAAAAAGATAATCAGAACAACTATTATGACATTTCATGAAGTCTGTTAAAGGGTAAATCTTTGGAACAGGATAGGTTTAATTTAATAAGATGTTTAAAAGCAGAACTTACAGATACTTGAGTTCTGAGTTTTAATACTGCTGTAGTACTGCAGTTACTCTACATTTCTTTTTGCTTGTTCCCTGTGAATATGCACTGGTATAGGCATGTCCAAACTATGGCCTGTGGGCCAAATGCGACCCTCAGACAAATTTTTCTTGGCCCTCAGACTTCCAGGTGAATTGGCCAAAATTACCTTGCATCAACAATTTTTTTTTTTTTTTTACTACAAGTTTTTTGAAAATCTTTTTTGACAAAGCTAATATTCAATATTTAGTGTGTGGTTTTAAGGATTTTAGCATGAATAAAGACATTCTACCATGATAAACATGCACATATTTCAATTATTCACTGTATTGAGCACCAGTCTACGGCCCTTGATCAGCCCTCTGCTTCGTCTGTGTTTAGATATGTGGCCTTTGGTGAAAAAAGTTTGGACACTCTTGCACTAGTAGGTACTGGTTTCAAAATGATGCTATATTCTGTTTATAAAAAGTATATATAAATATATATATATATATATATATATATATATATATATATATATATATATATATATATATATATATATATATATATATATATATATATATATATATATATAGTGGCTACAACAGATACCGGGAAAAACAATGGACATCTCAGTCCAGAAAAGTGCAGTACTGGGAACAGCAGATAGAGATACTGCGCAGAACTCTCAAGCTCCCAGGCCTCTGGTAGAGGATCCGAGCTGAATGAGGGTGAGAGAGACCTACCACCGTGGAAGGTGAGAAACACATTTTATATATATATATATATATATATATATATATATATATATATATATATATATATATATATATATATATATATATATATATATATATATATATATATATATAGTTTAAATATACCTGTGACTGAAATAAAAACCTACTATTTCCAGGCTATTACTACTACTACTACTACTACTACTACTACTACTACTACTACTACTACTACTACTACTACTACTACTACTACTACTACTACTACTGCTGCTGCTGCTAAAATCAAATAATATATTATGTTAAACTGCACACATATCCACCACATTCTTGTCTCCATGGAGATAAATACGTTTAATGCCATACTGTGGAGCAGGTAAAGCATAAATATCTCCATGGAAACAAGCAGGTAGTAAACCCTCCACCAGAAAAGCTACAAAATGCACCTTTAAATTACTAAATGAGTTGCATTGTTTTTCTTGTCCAGCAGAGGGAGCAAGTGCTACTTTAGATTTTGGTTCAGCGCTTTGTTATTAGCCTGTTGTCTGTTGAGTGGTGTATCATGTGCTCTTTACAAGTCTCTCAATGTGCAGCACTAACATGTAACTGATTTAGTTCACACTCAATGGTGTTACAGTATTTCTGTAGCCACAGCTGCCCTGGAGTCAGTGATAGAAGTGAGGCTGTCAATCTGCTCTATGCGTTATCACTCACAGACCACATTCACGCATAGATAAGTTGGGTGAAGTGACAATAACTCATCTTAGTAGTCCACATTTTTAGTAGTTCATATCAGTACTTGAAAATCCTCTTATTTCAAGAAGTATAAGTATACACAAACATACATTACATTGTTTTCAGTTCACTGTTTAAAATAATTAGGCATAATGTGACGTAAATACTGGTGTTGCAATGTTATTTTAAGCCCCATTATCGTTAAAGCTACACACTAATTTAATGTGCACTTGCCCCTTTTTTATCAAAATGAGCAAAGCCTTAAGTCCCCTGGTGATCTGTGCATTATCTGTTGCTGTTGCTGAGTCACCACTGTTCATGTAGTTCTGGACAAAACATAGATATATCCAAGCTACTGAGTGTTTGATACCAAGAAAAAGTAAGGACAACTTTGACATTAATTTTGATACTACAATGATTTAAAAACTATGTTCAGACAAAAGTCTTTTTCTATTATAGTTTTAGTATAGATTAGTATCAATTCTTTTGAAAAACTGTGATGGTTGAATATTACTCAAACAGTCCATTAAAGCAGACCTCTTATGCAAAATAGAGTTTATATATATATTTTCAGAGCTTTTACTCACTGGAAGTTGTATTTGGAGTGACTTGTGCATGTTTTCACCACCATCGGTATACACCCACTGCTCTGTATTTACTTCGTTTTCCAGTTTTATTTTTTTAATTGGTGATATGTGCAGGATTTGCAAGTGTTGCATAGTCATTTTGGTACAAATGAAAAGAAAAATGCTGCTGGTTAGTTTGATCTGCAGGTATGTATCGGAGGTGACTTCTCTTTATTTTGACGATGTTTACAGCCATGTCAGCTCCCACTGGGCACTGCAATTTTGTAGCATGAAATTCAGCTGACTTATTTCTTTTATTAAGTCGTTTTAGATGAATATATTTCAATTTAAAATGTCCAAATGATAACATAATGATCCACAGGTGTCATAAGTCATAACTCTACAGCAGACACAAGCACAATTATTTCATATCTTCACATTTGCCTTTTAAGCTGTTACCTGTTTGTAGGGGACAGCTCTCTCTCCAGCCTTGGACTCAAAAGACCCAGAAAAGGGTTAGAGGCGAGTTCTGCCATGGACCAGCCCAGACCCAAGTCCTGCTCACTGGACCCTGGACTCAAGTACCTACAACACACAAGCGTTTACTGTGGTGATGTGGAAAACCTCTTGAACCCTTCTGTACAACGAGAGCCACTTTTCTGTCAAATGGGAGTCAATCGTTTCCCTCCTTCAGTTTTGTTCATATGCGACCTGAACGCATCACCAGCACTCTGCAAGCAATTTCAGAGACGCTCTAAACCGCTTTTCTCTCATCCACAAGCACTATACAGCAAATACACAAATATACAGTACTTCAAATACTTTTTATAGATTACTTCAGAAAGCTACAAGACTCCACTTTCAAATAATAACCTATGTACTGATTGGAGTAACTTTATATAGGCCAAAATAAACAAATGCATATTCTTTCATTCAGTAGTAGTAGTAGTAGTAGTAGTAGTAGTAGTAGTAGTAGTAGTAGTAGTAGGTTGGGAGTCATTTTGATAAGACCATGAGCTGTTTTCCTCTCATCTACAAGCAAAATACACAAATATACATCAAATATTTTTTTATAATTCACTTCAGAAAGGTGTTTTGGTATTTCTGAATATAGTTAGCAGTACATTTTACATTTCCAGTTTCAAAATTTAGGCTTTGTCCAACATGGATGAAGGACTGCACTGCAAAAACTAAAATCAAGTCAAGTTAATGTGACTTGAATTAAGAACGTTTTACCTTGCTTTGATTTAATGTCACTTGACAAGTAAAATGATCTGCCAATGGAATGAGACTTTTTGTGCTTAAAATATGAAAATACAATCTTGCTACACTTAAGATAAGAAAAACAACAACTTTTTTGCATTTAAAATAAGTTATGTTAAGTAAGTGTTGGCTGATTTAAGAAAAATACACTGATTCCACTGGTAGATCATTTTACTTGTCAGGTTGAATCAACTCAAATAAAGTAAAATGTTCTTAATTGAAGTCATTTTAACTTACTTAGATATTGTTTTTTGCAGTTTCTATGTCGTCTTAAAACAGTTGTGTATTCTTTCATTCACTAACATGGACTAATCTATATGTTTTAACTAACATTTTAACTTGTTGTTGTGAGATTGTGATTTTGTCATTTGTCTTTAATCTGTTTACAGTTTGTGCTTTTACCATGTTCTCATTTGACTAATATTACTACATTTTATTTTTATTTTATTGATCATTAATCTCTTTTTCATGTGTATGGACATTTACATCCTGTACTAACACATATTTAAAGGTGCATGGTGTAACTTTTCTGATAGAGGGTCCGTCAAATGCTTTTCTCCATGGAGATGTTATTGCCTTGTCTGGAATGTTTCACAGTATGGCATTACACCTTTCTATCTTCATGGAGACCAAACAAGACCAAGTTACAGGGAGGCAACCTCACTCACAGTCAGAATGGATGTTTTTCTCAACATTTTTGAGCTATAAATCCACCTTTAATTGATTATAAGTAAGGTAGATTTGTTTTATGTCACACTGTGGAACATTCCAGGCAGTGCAATGACATATCTATAGAAACAAGCAGGTAACGGACCTCCAACCAAAAAGTTACGTAGTGCACCTTTAATAAATAAATAAACATAAAGTAGTTTGGTAGAAAATAATTAGAATACATAGGGGAGCAGTCATTTTTCAATACTAAGAAAATTAGTATTTATAGCAATTGCAATACTGATAACATTTATTTTCTTATTACAGATGAAAGTACTAGGAATCAGAATACACTAGACAGTTTGCAAAAACCCCGGAAGTGCGAGACTGGGCACCAGCCAATCAGTGAAGAGCCATATATTCTTTGTTGGTAACGATTCCCGAGATCGAGGATTTGAAGCCGGAACAAAGAGAATGTTTGGTGAATTTTATCAAGGGGAAAGACGTTATTGTCCTTCTTCCTACGGGATTTGGAAAAAGCTTAATATACCAGTTACCCCATTAGCGGCGCATTACATACGTCACGACCAAATAGCAGCGATTGGTTAAATTAAAAAAGTATCTGCCTACCGTCGAACAAACGAATCCTAATGCTGTGAGGTCAGAGGGTTTCCACGAAGTGAAACCGGCTGATGAATCAGGCTATGAAAGTACAGTCACCAATCAGAAATGTGCTAAAATGCGGTCATAAATGAGTGGCTGAGATTCAAATAAACCACGAAATATGAATGGATGGTTGCATGAGCCACAAAAGTGCAGAGATATTGATTTACTTCTGTAGTATCGGTTTTCAGATGGCGTTACAGCATTCTATAGGCCAATAATATTTGATACTGATGGGAGAAGCTAAAAGTTATATTGTTATAATGCTGATTTTTGTTCTAATAGAAAATAGAAATAAGCAGGTTCAACATTTGGGAATTTTTCTTTTGGATATTTCATGGCAAAGTGTAAAGTGATCAGCAGGGAATACTGTCCTCATAAGAGTCAGAATCTGAAAACCACCAATATTCTTGTTTGGAAGATTACACAACAAGTACATTTAAATTTTTTTATTTATTTATTTTTAATCATTTTATTTGATTAATTTGTAAAAGTACAAACTTGTGTACCAATTTTTAATATCTACAAAACACTAACAATCGCAAAGATAAGTAATTTCATATCCCTTTTCAGCCCAGTAAAGTTAGTAAAATCTTGTTTGTTAATCACATTTTGACATTTTGCTTTAGATTTCATTCTCATAGTGCAGTTTTAATTTTTTTAGCTCTCACCTGTGGCTTGGAGCTGAGGAAACACAATGTAAAAGAATCAACAGAGAAAGGATCAGTGCAGTCACTCTCACTGGATACATGCTGAACAATGGTTTTCTGAAATAAGGTAAAAAACAAAACAAAACAAAAAACATGTTAATACAGCTTTGCCGTAGAAGTGCTTTAGGAATACACTAGTAACGTAATATCAAGAAAGCAACAATAACCAGATGATAATACAGATATAAAACAATGTTAACCATTTTTTAATTCCAAATTTACATTAGGTAAATCAAATACAGATAAAATAAAACATACTAAACATAACTAAATCCCCAAATAAACAAAGAAAAAATAGCAAATTACAAAGACAGGCATTGGCAGCTTTGTTTAAATGAAAAAATAAAATAAAAATAAAAATTAACAGGTGTACAGTATGTGGATAGAGTTGAAACTTAAAAATAGCCAGTAAATTTGTCCTATAAGATTATATGAGCTTTATAACCATGCGCAAACAAACCAATCAAGCACAAATCTTTAACTCTAATTTTAAAATAAATGAAAATATGCTTACTTTTCTCCTCTCTCTCCTCTTTGTCCTGTTGTCTCTGCGTGTGTCCGCCGGCTCCCTCTCCGACTACAGTTATACCTGCGTGTTCACTCACTCATGACATCACCTCTCTCTCCAAATATAGACATGTTTTATTCTGACGGAGAGGGGGATTGTGGGTAGGATAGGACTGTGGTCGCATAAAAAAAATACAATAAACTTTTCGACATACTTGAACTTGTAAAACGTCACTACATTCGTCATGTTTTTCTATTGGGACTAACCGGGCCATAAACTGACAGAGGATAATTTGGAAATTAAAGGGAGATTCACTATTTTAGGAAGAAATGTGCAAAATAATGGTCCACAAATGTATACAACATTTGACCCATGTGTTTGAACCTTTTTTTCTTGCCCCAGTACAGATATTTTGTCAGATATATTGTCTGCTGTCCTCCAGCTACATTTTGCAGAGACACAGTGGTGGAGTCAGAAATTTGGGGGCCCAAGGTGAACTTGAGTTTGTGGCCCTCACTATAATGCACTGTTTTGTTGCTATTTTTTTTTAATTTCTTTAATATCTATTGTCTGTTTTTTTCCTATTGTTCTTGAGACCTGCACATCTCTATTTGAATTAGGGTGGACTGGAAACTTGTCTTATTAGTTAGGCAGCCGACTAGATAACCAGACCTGAAAGTAGTTTTATTTTTTTGCTAGTACAATTACATTTTTGTTTACATCTATGTATGATTGTGCTATGATTATGTTCAAATCAGGGTCAAGCTGATGAGTCCATTCTAACATGAAAGGGGGGAATGCTTTGACAGTTAAAGTACATTTGACAATCATACACTATTTTGATGGTCTTTTCATGTTTAGTTTTCTTGTTTAGTAAGTATTATAAGCATATTATAAGTAAGTATTAAAAGTAAACTTCTCTCATTTAATGTCATATTGAGATATTGAGAGAAAATCAAATTGCTCTGAGATCTCGGTCATTAGTGGAACTGAGGGCAATTGGATGGAGGCCCCTCCAGGTTAGGGGGCCCAGGCAGCTGCCTCTGCAGAGACATCACGGTGGGGGTGTTCTGCCTGTTGACTGTGAGACACACAATGTACACATTAGTGTGTGTGTGTGTGTGTGTGTGTGTGCGTGTGTGTGTGTGTGTGTGTGTGTGTGTGTGTGTGTGTGTGTGTGTGTATATATATATATATATATATATATATATATATATATATATAGTTAGGCTACTTTGTGACTGTAATGTTATTTGAGAAGAAGGACTTGTTCAACAGCACAAATCAGCTCTCCTCATGTAGTTCCAGCTAAATCAGCTCTTTCTGGGCAGATTGTGTTTAAATAAAGCTCAGTGAAGTCTAGTTTGAGTAACAGAGCTTCTTACAGAGCATCACACTCCCAGAGAATGTTGATGATATAAATATTATAGAATGATATGTTATAGAGTTAACCTAGAAAAGGCACAACGCTGTGATGACTATTTGAATCTGATTGGTTTAAGTGTCACCACAGCAGAAGTAGCCAAAAAGATCAAACTTCACTGGCAATTGTGAGAAAAGCATCTTCCCTGTCCACAAACACACAAAGCTCTTACCCCATGCAGGTTTTTCACAAACAAAATAGCCAGTATAGACACTAAAATAGGCTGAAGAAGTAATCCAGAAATGTTAATTTTTTCTTCTTATGTACATTAACTTCTTGGGTTCTTTTTAAAGACAGTACAGTATGAGGTGTATTTGCCTTGTTCACATGTTTCGGCTGCAACCTGCAACCCATCATCAGAGCTGTCACAGGTGTTGATGCTGATGTGTCGTATATCAGATGTTGTTACTTCCTGTAGGCGTGATCAGGATGGACCTGACAGGTCACTCGCACTGACCACATTTCTGGAGGAGGGTGTCCCAGGAGACAAAGACAAAAAGACAAAGCAGAGCAGTAAAACCTAAAATCTGCCATTTCAGACCACTGTAAAAGAAATAACCACATTATGGATTAGAATGGGGCACGGGTCATTGAATTGAACAACAAGTTTAAACGCTGGATCACACATCTGGGACACTCTCCTCCAGAGACGCCTGGGCGACGGGAGAAATGAACACCTACAGGAAGTAACAACAGCTGATATACGGCACGTCACCACCAACACCAGTGACAGTGTCTTTAAAAAGAACCCAATAAGTTGACAGGCTGAAGAACATCTGTCGGCGTTGCCATGTTTGTTTTGGTTCTTCTGCACAAACCTCAATACTGCTCTGTGATTGGTCCTCTCGCTACTGGGTAAATTTGAGCCTTACAGCGGGAGTATGTCGTTTTGAATCCTCGTGAGTTTGTTACCTCACAAATATCCATGTTGCTGTGCAAATTAATCTAGAATGTGACGTGAATGAAGCCGATTGTCAAGAGCGGCCATACTTTCTTCATATGTGCCAATCCACTGTTACTGATGACGCACTGGGCACCTAAACTTTGACCCAGTGGCACCCCAATGGAGTTTAAATACAATAAATAATAAATGTAAAGATAAATGTTTGTTAATAATTAAAGGGGGCTCATTATTTTGACAGACTGGAACACAAACAACAGTACTAATTAATGAAGTGTCAGTACGTGAGACACAACTGAAACAAGTCAGGAGTTTGACTTAAGTATCAAGTTGTTTTCCTTATTTTGTTTCATTCATACATGTTTAACTCAGAAACCCTGTATATTTAGACTGACTTTTTCTCTCAAACAGAAAACTCTGTTTCATCTTGTGATGTCATGTGATAATACAGGAAGTGCTCCACTGTGTTTTAAAACTACACCTTTAATAAAATCTTTTGGATCATTTCAGCCCTACCAAACAAAAGATCAAGGCTGTATTGAAGCTTCATGACATCACAAGGTGGAAAAGAGCATTTTGAGCTTGGAGATGTAAAGAAACTAATAATGCAGGGTTACTCAAACATGTGTGAATGAAACAAAACACAAATCTGGGTATGTTTTTGTTGAGGTAACATTATAACATGGTTTAAAACTCACAAGAATCTATTTGGTGTAATAGGAACTTTAAAATGTATGAAATACCCCTGACACAATAACACGTATTTGAAGTGAGATACAGGGCTATAACTATTGAAAACAATTACATTAAATGATATAGAATAATGAAGACCACTTGTGCCACTTAAAAAGGAGTAAACCCTTTTCTAAATGACCTTATACCATAAATAAAACAGGCGCTGCATTAGGTATCGCTTAATGAAACACTTAAACATACATATGCAGTATAATGAGTCATAGCTCTGTTAATTATTCAGCCATTACAGTTCATCCACCAACCCAAAGGTTAGAGGTTTAAACCCCACTCCAATCAGAGCATGCCGCCATTGTGTCACTGAGCAAGACACACCCACATGGCCTGAATGTGGTGTATGAGGTTGGTGGTAGTTGAGGCTGACGACACAGATTGTCTCTCACTTCTAACAGTCTACCCCAGGGCAGCTGTGGCTACAGAAGTTAAGAAGTTTTTGTTTTACTCTGTTATTGGGCTAAACAGATACAAAGTGTGGCTTTAGTATTATCTCCCTCTACAGGTCAAATCTTATCCTAACAACAAAAAACATCCCCACAAATGCAAATACAGAAAAATAATAAATAAATTACTGATCCAAAATATTGCTCTTTCTTTCTGTCATGCACTGTAATACTGCAGTTTTACTACTGTGACAAAAAAAAGCTCATTTTGTCAGTGTGTCTTCGACAATAAAACGTCACTTTTAGACCTGGATTGATGTCATCTCTCACTTAATTATTACTTTATTTTATTATGGGAGTGCGCTAACTGTAGGCAGTACTCAGTCTGAAACCCTGTTGCTCAAATTAGAGCTTTATTTTAACACAATTATCCCATAAAGAACTGATTTAGCTGGAACCACAACAGGAGAGCTGATTTGTGCCATAAAATAAGTAGCCAGGCTGGCACCACCTAGTGCCTCCACTCAATTTCATTTCTCTCCTGCGATTAGGTCAGGAATCTGAATACACTAGACCAGGGGTGTCCAAACTTTTTTCATCAAGGGCCACATTTCTAAACACAGATGAAGCAGAGGGCCGATCGAGGGCCGTAGACTGGTGCTCAGTACAGTGAATAATTAAAATATGTGCATGTTTAACACTTTGGAAAGAGACATCAGTCCTTATTCACTCTAAAATCCCCAAAACCACACATTAAATTTATCAAAGTAGATTTTCAAAAAACTTGCTGTAAAAAGTTCATTTATAAGTGATGCAAGGTCATTTGGGCCATATCACCTGGAAGCCGGAGGGCCAAGAAAAATTTGTTCGAGGGCCGCATTTGGCCCCCGGGCCGTAGTTTGGACATGCCTACACTAGATGGTTTGCAAGAACCTTGGAAGTTGTAGATCGTGCACCAGCCAATCAGCGAAGAGCTGTGGAGCTATGACATCAAACTCAAGCGCTTGTCTGGGTCCTTTTTGTGGTGCAGCACAACAGTAAACAAAGCGGTCGAGATGGATGTAGACGAAGACATA